TTATTTTTTAATTTTTACACTTTAATGTATACAATTTACACTTTACTGTGTAAAATTTACACTTTAGTTTGTAATTTTTACATTTTAATCTGTAAAATTGACACTTTAATATGTAAATTTTACACTTTAATGTGTAAATTTTATAAATTAAAAAGCAAATTTACAGAATAATGTGTAAAATTTACACTTTAATCTGTAAAATTAAAACTTTAATCTATAAAATTTACACTTTCATCTGTAAATTTTACACTTTAATCTTTAAAATTATGCTTTAAACTGTAAATTTTACACTTTATTCTGTAAAATGTACACTTTAATCTGTAAATGTTACATATTAATCTGTACAATTTACATTTTAATCTGTATAATTAACGTTTTTATCTGTTTAATTCACATAATCATAATTAACATAAAACTGTTATCTGTAATAATCGAACGGTCGTTTCATGGTGTTATATGACATGTCCTATGACATTTAAAAAATAGTATAAATCTGAGATAATACTTAAGATGGCTAATTGATTATGTGAAATAAACAGATAAAAATGTTAATTATACAGATTAAAATGTAAATTTTACAGATTAATATATAACATTTACAGATTAAAGTGTAAATTTTACCGATAAATGTGTAAAATTTACAGATTAAAGTGTAAATTATACAGATTAAAGTGTAAAATTTACAGTTTAAAGCATAATTTTAAAGATTAAAGTGTAAATTTTACAGATTAAAGTGTAAATCTTATACATAGAGTGTAAATTTACAGATTAAAGTGTAAAATTTACAGAATAAAGGGTAAATTTACAGATTAAAGTATGAATTTTACAGATGTAAATGTAAATTTTACAGATTAAAGAATAAATTTTACAGATTAAAGTATAAATTTTACAGATTAATGTGTAAAATTTACAGATTAAAGTGTAAAATGTACAGATTAATGTGTGGAAAATGAAAAATAAAGAGTGTCCAAGTGGCACTAATACGTTTCCGTAGTACGCCTGCAATATGTAAGTCATGAAATGCTATCGAAAAATTTTCGAATGTTATAAACTTTAATTCTGTGTTCATGCACCTTTACACTTTGATTTAAAGGCCACAACAAGAGTGTGCAGGTTTTTACTCACTACTTGTCGGAAGATGTTGAATGAAGTTTAGGATCATCATTCTCATAGACTGTAAATCCTTCTGGCTCATTTAATGAACTTATAAAATGAAACTAGATTACTTTTAGTAAATTTAAACTCTTCTGGCAACTTAAGGATACATAACACAAACAAAAATTTGATGCATGGATTGATATATATTTTTTGACTGATTTTGAATAGAAATGACATAAATAATAAATCCCTAAAATATAAAGAAATCGTAAGGTTTCTTTGGTGCTTAGTTATGCAACTTTGTGTTGTTTTCTATGTAATTTTATACAAAATTTTGCACATATTTTTAACATTATGACAAAATCTAACAAAATTCTCCCACTTTACCTGGCAAACATTGTTCAGGTTACTTATTTGAATAAAAATCTATGTGAAATATTGCTGATTTCCAAAAAAAAGTTTGTGTTATTTATCCTTAAAAGATTGTTTATAAGCAATTTTCATTAAAAAAAAATCAACCTCTATATATAGTTTTCTTTTCCTTTTACAAAAGCCTATTTCTTGACTACTACCTTGAGATACAAATTTCTGTGTACCATTTTTTATTTCAATTAATGACGTTGACATGGTTACTAAAATGGAATAACTTTTCATTTAAAAAAATCTCCTACAATTCTGATCAGATTTCAATAAAACCAAGCACACAAGTTGATTACACGAAATTGTATTATTCTATAAATTAGATTTTAATTTAAAAAAGGATGGATGCTTCCCACTTCATAACATGATTTCATCGCATTTTTAGAAAAGGGGGGGGGGGTAACAGCAGAGCATTTGGTACAAGAAAAACGATATTTATTTCGCATATTCTACTGTTTCTACTTTAGGACTGGGCCAAGAAAGATTCTATAACTTTGTTATTACATTATGAAAGATTTCACGCTGATTTTCAAAGCCCAAAATAAATTATGCCATTATTTTACATTCATATTGTGTATACGTCATGCACTGCAAACAAACACAGTAAGCTAACCCCCAACCTCCCCTCACGGTCTGTACTCAATCTTTTCAAAAACATTACAAATGTCATATTTATTGATTAGTCTTCAGAATTATCTACGGCTAACAGGTATGTTATGTAGACCAGGAGAATGCTGGGATAGACAAAACTTAGATTTTATATTCAAACTGCACTGTTTACAAGAATAATCCCTGTTTAGATTTCATGGAACGGTCTTGTTCTGGGGAGATATTAAAATATCGATCACTTCAGGTTGATAAAGATAACAACCAGGGAGAATAAAGAAAAAAAATTGAATCCCAGCCTAGATATTATCAGGGAGCAAAATGAAATATCTACAGGAACATTAGTTCAGATGACAGAGGTATGTTTTCTGACTACAGATCTGATTTACAACTCTCCATAATTATGCATTATCCATATTATTTTAGTTTTGCTTGTAGTCGTCTGAGTACAGTAATACAATTTCAACCATTAATTGTGTCTATTTTTAGTGATTGTTGTTTAAAAATGTATTAAGTAAATTGAAATACATGTCTGTGTTCTCGGGTAAAATTCTTTCTTGGGTCCGAAAAATTGCATGTTGCCCACGAATCCATTAATAGCTGCATAAATTCATAATGTCACCCTGCTACTTTGAAATTTAATAAAAATCTTGTACATTAGCATGTTAAATTTTAAATACATATTATAGCCTGGGGCCGTGAATCAAATATTCACTGAAGACTGTTTAATTATATACTGTGAAATCACATATTTTCGTAAGGTTAGATTTCATGGTTTGAAAAAAATTGTTCGTGGGGATTTAATTTCGTGGTTGAAGAATCGCTGAGTTGTTATATCTTTGAAAATTTATATTTCATGGTGGATTTGAATTCATGGACCTCTTCTAACCTGGAGAGCAACAACAACAACAAAATATTCCCCACGAATACTAGTGATTTCACACTATTCTAAAGAAATATTTGATCCTTTATTATGTCCAAACCCAAGAGGGCTTGTACACTACCTGCTGATGCATGCAGATTGCATATTGATATGATTTATATAGTGGTCTGTTCTTGAATAGATTTTCAGTTTGTTTTTTTTTTAATGTGAATAATTTCATCCAAACTTTTATGATCTATTGTGACCCATTAGAGACTTTTAGAAATGAATTCCTATGTAAAAATTTGATCTGACACCCATGGTGGCCCACTGTACCCCAAGGGGCCATAATATGAACAAACCTGGGTATACAGTACATGAGGATGCTTGCATTTTAATATCACTTTCCATGGCCCTGATGTTCTTGAGGAGAACATATTTTTGAAAAAGTTTTATTTTTTGACATGAATTTGCTCATGGGTTTGGAAGATATTTATTACGTCGAAAGTCAACAGACGAATTTTAATCAGAAAAGCTTACTCGAGTCCTTGACAACAATCTTTTGGTTTAAAATAATCTCTTACAGAAACTCCTTGTAGCCTTCAACTTGACATTCAGATATATCGACGACGTTTTATCAATTAACAATAGTTATTTCCATTCATGTGTCGATATGTCATATTTCTCAGTGAACTTAAAATAAAAGACATCACAGAGTCTGCCACGTCAGTTTCATATTTTGATGTTTTACTGACTATAGAAAATAAATAACAACAAACGAGATGACTCCAGCTTTTCCATCGTCAACTTTCGTTATTTATGTAGTAATATTCCGCTGTCACCTGCATAAGGTGTTGATGTCTTCCAACATATTCGATACTCAAGAGAATGCTCTGAGTACGATCAATTTTTAAAACGAGGCAGGCTACTGTCGATAAATTGATGTACAGGGATTTCAGCAACTTCGTCTTAAGTCAGCATTTTGTAAATTCTATGGTCGTTATAATGACCTTGTTAGCAAATATAACCTTTTATTGGGTCGTATTTTAGCTGACTTGTTTCATACCAATTGTTAGGACTTTGTTGTTTTATACTAACTTACGGAATGTTCCGTATACTTGATCAATACACAGGGCTCACGGCGGGAGAATTGGGAATGCGTACTCCCTCTACGCACCTAATCCCACCTCTGGAATTTTCGGGAGTCCGTATTTTATGCCCTGATCACGGATTTGTATTGGTTGTAGATTTTGGGTTGGGTCACTGTCCGTTATCTTTAACTGTTCCATTACTGTTAATATGTCATGTTTCCGTACTTTGACTATCTCTATAGTTTTTGATAAATTGGTGTCCTTATCTGCTTTGTCTGCTTCATTTGTTGCACTGTATATTTGTATCATAGTTATTTTAGTAAAACGAGAGAAAAAAGTGCACTAATAATTCTATCATGACCATACTAGTAATGAGCCTTACAAATAAAGACAATTTTGTTACCTGTATTTAATTTTATTTCTATAAATATTATGCAAGTATTCTTCATTCACTCAAAAGTTTCGACTCAACATTGATTGATATTGATATTTAAACTTTGAGGACAACATATTTTCATATAAAAATTTACATTTTTTACCTTGAGAGACAATTAACACCACTGTTAAAGTTAAAAGTCTTTACAGACTTTGTCTTGGTAAAAACAGTAAAAAAAAACAACATTTCATATCAAACATTTGACTCTGTTTTGTTACATTTTTTTTTGTTAAATTGTATTCACAAAACCAATTTGATTTAATTATCAGAGTATTGGAAGTTCTTTTTAAAAATGTTTTTTTAATTGTTTTAAGAAAAATATGCCCTTTTATTTTAAAATATTTATTCAAAATTAATCAGATGTATCATTGAGCATCATTCCTCATTTTTTCGTTACCATTTCACAAAGCAAAACAATGATTTACTCCCATTTTTTTTCCTCTAATTTTTTTTTTACAGATTCAACCTCTGGCGATCAAGAAGTGTAATGGCAAATTCCATATCATGGGCCCAAGAGGTCATCACATGTGATCTTTGTGACAATGCCACGCAGGTATTCTGTAACAAATGCCAAGTTAGTTTATGGGAAGAATGTATCAACAAACATGTCAGGAACCACAAGTCATTAAGCCATGATATTGTTCCTTTCAAGAACAGAACGATACAGCTTGTTTTTCCAGAATGTGAATTTCACGATAACCAGAGATGTGAGGCCTACTGTCAACGGTGTGGTGTCCCTGTCTGCATGAAATGTGTCATAACTTCCCATAACGGACACAAAATGAGAGAAATACCAAAAAATATCAATGACAAGAAAAAGGAAATCCAAAAGGAAACGTTCGAAATCGAATCCAGTATTATACCTATGTACTGGAAGAAAAGTCAAGAAGCAGAAAAGTATAAAACTTCATCTATTGAAAAATTTAGTGAACTTGGAGAAGAAACAGAGAAACATAGACAAGATTGGCGTCAGGAAATAGACAATATTTTCGATAATTTAAGTTTTTTGATCAAAAGAAAGAAAGAAAACCACTTGGCTCTACTGGAAACACACCAATCCAAAATAAGAAACATGATTCCAGTCATGATGGAAACAGCTGAACAAAACAAAGAATTGCTTAAGTCAAATAAAGTGTATAAAGTCACCAACTACAAATCTAAAATAGAAAAATACAGAAACATTCCTGCAGCCATGGATCAAACATTACCATCCTTAAAAACTGACGCAGTCCAAGGAAGAGAACTAAGTATAGAGCTAGGTGAATACAAGGTTACACTGACACAGACATCACTCTCCAGTCTCCTCTTTATCTACAAGATAGTTATTAGACGAAGCAAGAGTTATTGCCACCATTCCTACTGGAGTAAAACATCTATTCAGTGCGGGATGTGAGGAAGCTAATTAAGCTTGGGTTCTTGGCGGAAATATCATCAGACATATTGGCATACACCAATGTATACAAATGGCCATTGAATATGACATCTCTCCTAGTGATATCTCAGTAACGTGACAGGGAGAAGGGACATACATTGATGATTACAATAAAACTTTTCTAGTGTCTTTTTGTTGTCTTTATTGTAGTGGGTGGGGTTTGAGTTAGGTAGTGTTATATTTTAAGTTGTGAGGGTGCTCACCAACTCGTATTGGTCATACATCGTGACTATAATATGTCGTCATTTAAAAGAAGACAGGTTATTTTATGATGACAATTTATTGAATGAAATGGAAATATGAAGAAAGAGATTAAAATAATCTGAAATAAATTATCATGACTATAATAATATATATTACAAAAGAACAGAGTAATATTAAGACAAGAAAAAACAAGCATTCTGAGAGTATTGCATTAGCAATACTAGTCCCCTACCGGCAAGTAATCTGGTTCCGTTCCCGTTAAGAATTGAAAATGCCATAATTTCGTCAAAAATTAATGAAGCGGGACGAAATGCAAACTTGATCTATAACTAATCAAGGTAAAGCCACATACCAAAAATCAGCTCAATATCTAGAAGCGTTTAGAAGAGAATTGCGGAAAACCCGTAAAAACTGAAAAGGCCGTAATTCCGTCAAAAATCAATGAAGCGGAACGAAATGCAAACTTGATCTGTAACTCATCAAGATACACTCACATACCAAAAATCAGCTCAATATCTGCAAGCGTTAAGGAAAAAAGTGCGGAAAACCAAGTGGGACAGACTGACAGACAGACAGAGGGACAGACAGACAGCTGGACAGACGGACGAACAGACTCAGAGGAAACCTATAGTCCCCTCCGGTTTCACCGGTAGGGGACTAATAAAGAAACGTGATAAAAGAATAAAGTGCAATATTGATATGAAACAAGCAAACACCTTAGAAGAAGACAGTTTATTTTATATGATAACAATTTATTGAGTGAAATGGAAATATGAAGAGAACAAATAAAGGCAAGCAGAGGCCCTTATATACTCGCAATCCATTTCATTGATAACTTCTATTTCTTTCTTGGTATCGTGGCTGAATTTCAAATCTTAATCTTCTTTAAGTCCACTGGCTAGTCTCGGAACGTGCTACTAATTCAAGATTAACTATTATTTATGTTTATGTTGTACATGGGATTCAATCACTTATTTACATGAACCAAGTCTCTTTACTTTCATGTATCTATATTCACCAATTTTAAGTTAAATTTCATAAAAAATTCATAAAAAAAAAAAAAAAAAAAACATCTGAATTGATAGAATTGAAGAAAAGAAGGATTCTTATCATAAAATAGATCATTATTAATTAATTAAAGAATATTTATTAACTTGCATAGAAGTCAGTTCATCATATAACTTGAATCTTTAAAAAAAAAAGGGTTGCACCCCTGACCATAGAAATATAGATCTGAAACATAGACAGACCCTGTAATTAATAAATCCATATGATGAAAATGTTCTTTGTATCTTTTTTTTCCAAAATTAAAACCAGAGAATCATATACTGATAAAAGTTTTTTCATGCTGGGGAGCAAAACATCAAATATTGCACTCCTGACATTGTTGGGTATGCACAGATAATTGACTATTAATTAACGCTGCTTGTGATTTATATAACATTTTTGATTTTAAATTGTATATCAGTTATTGCTTTACACTTTGAAAATTCTTTTTTGACTTAATTATCTTAAATTTTTAAAATTGATGTTTTTGGCAACACTACATTTTATCTGTTGCACTCCTGACATGGTAGAACATTCTTTTCAACAGCCATGACCACAACTGGGTCAAACAAAAGTTGCCACAGTCTACATTTAAATCTCAATACTTTGAATATCATCAGGAAGGTTTTTATTTCCAACATAAACAATTATTTTTTTTCCACAGATCTTCAAAAAATATTGAATTTTCAAAATGTCACAAAAAGGTGTTGCACTCCTGACATTTTTTGCATCATTTTTGGGCATAACTTTTTTGTGAATTGAGATATCAATGAGATATTTGGCAGGTATTGAGATACTATAAAAGACATATGCTGAGACATAGAAATTTATTCCCATTGCCAGTATTTTTAGTGCAGGTAGATAAGTATGTGTTTGGTCATTTTTTTTAATTCACCCAAATAGTTCTATCCAAATATGAACAACAGAAGTTTATAAACCTTCTTTTTTATGTCATTGAAATAGTTAATTTCAATTTTGCAACAAAAATTTCTGACATCAAAGTTGCAGCTCATATTGCTTTAATTATCTCCCCTTGAAAGAGGGCACGGCATTTCCTGTGAACAAACTTAAATCCCTTTTACCCAAAGATTCTTTGTTGCAAGTTTGGTTGAAATTGGCCCAGTGGTTCTTGAGAAGAAGTCAAAAATGTATAAAAAAAAAAAAAAATACTGACTATAGACGGACGCCAGAAAAGCTCACTTGAGCCTTGGGCTCAGGAGAGCTAAAACAACAACTACAATTCTAAATTAATACATTGTTATCATGAACATTCCTGCAGACATTGCTAATGTCAATTCCTTTAACTAGAACTAACAAAGACCAAGGGAGGTAGCTATGGAGAAAAGAAGGATGCTCTTTCATAGACATGGCAGAAGTCTTCTATTTCTCAACAAGAGATGTACTAGATTAGAAAATGAATTGTTTGGTGCATGCTTACCCTGACTTGGATATTTCAATTAAATGTTCACTTTCTTTGTGAACAAGTAGATTTTGTTAAGTGATACCACCAAATTTAAATTGATGGTTGTGAATTTGTTGAACTTTCATTTGAGGTGTGCCAACCAAAATTAGGGGTTAAAAAACGAGAAAACTTCTACATAGGCACTTCAGTTTAAAAGTTTCAAGTTTTAAAGTATTTCTTCATCAAACCATATTAATTGTTCTCAGACCTGTACTTTTTCTTCAAGGGATATGAGGAAAAAAATAAAGAAAACATGCATTGTTAATGTAATGTCATTACAGATGAAATGGCTTTAATGCATTGTAAAACTATAACTGGAGACTTAATTTCAAAGATAAAGGAATCGAAAGCAAATTGCTAAGGGCTCTTCGAAAATGGGTTAAGCCCGAGAGATTGGTGTGAATATAGTGTTGCATATACAGCTCCCCAACACTACAGTTATGTCGTTTTAATCAAAAATATGATTGAGAAGAACCAGTCTATCAACTGCAATTACAAGGTCAAAAAGTCTTCTGATTTCATGACTGTTCAGTACAATGGAAAGGTTTGAAATGACATTAACACCATGCAGTTTCATGCTCACTAGTCCATGAATAAAAGGGGTGTTCGATTAGGCTATTGAATTGTGACACTGTTGGATATCTGAATGGGCTAGATCCCATTGTATTACAGCAAAGTTGGATATATGAATGGGTAAATGTTTCTTTGGGGTCCAAAGTGGGGAAGTTTTTTAAGTAACACAAATAACTCGATAGTGTTGAATAGTTTAGAGAAAACATTCCCTCCGAGGGCCGAAGGCCCGAGGAGGGAATGTTTTCTCTAAACTATTCAACACCATCTCGTTATTTATCCATTACTTAGCACTGTCATGGCACTGAAGTAGCCCAAGATATCTATACAACACAATGTAATACAAATAACTTGTTAACAGATTATGGAGAACTGATCCAATAGAGACCCAAATCTGCCTTTGACAGAAGTTCTGTTCTTGGGTTTAAACTCTGTGCTCAACTCCGACATACAGAAAGTCTGGAGTTTAGTGCTTCCTCTTTTATTTACCTGTCCTAAACCAATGTAAGCATGAAACATTGGAATCACAAAAATTTAAATGCCATTCAAATTTACTGTCTCAAAATTTTATTAAATAGTCTCTCAAGGTCAATAGATATTCTATAATGGTTTGAAATTATACAATTAATAATATAATTGACAACTGCATAAAAAAGTTTATCACAGTGAGCATTACTTAACTTTTAAATTAAACAACAAATGGACAGAGAAAATCTATTCAGTGCAAATTTCAAAATTAACAACCTTGACATTGATGCAATTAAATAACAATTCACATAAGCCAAGATATGAATATTATTTGCTAACTAACTACACAAGATAAAAATTTTCAAAAAATTATGTATTTTAATCAGCAGTTTTCTTGAAAATAACCAAAAATTAAATCAAAAATCTTTAGTTACAAATCTTTGCAATTATTTTAAAATTCAACATGTAAATTAAAACAATATAAATTTTCATCTCAATACTCAGTCAATGACACAATTAGAAATAAATTACACACAATAACAAGCTAAAAAAACACACTGTCTAGTTCCTACTGCTGGGTTAGTAGTTTAACAAGCCAGGTAGCCATATCTGATCCACGGAGAATAAAACCGAATCCTGGATCAAACAGACCCTCCAGATTCCTGATGTTCTGTCGGCTCACCTCAAATGGAATCTACAATTGACATAACCACCTTTAGATTGTTTATTTTATTGAGTTTTGTTTATTCCAAAATTAAAACTCAATGCACTGAAATAGAGAGATTAAGGGAAAAAAAACATATACAGTTGAACTGTGGTATCTTGAACTCAGATATCTCGAAAATCATAGATTAATGTCAAATTCAGTTGAAAGTCTCCACCACTATTTTCTTATTTTATTATAACTCAGACATCTCAAAGTTTTCCTTGGTCCCTTTGACTTTTGAGATAACGAGGTTTGACTGTACACCAGGGTAAATATATGATTATCAACAAGAGGCCCAGGGGCCACATCGCTCACCTGAGCACTATGGCTAGGAAAAAGCAGAAATCACTTCAATCTTGAAAGGTTGAAAAGTTTAAATATAAAAGTGGTTGGGGGGGGGGGGTCATGAATTGAACAAATTTGAATCTACATTATCTGAGGATGCTCCCATTTAAATATGACCAATCATGGCTTTGCTGTTCTTGAGAAGAAGATTTTTAAAGATTTTTCCTATATATTCCTATGTAAAAATTTGATCGCCCATTGTGGCCCCACCCGACCCCCAGGGGTCATGTTTGAACAAACTTGAATGTACACTATCTAAGAATGCTTCCATATAAATATGACCAATCATGGCTTTGCTATTCTTAACAAATAGTTTTTTTTTAAAGATTTTTACTATGTGTTCCAATGTAAAACTTTGATCGCCCATTGTGGCCCCACCCAACCACCGGGGGTCATGATTCGAACAAATTTGTATGTACACTATCTGAGGATGCTACCATATAAATATGACCAATCATGGCTTTGCTATTCTTAACAAATAGTTTTTTTTTTAAGATTTTTACTATGTGTTCCTATGTAAAACTTTGATCACCCATTGTGGCCCCACCCGACCCCCGGGGGTCATGATTTGAACAAATTTGAATGTACACTATCTGAGGATGCTACCATATAAATATGACCAATCATGGCTTTGCTGTTCTTGAGAAGAAGATTTTTACTATGTGTTCCTATGTAAAACTTTGATCGCCCATTGTGGCCCCACCCGACCCCCGGGGGTCATGAGTTGAATAAATTTGAATGTACACTATCTGAGAATGCTTCCAAGTAAATATGACCAATCATGGCTTTGCTGTTCTTGAGAAGAAGATTTTTAAAGATTTTTCCTATATATTCCTATGTAAAAACTTTGATCGCCCATTGTGGTCCCACCTGACCCCCGGAGGTCATGAGTTGAACAAACTTGAATCTACACTACCTGAGGATGCTACCATATAAATATGACCAATTATGGCTTTGCTGTTCTTGAGAAGAAGATTTTTAAAGATTTTCCCTATATATTCCTATGTAAAACTTTGATCGCCCATTGTGGCCCCACCCTACCCCCGGGGGTCATGATTTGAAGAAACTTGAATCTACACTACCTGAGGATGCTTCCACATAAGTTTCATGTTTTCAAGCACAGTGGTTCTTGAGAAGAAGATTTTTTAATGATGCCATTAATTTTTCACGAATTCTTAATTATCTCCCCTTGGAAGAAGGCGTGGCCCTTCATTTGAACAAACTTGAATCCCCTTTACCCAAGGATACTTTGTGGCAAGTTTGGTTGAAATTGACCCAGTGGTTCTTGAGAAGAAGTCGAAAATGTGAAAAGTTTACAGACGGACAGACAGACGGACAGACGGACTACAGACAAAATGTGATCAGAAAAGCTCACTTGAGCCTTCGGCTCAGGTGAGCTAAAAACTACTTTGTAATCCAGAAACTTATAGTCCAACCATAGCTCCCAATTTAAAATGACACACAGTAGGTGTAGGCTAGAAATTTTATGCTAATTATCAGGTTCTAAAAAATTTATTCACAAAGGCATGACTTTCACAAAGTAAAGTAAGTGCAAAGTTAAAGATATAAGATATTCTACATGTACATGTGACTTTGAGGTAAGTGACTTACGTCCCCTGCGGTACTGGCCGTTTCGGCCTGGTCAGTCAGGACACCCAGTATGGTGGTCACATCATCTACACACTGCTTTAATAAACTCTACAGAAAGAAGATTGGAATAGATTACAACTGTATTAGAGTAAATATTTGACTACTGGCTCCAGGGCCATAAAACTTTTGATCTCAGTCTCACTTTTCCACTAAATATTCCTTTTGTAAAAGTGAGACTGAGATCAAAAGTGAGCTCGTCTAAGTTTTATGGCCCCAGAGCCTGATCATGAATAGAGAAAATGTTTATTCAATTTGAGATATAGAGTATGAAGGAACAAATTTTTGTACAATCATACAAACATAGGTAATCAGAGATTACAGAGCTCACCTCAACGAATGTTGTCTTTAAGTAAGGCAAAGTCCCATACTAAACTAATAACCTTGGAGTGTGCATCCCTAGGTGCAACATTTATGCAATTTTGGTCTGATAGGGCTTGAGTTACTTGGGAATAGACTTATCTGAAAACTTAAAACTAGTCACTCATACAGAAAATGTAAGTCAAATCCAGCATCCGAAGCAAGTTTGAGATTGTTCGTCCCTTGATGCATCATCCATGCAAGTTTGGTTCAGATAGACCTTATAGTTACTCGGAAATGAGATCTGCTCCAAAAACTTTAACCTGGTTACTCATCCGGAAAATGTAGGTTAGATCCAGCATCCGAAGCAAATCCAGTAGTGTGCATCCTTAGATGTATCATCCATTCAAGTTTGGTTCAGATAGAGCTTATAGTTACTTGGAAATGAGATCTGCTCCAAAAACTTTAACCTGGTTACTCATCCGGAAAATGTAGGTCAGATCCAGCATCTGAAGCAAGTTCAGTAGTGTGAATCCTTAGATGTATCATCCATGCAAGTTTGGTTCAGAGAGAGCTTATAGTTACTTGGATATGAGATCTGCTCCAAAAACTTTAACCTGGTTACTCATCTGGAAAATGTAGGTCAGATCCAGCATCCGAAGCAAATCCAGTAGTGTGCATCCTTAGATGTATAATCCATGCAAGTTTGGTTCAGATAGAGCTTATAGTTACTTTAATCTGCTCCAAAAACATTAACCTAGTCATTCTTTAGCTGAAATTGCAGCATCTGAAACCTTGACTGGTACAATGAAACACACTAGAAGCATCCTCCATGCATCTCTGACTAATATAGGCCATAGAAGTACTTGAACAGAAAACTGCTCCAAAAACCTTAACCTGGGACACCGAGGCCGAGGGTATTACATAAGCTCCCCTAACTTCGTTCAGGTGAGCTAAAAATGGATTTTGTACAAGAAGGAAGTTTCATTTAAGCATTGAATCGTTATTTTTTGAAAGATATAGTCTCATAACTGCAAAGTGTGTACATACAAATTGAGTAACGGACGTTATGAAAATTTGTTTGCACACATCGTTGCAGTTATAAGACTATACCTTTCAAAAAATATTGATTCAATGCTTATATATTTAAATTTTTAAACTCCTTGCCTTGACTGCAAATGATATTTATATTTCAAAATCACTGTATTATCCTTCAGGTAAGTTACAATTAATGGAAGAGCCATTGCAACAGCTTCTGTTCAATGTGAGCATAAATTTTGATTTTCGCTTAGGTATGACATGGCACTTCCACAGCATTCAACGTTTGTGACGTCAAAATAGACACTTTAACCCTTTGACCCCCTGTCTGTGTTATGGTGTTTTGAATGCTGTAGCTTTCCTCACACTTTATAAGAAAAATAATTGTGGAATGTAAATATATAGCCTTAAATTATCTTTAACTCTTTAAGATTTTCAAATGAGCTGGAAAGGTATTCAAAATTAAGAATTTTTTCAATGCCTTTAAGTAAACTTTGTTTTTTTTTTTTTTCAAATTAGTGAAAGAATTGTTAAGAAATTTTATGGAGTAATTTTTACTCTCAGAATAGAAAAAAAATTCTATACCTCTAGCTGTTCATCTCTCTGAACTTTGGGGGACAGAGCTTTGATCCTCTGGGTCTTCTTGGCCTTGGCAGTGGGGGTAGGGGACGGAGTGATAGGATCCTTGGATTTCTTCTCTTTTTCCTGCAGTGAAATCTCTCCTCTCTGGGCAAGCAGTGCCAATCTGACAATGACAAAACTAGCATTATTAAAAATGCATCAGGAGTAGTCAAACAGAAAACATATTTTTAGGAGCAGCTTTGTACATGTCTAAAGTGAACAAATCAGCTTTTTCTCAATAGATCTTAATGTGATGGCTCCTCTACTAGGTATCTTCAAAGGTCTTCTTAACTGGAATCTTTCTCAAAACAAAGCATATACTTTAATTGTCCATTATTTATTATGCTAATAATCTAATAATCTAAGCATAATTTCTTTCGCTACTATTTTTATTTGACATATGTGAGTGTTGACCATACCTGTCATGAAGGTCATTCAGTTGGGACAAGGTCACCCACTGGACACCTGGTTGGTTGACCTTCTTGTTGGACATGGCAAATAGTAAGAGGATTCTGGAGTCTGGACCCACAGCTTCAGGTCTCTGGGGATCATTCTCTTCCAATGAGGGCTGGTAAAACTGTTAAAATAGACCAAACTGAATAAATACACACAATGTCAAAATTCTATTCTTAAGAGGCTGACAAAATTAATTTTTAAAAATTTTTCTTCTGAATTTATTCTCTCTGTGGAGGGGATGTAAAAATGAATCTAAATCCCCTATTTACTGGTATAACTCTTGTACCATTTTTTAGTTCTTTTATTCTAGGTGACACCAATAAGTACCTATTTTAATGTAGTACACTAACCTGTACAGCCACCTCAGTCTCAGTGGGGGTGGTGACAGTTTTGTCCGGGGGTTGGTACTGGTTAAGATTTGATCCTGGAGGAGGTGGGGCCTTCCCTGTGACTCCTTGTCCAGCAGTCTGGACATTCTCCTCTTGGTCTGTAGGAACAGTCAGGTTCTGGATGTAGGACTTGTACAAAACATTGGCATCCAACCTTTAACAAGATTAAAGTTTTTAACATCATATCGCTTATTACTTAATTTAAGATTTATCTTGATAACCACTATTGTATACTTCATTGGAAAAATGTATGAAACAAATTCTCAAATTTTACCTGTATGTGCTATCAAGTGTACTACATGCATCACAATGAAATAAACTATCGTGACAAAAAAATGTCTTGATCATATAAATTCAAGCATTGGGGTTAGTGCTTATAAGATCAAAGACATGATTGAATATTCATTAGGGCTGTATCAATATATCGATACTTATCGATATTCAAGTATATATCGCATCGAAAAAATGACTTCCAATACGTATTGGGCAAGTAGTTTTTCATATAATTCTGTGAAAAAAATTGGAAATTTCAATCACCAAAATTTAACTTTTTTGAATTAAAATTGATCGATAATGATACAATCATTAAAGAAGTAGCACATCTTAGATAATTATTACAAAATACATAGACACCTTTATTTAACATGTTTATTTTACCATGTTCACAGTCGTTAAAAGTTTGAATTTGAAGTGTAATTTGTAATGACAGTGAGACAAGGTCTTTGAAATGAGTTGTAAAACAATTAGTTTTTATAAAATTCATGCATTAAATGATTTTTAAGACTTTTTTGATAGACTTTTTAGAGAATCCAATATATTGCATTATAAAATATCATATTGTATCGTATTGAAATTTTTTGCTCAATACACAGCCCTAATATTCATTAATGAAAACATTTGTTTATACAGTATTGCAGTTGATTCACAGTTGTCTACCAAATTTATCCTCACCTGACAGCAGCTACGGTGGGCAGACTGAGATTTGCGGGGGGATACACAGCACAACATTTTTCACTGTACACTTGTAGATTTGAGGACAGGTAGGTATGAAGCTTGGCAGAGCGCCGCGACCAGATACCACCAAACAACATAGAACGCACCACATCATGGTTCATGGTTGTGTCACACTGGGCATGACTTATGAACCCAAGGTCAAAGTCTGGTCCTAGGTCACCTGGGTCGCTGTCATCTTGTGGTGAGTTGTCAGACTTGACACTGGAGGCAGAGATTGTGGAGGTGCTACAAAGTCTCTGTAATACTGTCTGGTAACCTAGTAAACAAAAATTACATTCCATTCAAAAGCTCTGTCTCTTAGCAGAGTGGCAAGCTGCATTACAAAAAATGTATTGCCTATATCTTAAAAAAATATCCTACACGAATAGGAAAAGATGTGACAGTATGTGCATTTTTGTTCAAATATTTTTGAAATAAATCCTTCACATTATCTTTTCTATTTTACTTAGGTTGCTGATAAAAGTAATCCATTCAAGTATGGAAGTTCCCTCTCTGGATATACTCTAAAAGTCTTTCTCTGTATTAAGCTCATTAAGATTAGGATACCTAAGAAGTGAATCCATCCGAGGTCTTTAGCTCCATCTTTTGCTCGGTTCACTTGTTCTTCATAAGTCTCCACCTTCTTCACTTCCTGTGCCTCGATCAAGGGAGCCAACTCCTCCTCTATTTCATCTGCAATTATAGAAAAACAACAGGATTGATTTTCATAAAAAAATATCTGAATGATGCAATTATGATATTCCTCTTTAAAACAAAGAAAAGATATTTGTGATTATCTTGAAATACTGTGTTGAACTCTATGACAATTAAAAATTATTTAAGGTGTAAATTCATGATAAAGATTGACTTTTCAGATTTCAGTGAGAGAGATATCTCACCATAATTATGAAGTACAAAAAGTAAATCTAAAGATTTGACAAACGGGAGAGAAAATTATAAAGTATATCACAGCTCTGCAAAGAAATAATAATGAGCTGAATAAAGATGGAATTTCATATTTTTATCCCATTCATAACCTCCCCCCCCCCCCCCCAGTAAAAGTATAGAACCCTTCAGTCTTACTTTTATACACTTTCTTCTTCTCTCCTAACACATAAGCACTGACAAGATCCAAAGCTACAAAGTCTGGGATGTTCTCTTGAGCAGCTTCTGGGAGTTTTTGTGACGTAACGCTAACATCCCCAATCAGTAACATACGAGCTCTCTGAGCCTCTGCCACCGCCGCGGCACACCTGATGGCCAGCCACGCTGCGCGGCGTTCTTTCTCTTGGTCACCCACTTCATCACTCTTACTGGACTTTGTCCTGCTGCTCAGACGATCCTTTTTACTCTATTAACAAAATCAGTCAGTAGCCATCTTATAATGATACAGATCATTACAGTAGCTTAAACATATTAAGTATATGTTAAATATAATATAATACTGATGGGAAAAAAGGCTGAAAAAAAGACTAACTAAAGTTGTATTACAAGTCTTTGAGAATTTTTTAGTCAGTATTCACTGGAGCAATAATTACATTTTCCACATAACAAGTTGATCAAATTGATTTTAAGGGATTAAAGCAGTAAAAATTCATTCTGTAATAAAAAATCAGAGAAATCCTTTGTCCTGACAGATAAAATTTCAACAGACAACCAGTACTTCTGATTGCTTTCTTGTTACTGGTATACAGATAATGAGCAGAAATGATCACACATTTTGAGTAGAGTCCTATATAACTATTCAGTTTAAAAGATTTTCCCTGCACCAAATAGCAGTTCTACTTCTTGAGAGTTTAGGCTAGAGATTTTCTGAGAATTGTTAATAAGAGGAGGTAAATGCTAGAGATCCAGAAGTTCACACATTATCTTGTTTTATTCTCTCTGATACATGTATATTTAATATCCTGTTTTCAAACTACTGATACCAGAGTTTAACTCTTTTTGATATACACTGTATATGCATTAAAATTTTCACTCCGTACAGCTTGAAATCATACCACACATAATACTTGTTATTTACTTTCACATGTAGAGATTTCCTTCATGCACAACACAAGTCATGCAGTGATGCAATAAAATGAAAATTTTGATTGCTTTAGTTTGATTTTTATAAAAATGGAATATGAAGAAACTGAATCTGATGTTTTAACAAAGACAAGTCAATGAAAGTTGAAAATGAAAAAAAAAAAAATTGATGATGAGTCTTAAAATTTTGCATGCACTTTTTTTTGCATGAAAATATATAAAAGAAAAAAAATCTTTCTTCTTTTTTTTTTATTTTAGTTTTCTAAATGAAATAATGGACAAAGAACTGAAATCAACAATTAATTTTTGTAAAAACTTTAAACAATTGAAGACAATTTCTTCTCTACAAGCCCAGAAAACAAAATGTTAACGAAGTCCGTTAATTATAAGCTCCTGACAAAAATCTAAAGCATTTATTTGACAGCTTTACCATCTCTGGTGTAGACACAGGGGAACCCTGTAATGTCAATTAATTTGTCTGAAATCTTTATATCAAACTGTCTTGTGATACAAACAAAAATGGAAATCTAATTAATGCCTATGTCAAATACATGGGATCTATCTGCATATATATCTTTTTTTTCTTCACTTTCCTTCAAACTTCTATCTTTGAACTTCCACGGTATATTTGTAGGACTCCAAAGTCCGATGGTGACACCAAAGTCCGATGGTCTCACCAAACCCCGATGGTCTGCGCCAAACCCCGATGGTTTGATGTCGGTACGGACGCCAAAGTCTGATGGTCACACCAAAGTCCAATGGCTTGTTTCCTATGAGACGTGCTGCACTAAAGTGCGATGGTCTGACATGCCAAAGTCCGATGGTGCGGAGAAACAATCAACGTTTATGATGTCACAAAATTCCAACGTCAATCCTTGACGCCGTTGTCCTGCATTCAAAAGCCATCAGTTCAGTATTCGTTCTCGCATACAGTTTTACTGATCTTGCTTATTGCTTGCACCCACCAGAGACATTAGGGTTGGTCCTCGCACACCACTCGACTGATTAGGGTTAGTCCTTGCTTCGCACCAATCCGAGAGATTAAGGGTTTGTCCTCGCACACTAATCGAGTGATTAGGGTTAGTCTTGCACCCACCTAAGATATCTAGGTAATAGTTTTTACACACTTTTTGAGCGATTAGGGTTAGTTTCGCACCTATCCGAGAGATTAGGGTTAGTTTCCGCATAATGATATTTATTTATACTTATTTAAGACCTTGACATGGCGCAGCATTGCAGTTTGGCACAGTAGTACTATGACGTCACAAACATAATTCCTTTTTCCACACCATCGAACTTTGGCGTGTCAAACCATCAGACTTTGGCGTGACCATCGCACTTTGGAGTCCCATCGCACTTTGGAGTCTTACATATTCATAATGTCATCATATTTATTCAACTATTATACGAAAAATAATGAAAGTTTTATTAACGAAATTCTACATTTCAATCATTATATTTATTGTTATATAGAATTTTTTCCTCAATTAAAGTAGAAATCAACTAAAAAAAAAAATCTGAAATTTACATTATGATAGTTGCTTTTTCCAAAGAAATGCTGGTAAATGAAAAATTTATATACTTCTATGAAGTATAATATATATGGAGGTGGCAAAAAACCATAGGTCCTAATGATTGACAGAAGCCACACCTCTGACTCCGCCCCTTACCTTCCATGACTTGGTCTTCCTTGAGCTGTCAGTTTTAGCACTGGTTGGTTCCAGTGGATCCTGAGACTCAGTCACAAATTCCAGGCCATTGTTGTCTTTTAAGGAAATCAAACTGGAACTCTGCAGATAGACTAAGGCAATCTCCATATAGGCCTGTCTCATCAGTCTACAACAAGGCAATAGATATAAAACAGAGGGCAATAAATGTTACATAAAATTAAGCAATATACTCCAGAAGAGACCCCATCTACCAGAAGGTCTGCGTCTTCAATCTATTGAAAGAGGTACTAATGATATACAACCACGGAAGTGGGTTATATACTGGTACTATGTCAAATATGAAAAGACAGACACCAAGTGGGTCAAATGTCACAATTTTCATAAATACCTCATGAGGCAATACAAATAAAACAGAGTAATCACCATATTTCTCAATATTCTGTTTTGTAAGTCTACAATAAGAAGCACTAATAAAATTTTATAGGGCAATATACTACAGATCAGTTACAGACTATTCTATACAAAGCCTTGTCTCTCCATCATTAACATCATATCTCGGTGTCTTTTCTACAAATCTTACCCCAGATCATGGTCATTATTGAAGCTGGTGGTAATGGCTTCTAACAGAGTTTCTGCTGCTTTCCTTGGTGGGAACTTTCCGTGATACACCAACATACGCTGTACTTTACCTGTACATAAAAATACAAGTGATACGGGTAACTAGAAACCTGTTAGGTCATCAATGGATTAACTAAAGGTTTTCATATACCACCAAATGGATATTTGAACACATCTCAGTGTTAACTTTTAAGGGGTGGATTTTGGCCACTAAGATTACAGAGGCGGGGTGTATATCTATATCTCAGTATGATTTTGACCTCTGACATTTTATAAATATGGTATGTGTATTTATACCTAGGTTCAGTAAGATTTCAGCCTCCAGATTAGCCTCCCTTGTCACACTGGCCTGGGACAGTTCTCTAGCAGTCATTAGAACTCCCAGTGCTCCAGACCAAAGCTGTACTGGGTCCTTATCTGAACTGTAAACAAAGAAAAACTTGTTAGAAATATCTAGTGTATAATAAAAATAGCTTAAGTTGCATTTTGAAGATATTCATGTACTTTGAGTTTGATAAAAAAGAGTTACAATTTTGAGGTAGTACAAGGCATTGGTCAGTGTTGGCTATATTGGTGTATACATGTTAACATATTATTTCATTGATGAACAGGTTCAGTGATATAATGAGACTGTAGCATATTGTCAGATTTTACACTCTTTACAGTAATTAAGTTTATATGTTGAAGAATTTTTTGTTCTGGTTGAATTTTCTTATTTGTCAAACTATAGGCCTTTCTATCAGCTTATTTGTCCAAGTTTTTTTCATCATTTTAAATACACACAATTTACAGTCAAACCTTGTTATCTCAAACTTAATAGCACCAAGATTAAACTTTGAAATACAAGATATTAACATACCATGTAAAAGAAAAACAGAAAGTCAAAGTGGTTGGGACTTCCAACTCATTTTGATATATCCCTGGTACTCAAGATATTGGTGTTTCAGATAACAAAGTTCAAGTGTACTTAGATTTTTATAAAATGTTAATAAATTCAATGGCAGTGAAATTATTTTGACAGTCTCTTGATATCTTGCATGACTGACTTCCTCTTTTAATTTTGTCTAGTTTGATGTTACCTTTCATAAAAAAAAAATCGAAATGACGTCATCTCTTTGAATTTAATAAATGAAGCAGAATTTTTTTATTGATCACAATCTAATTATGTGTGAGAGAGATATCTTAACCACTGTGAAAGTCTTTGTATGAGACAGATATCTTACCCATTTCTGATGTATTTGTACGAGACAGATATCTTACCCATTTCTGATGTATTTGTATGAGACAGATATCTTACCCATTTCTGATGTATTTGTATGAGACAGATATCTTGCCCATTTCTGATGTATTTGTATGAGACAGATATCTTACCCATTGCGGATGTATTTGTATGAGACAGATATCTTACCCATTGCGGATGTATTTGGCAGCATTCCTGCTGATGGCGTGTCCGACCCTCAGTTTGATTTGTACCAGCTGTAACAACTGAGGGAGATATATGTTCTTCATAGGACTAACAGGGGCAGAGAACTGTGACATCTGACTGGGATAGTAGTGCTCAATAGCCTCCCCTAGTCTCTCCAACTGTAAACAGAAAAACCACTAATCATTTACCAAATCAAAGACACAACAATTTACAGGGTACCTTTTATCACATATTATACACAAGGACATTTTGCATGCAATTCAAGGTTTTATAGAAGCAAAAATAAAGTTCTCATTAACAATAACTAGAAATTAATTTAATGTAAAAAAAATATATATAAAAATTAAATTTAATGAATAAATATATATATATATATATTATGCTATGTCTTGTAAAATGAGAGTCTCACTATACATGTTTATGTGTTAATTATTATGTGCTCGTAAAATTAATTACAGCAATGAAATACTGCACAATTTTGGACAGATTTTCAGAACTTCAGGAAATGACTGACTACCTATCAGATTACTAAGTTTACCTACTGACCTGTTTAAGTATGAGGTCCTGGGCCTCTAAGTACTGATCCAGTGTTTACCTACTGACCTGTTTAAGTATGAGGTCCTGGGCCTCTAAGTATTGATCCAGTGTACGCTCCGTGAACAGTACCGTCTCATCGTCCCTCTCCACCGCCTCGAGGTCCGTCCTCAGGACCAGGGCACGGGTCAACAGCTGCTCCCCAGGGACAGACAACTTAGGGATTTTCTGCAACAACTTAATGGCATCCTGTATAAAAAGTCATTTAAAAAGTTAATTTTTTTATCATTTGACCCAGTAGATATAAATTCAATAAAACTAGTTTTATTTCTTATTGATTTTTTCCCCTGAATTTTCAGATACAATATTTGGATATCTTATGAAGTTTTGATTATAATAAATGTAGAATTCATAGAATCCTTATGACAATAGACAGATGTGTTTCTTATTAAATAATTCATTATTCACATAAATTGTTACAGAAAAAAAAATGATAAAATTAGACTTGTTTGGTAACAATTATTTCGTTATACAGACCTGCAGCAGAGATACAGTGTGTTCCAGACTCTTGCCCTCTGTAATGTTAAGTATGGCGCCCTGTATGAAGAACTCGGCCTGCATTTCTACGTCACCACAAGCCTCCGCCTCACCCAGACCCTCAATACAATACTGACGACAGTCTGCCAGCTCCTGTAGAACCTTAGTCTCAGGGTCTGTAAACAGTCAATACATAAATCTATATAGACCCAGACCCTCGATACAATACTGACGGCAGTCTGCCAGCTCCTGTAGGACCTTAGTCTCAGGGTCTGTAAACAGTCAATACATAAATCTATATAGACCCAGACCCTCAATACAATACTGACAGCAGTCTGCCAGCTCCTGTAGAACCTTAGTCTCAGGGTCTGTAAACAGTCAATACATAAATCTATATAGACCCAGACCCTCGATACAATACTGACGGCAGTCTGCCAGCTCCTGTAGAACCTTAGTCTCAGGGTCTGTAAACAGTCAATACATAAATCTAATATATAGACCCAGACCCTCGATACAATACTGACAGCAGTCTGCCAGCTCCTGTAGAACCTTAGTCTCAGGGTCTGTAAACAGTCAATACATAAATCTATATAGACCCAGACCCTTGATACAATACTGACGACAGTCTGCCAGCTCCTGTAGAACCTTAGTCTCAGGGTCTGTAAACAGTCAATACATAAATCTAATATATAGACCCAGACCCTCGATACAATACTGACGACAGTCTGCCAGCTCCTGTAGAACCTTAGTCTCAGGGTCTGTAAACAGTCAATACATAAATCTATATAGACCCAGACCCTCGATACAATACTGACGGCAGTCTGCCAGCTCCTGTAGAACCTTAGTCTCAGGGTCTGTAAACAGTCAATACATAAATCTATATAGACCCAGACCCTCGATACAATACTGACGACAGTCTGCCAGCTCCTGTAGAACCTTAGTCTCAGGGTCTGTAAACAGTCAATGCATAAATCTATATAGACCCAGACCCTCAATACAATACTGACAGCAGTCTGCCTGCTCCTGTAGAACCTTAGTCTCAGGGTCTGTAAACAGTCAATACATAAATCTATATAGACCCAGACCCTCGATACAATACTGACAGCAGTCTGCCAGCTCCTGTAGGACCTTAGTCTCAGGGTCTGTAAACAGTCAATACATAAATCTATATAGACCCAGACCCTCGATACAATACTGACGGCAGTCTGCCAGCTCCTGTAGAACCTTAGTCTCAGGGTCTGTAAACAGTCAATACATAAATCTAATATATAGACCCAGACCCTCGATACAATACTGACAGCAGTCTGCCAGCTCCTGTAGGACCTTAGTCTCAGGGTCTGTAAACAGTCAATACATAAATCTATATAGACCCAGACCCTCGATACAATACTGACGGCAGTCTGCCAGCTCCTGTAGAACCTTAGTCTCAGGGTCTGTAAACAGTCAATACATAAATCTAATATATAGACCCAGACCCTCGATACAATACTGACGACAGTCTACCAGCTCCTGTAGAACCTTAGTCTCAGGGTCTGTAAACAGTCAATACATAAATCTATATAGACCCAGACCCTCGATACAATACTGACGGCAGTCTGCCAGCTCCTGTAGAACCTTAGTCTCAGGGTCTGTAAACAGTCAATACATAAATCTAATATATAGACCCAGACCCTCAATACAATACTGACGACAGTCTGCCAGCTCCTGTAGAACCTTAGTCTCAGGGTCTGTAAACAGTCAATACATAAATCTAATATATAGACCCAGACCCTCGATACAATACTGACGACAGTCTGCCAGCTCCTGTAGAACCTTAGTCTCAGGGTCTGTAAACAGTCAATACATAAATCTATATAGACCCAAAACAGTCAATACATAAATCTAATATATAGACCCAGACCCTCGATACAATACTGATGACAGTCTGCCAGCTCCTGTAGAACCTAGTCTCAGGGTCTGTAAACAGTCAATACATAAATCTATATAGACCCAGACCCTTGATACAATACTGACGACAGTCTGCCAGCTCCTGTAGAACCTTAGTCTCAGGGTCTGTAAACAGTCAATACATAAATCTATATAGACCCAGACCCTCGATACAATACTGACGACAGTCTGCCAGCTCCTGTAGAACCTTAGTCTCAGGGTCTGTAAACAGTCAATGCATAAATCTATATAGACCCAGACCCTCAATACAATACTGACAGCAGTCTGCCTGCTCCTGTAGAACCTTAGTCTCAGGGTCTGTAAACAGTCAATACATAAATCTATATAGACCCAGACCCTCGATACAATACTGACAGCAGTCTGCCAGCTCCTGTAGGACCTTAGTCTCAGGGTCTGTAAACAGTCAATACATAAATCTATATAGACCCAGACCCTCGATACAACACTGACGGCAGTCTGCCAGCTCCTGTAGAACCTTAGTCTCAGGGTCTGTAAACAGTCAATACATAAATCTAATATATAGACCCAGACCCTCGATACAATACTGACAGCAGTCTGCCAGCTCCTGTAGAACCTTAGTCTCAGGGTCTGTAAACAGTCAATACATAAATCTAATATATAGACCCAGACCCTCGATACAATACTGACGACAGTCTGCCAGCTCCTGTAGAACCTTAGTCTCAGGGTCTGTAAACAGTCAATGCATAAATCTATATAGACCCAGACCCTCAATACAATACTGACAGCAGTCTGCCTGCTCCTGTAGAACCTTAGTCTCAGGGTCTGTAAACAGTCAATACATAAATCTATATAGACCCAGACCCTCGATACAATACTGACAGCAGTCTGCCAGCTCCTGTAGGACCTTAGTCTCAGGGTCTGTAAACAGTCAATACATAAATCTATATAGACCCAGACCCTCGATACAATACTGACGGCAGTCTGCCAGCTCCTGTAGGACCTTAGTCTCAGGGTCTGTAAACAGTCAATACATAAATCTAATATATAGACCCAGACCCTCAATACAATACTGACGACAGTCTGCCAGCTCCTGTAGAACCTTAGTCTCAGGGTCTGTAAACAGTCAATACATAAATCTATATAGACCCAGACCCTCGATACAATACTGACGACAGTCTGCCAGCTCCTGTAGAACCTTAGTCTCAGGGTCTGTAAACAGTCAATACATAAATCTAATATATAGACCCAGACCCTCGATACAATACTGACGACAGTCTGCCAGCTCCTGTAGAACCTTAGTCTCAGGGTCTGTAAACAGTCAATACATAAATCTAATATATAGACCCAGACCCTCGATACAATACTGACGACAGTCTGCCAGCTCCTGTAGAACCTTAGTCTCAGGGTCTGTAAACAGTCAATACATAAATCTATATAGACCCAGACCCTCGATACAATACTGACGACAGTCTGCCAGCTCCTGTAGAACCTTAGTCTCAGGGTCTGTAAACAGTCAATACATAAATCTAATATATAGACCCAGACCCTCGATACAATACTGACGACAGTCTGCCAGCTCCTGTAGAACCTTAGTCTCAGGGTCTGTAAACAGTCAATACATAAATCTATATAGACCCAGACCCTTGATACAATACTGACGGCAGTCTGCCAGCTCCTGTAGAACCTTAGTCTCAGGGTCTGTAAACAGTCAATACATAAATCTAATATATAGACCCAGACCCTCGATACAATACTGACGACAGTCTGCCTGCTCCTGTAGGACCTTAGTCTCAGGGTCTGTAAACATTCAATACATAAATCTATATAGACCCAGACCCTTGATACAATACTGACAGCAGTCTGCCAGCTCCTGTAGGACCTTAGTCTCAGGGTCTGTAAACAGTCAATACAAAAGTTAGACTCTATAGAACTATATATAAATGATCACTTCATATTACCCTTGCCCGTTGAATTGAATTGAATGTTGTAATTTTGGACAGCAATGCATGTACTATGTAATTTTCCTAAAATCTGTATTTGATATCACTAAAACATTTAATAAATGTACTGTTAATCACAGTTTATTTACAGGAACTGTAATTTTTTACATAATTTTTCAGGAATGTCTCAAATCAAAACTAAAGTTCTGAAGAATAACAGGAAATAGGTGTAATTACTAGCCAAAGATTTTATCTCGTACAAATAAATGCAATATTATTATCTAATGAAAATAGTCATGTGACAGCAACTATATGATTAATTAACATTATATATATCCTGTTCTTGGAAAAGTTGACCTTTGCTCTCTCACCTTTGATCTCTCCCAAGCTGCGGACCTCCATCATCAGACACTTCACTAGAGCCTGACGACAGTCCAACCATAACCGGGCGTCCAAGCGTGACCGACTCTGGAAGTTCTGGTACTGGAACTGGCTATTTTCTGGATGAACGATTTTAACGTTAGCATGGGCGTCCTTCTTGGGACCTGATCCTTTTAGAGAGGATGGTCTGTAAAAGGAGAGATATTGAAATCAAATATGCTGTGATATCTGATCCTTTTAGAGAGGATGGTCTGTAAAAGGAGAGATATTGAAATCAAATATGCTGTGATATCTGATCCCTTTAGAGAGGATGGTCTGTAAAAGGAGAAATACTGAAATCAAATATGCTGTGATATCTGATCTCTTTAGAGAGGATGGTCTGTAAAAGGAGAGATATTGAAATCAAATATGCTGTATGTGATATCTTTATTTAAATCAAATACAGTAACATTAAGGATCAAAATAAATACATTGTCAGTACAGTATAAGAATTAGTGTTTACAGGTACAGGACTGGGTTTTCCCTCAAGCCTAAATATATTCATAGAATACAGATTTCCCTGGCAAATTTTAGAATGATATTATGATTTTTTTTTATACATATATTGCCCACAAAATAAGTACAGAAGGTGAAGACTCATGTGAAAGTTACAAGAATTTCTCCATACTACAATTTCACTGAGCTGGGACTCCAACATTAAAGGTGAATGTATTGGAGAATATTGTAAGAGTGCAACTAATATGTCATCTCTACTGTAGTGAAAGCTTTGAATTGCAGTTTAAAATCTTTTCTGGTGAATATCTACTAAAGACAATGACTTCTGTGTACATCTGTGACTGTATAAAGCTCTTTTTTTTGTGATATCAGAAAAATTAAGAAAACATAATAATAGGAGCAATTTGTTCATAAAAATCTGACAATCAGATATTTCTCTTTCTGTTTTCTTAATTTTCATTTAAAGCATATGAGTGAATAAAGAAAAGAACACTTGAAAAAAAAAATCTTCTGGAAAAAAAAGCTAACATTTCTTTCAGCAAATTAAAAAATCATGAAAAAAAGAGCATGTCCTTGACAAATACAAAATGTAAACAATTATAAAACAAAATCTCTAGTAAGAGAAATATTCTGTTGGATCTAACAACTCCAAATTCTGTAGAAATAAAAAGCAACAAGAATTTAATGGAATAGAAAAATATAGTTTGTGTTAAACTACATCTAATTTACCTCGCCGATAATTCAAAAGGATCTTCTCTGTAAGTCAATGATAATTAGTTAAATAATTATTCAAAGATGTTAACTAATTAAACAGATAAAATAACAACAAACTTCACTACATATTTGGCTTAAAACTCCAAGTTGTCATTCTTTAGAGTAGGGTTACTTACAAAAACTTGTATGCAAATGAATGACATTTTTATCAGACAGTGACTCTATGGAATTAAATATCTACTGACTGACCAGTAAACCCACCTCTTTGTAACTGTAGTTTCTTTCTTGGGTTTAAACAGCTGAGAATTTTTGAGGAGTTTGAGGGCAGATAGAATGATCCGAGCAGCCATAGGAGCATGTTGTTTCTGGCGGGAGATCACAGCCTGCTGGAGCTTACAGAGGACAACCAACTCCAGCTCAGCTGCTGGCAGAGAGTCCAGGCCTAAAACAGAGGATTATTATTAATAATAGGCTTTTCCACTAGTTATGATAACATGATATTCAGAACATAGATTTTAACAGCTCCCTCTTTAATAGCTTTGCTTAAGCCCGATTGATAACACCCTCAACACCCCCCCCCCCCAAAAAAAAAGTTGGGATTTTTGCTAGACCAGCATGAATCACCTTAAATTAAACAAATAAAAATAGCCAATAGATGGTCTTCCTATGACGTATTTTTCCTAAGAGTTATTCCCCTTGGCCGCCATCTTGTAGTTCAAAGTAGTGAATTCTCCTCTTTGAGTAACCAATTTTATAGACGCATGCCAAAAATATTGGGAAAAAATATTAACAATATTGAAATTATGAATTAAAAGAAGCTTTAACAAACGTATATTCATAAGAAAAACAGTGTTATCTTCACCTCAGTGCCCAGTATAACAAATTGAACTTGGTTGAATAATGAAGGGATCTGGGGATGTTGACCTACAATATGGTGGCCATGGGAAATAACTCTTGCTTAAATCACCTTAATGGAAAACCATCTATTGCTGATAATTTTGAAAAGATATCTTCACACGAAACATTACAATAAACAAAGTGGCCCAATACCTACCAGATTTGTCGTGTTCTGCATTCTCCAGAATGACCTCAGCAATGGTGGTCACCATCTGATCAGCCATAGTCAGTAGTGTCCCTTTAATCAGCTCCAGGGTCAGGGGTTTCTTACTCTGGGTGAAGCGTCTGGTCACATGACCACTGTGATGTTCCTCCTCCTCCTCATCCCCTCCTGAACAAGGTCAAAGGTCATTTATATAAACCCACAATGGAGGAAAAATTATTTTTTTTTCCATATTTTATGTGAATTTAAGAAGTGTAAGCTTTTAATGCAAACATATACTCCCAAAGTGTTTTTTTCTCCAATTTATCTAAAATTAAATTTAATTATTCAGTTGAAAACAATGATTGGAACTACTTGTAAGTTTTTAGCATTGCTATTAACCAATCACAATTCCAGCAACCATATCTGCTCTTAATCTAGGATCTGTGATAACTTTCTGAATAAGTTGGTAATTTTGTTGACCCTTACCCCCGTCATCTTTCCGTGTGTCCGTTGATGACCGTGTAGATTTCCGTGCTCCCCCACTGCTGCTACTGGATAATTTGAATCCTTTGGAACCCAGTCCCCCGCGGGAGATTGTACTGATAGTGAAAGGTTTTAGATCCTTCTGTCCATCTGTCAAACTACAGAAAGACAAATGTTTATTGCAATTATCATGATGCCATTCAGAGTTTAATAACTTTGTATTTACTGAAAAGAACATTCTATTTCATAAAACCAATTTCACTTGATATATAAATTTAATTTTTTGATCACTATATATATATTTTTTCCCCCCAAAAAAGTCATTTCAAGAGGTGCAATAAAACAAAGGTTGGCAAAAAGGAGAGCAATATTGCTAACTGCAGACTTACATGACATCCTCCATCCTTGGGATGACAGGAATGGTGTCTGCCAAGGACACAAACAGGTGTGCCTGTACTAGGGACAGGTGACAGGTCATGTGGGGTCCATAGAGGGTAGCCAGACTGGACGACAACCTCTTATCTAGGACCATCTCCAGAACCTACCGACAGAAAGACAAAATCATAATATATCTTAAGTATTATTATGATTTCTATCTTTGAACATCTCCAAAACATACAGAGAGCATATCTGATAACCTCTTATTAAGAACCATCTCAAGGTTCTACAGATAGACAAAAAGACAGCTAGACAGACAGACAAAGTCATAAAATGTCAGATAATTTTTCCTCTAGGACAGAATTTCATGACAAAATTGTTACTTTAATAAGCAGCTCATACTGAGTGATTTATTAATAAGTACGAATCTCACAAATCCATTGCAATGGATTTACATCAAAACTGGTCTCAAAATATCTTCAGGTATCAGTATTTAATGCATTTCAAAAAAAGTTCTGAGAAAATTTTACCCTAAGGTTGACGGGCTCTGTGATAGGTTTGGACGTGTTAAACTTCAGTGAGCTCATCTTAGATTCCACTTGTCTGAAGTGACTGTCTCCGATCTGAGGTAGTCTCTCTCCATGAAGAAGTCGCTGGAGGGTGATAAAGGCCTCGTTAAACAGTCGCAGGTCAGTGAGCACTCTTACTTTGAGTATTCGTCCATCCACTGACCTCTGAAGGTCACGACAGACAAAGGTCGTCAGGTACTGGTTCAGGGTCAGCAAGGGCAGAACCTACAATAAAAACAGTCTGTGTGCTGTACTTTACTACACTGAGTACACTGTACTTAAAATTTGAAGAGAGCTGTTCTATTTGGATTACAATCTAATATACATCTACTAAGAAACACATTGAAAATCTTGCATAATTAAGACTTTCTATTTGAGCACCACTTTCTCCCCCAACTTCACTATTTCTTAGTAACCCTTGCTCTTAATTTATTTAGTGAAATTACTCTTTCTATCAAACCTCTACATATATATGTAAATAAATGTGGGAATGCAAAAACAATTACTGATATTGAACTTTACAAATTTTACACTTACAAACAGGTTATGCTTCCCTCTGGCCAGCTCCTCTGTCACCCAACGGATGGCAGCGATCAGTTGTCTTCCATCACAACGGAACTTCTCTGACAACAGGTCCAGTCCAGGGACAAGGTTTGTGACCTCACAGCCCTCCCCTACCTCATACAGGGCATAGTCTCTGTCAGCCCTGGGGTGGGGCAGAGAGGTACGGAATAGGGCCTGAAAAAAAACATTATCAAGACTTACTGATCATTGTGAAACAATTAACATGAACATTGCCAGCAAACATCCAAATTCTCTAAAATTTTAGTTAATGCATCTTTTCTAAATTTAACAGACACAATGTATCAAATTTATATGGTTTGGTAAAAGATTTCAATTGATTAAGATTTGTTACCTTGAAAAAATAGCCAGACAGGAAACAGCATTCCATTCTCAGTCCAAGGTCAGAGGTTAAGATGTACCTAAAGTAAAAATATGAGATTTGAGGGAGACACTCCAATTTCCATAAAAACTTAGTTCATACAATGTTTGAATCTACAATCTTGTGTACAATACAACAGATGAGCTAGTCTAAATCCATTTTGTACAATATTTTAAATGAGGAGTAAGTCTTCTGTGCAATGCTGAAGCTAACATGCCCGCCTACTTACTGTGCAATGTTGGAGGCTAACACGCCCCCCAGCAGACAACCCCACAGTCCACATCTCTTAAGTAGGTCAGAGCTGATGTCCGTGCTATCCTTCATCATGTTCCTCCAGGTGTGGAGGGCATCTGTCGTGTTGAGGGTGTGGTCAAGGGACTCTGCCCACCATCTGTATGCCCCTCTGTAGACAGAGTATGGAAATAATCTCTACTTTTAGAGGGTTTGTAGTCAAGAATTTAATTTTTTGAAAACATTTTGATAATTATAGTATCAGTACATATATTAAAGATTTGACATTCAACAGGTTCTGATGAAAAAGGAACTGCAAGTTTCAATAAAATTAAAGTTACTTAAATTTTAAATTTTATTGCAAAAAGACAATTACCTGATGTTTGAGGCATGGTACTGGAGATTTCCCAATTCATGCATGGCCTGTGCTGCCTGACTTCTCTGGTTCTTGGCTAACAACATAGCTACAGAGACAGAGACACTGATATCAGACTATAGTAAAAGTTTGGTAGACTCATAAGAGAGCTACAGAGACAAGGGCATTACATATCAATTTATAGCTAAAATTGGTCACGAAGTATACAATGTACTTTAGATTTCCTATTACATGAAAGAAATTAAAGTTGGACAGTCCGCATAAAATTGTGAGGGGCACCTCTCGTGAAATCTCGCTGATTTCTATCAATATTTACATTTAGTATAGGATGAGAATTACTAAGAATAAGTTATTTCAAATTTTATGTGCCTAATTCGTAATTTTATCCTAATTTCCCTAAAGTCATCTTCATATTGTTTCTGCTTTTTATGTCCTACAGACAATGCAGACAATTCACGTTCAATGATTAAGCTTTTTCTATGAGGAGAGAAAAATAGCTTATGTTTGGACTAGTCATAATGCTTATTGAAACAATTGTCAGAGAAGAAAGTGTCACATAAGATGAAAAGTCCTGAACATATATTACTTAATTATCCTACTAGCAAGTAAAAATTTGGACCTTTAAAACAGGTTTCATTTAACATGACAATTTTTAACACAATAAACTCTAGCATCAGTGGTAGCAAAATCTAATTCTGAAGAAGTTCAGTGCTCTAGATTTCATATTCTTTCAAATTAAGACAAGCCATAGATTTCACCAAATTATAAACTTATGGTATAAAATATTTCATATACATACATACATTTGTCAGATATCTCATACAATGAGATGATATTACAACAGATCTATCTACCTATTGTCTTTTCATAGGATGAGATGACTGTTCCTAGCTGGGACCTTGGCATACATGTTGTCAGTACATCATTCATGTCTGTGAATTCCTCTCGGCTGATGTCAGGGGGCATGGTAGGCTGGGGTTTAGCTGTGGTGGGGACAAACTCTACCCGAGACACCTGGCGACTCAGGAACCCATCTCCAACTACAACATAAAAATAACATTATGTGTACTCCAATAAATCATGAAACTAAATACGAAGGAAACTGAAAAGAAAAAGTTTTAGAATTTGCATTCTGTTCTAAATGAATGAATTTTGTCCAAAGATGTCAAAGAAACCCCCCAAAGAAAGTTAAGAATGAATTACAAGTCTACAAAAGGCTAATCTCGATGATATTACCATTCTGCTGGCCAGCCAGGTAGAGTATGAGGAGTTTCCGGCTATGATGGAGGGCCCTACAGGTGTACTGTGACTTATCCAGGACCTCCCGTAATGTCTGCAGACTGAGGGGTATGTCAAGGGGCACAGAAACTGAAGTCTGACCATCCTTAACTACAAGCAGAAAAAAATTCAGTATATTTGAAATTTTTTCTCTCTGAAAAGCAATAACTTTACTGTGGAATCTTCATTGTTCGTGGGAGATCAATGTTCGTGGATTTCGTGGGTAACCCTTACCCACGAATTTACATCCCCACAAACAATTATTTTGTCAACGTACTGATTAATTAAATCTACCAAATAAACGAGTTGCCCACGAAATTACATCCCCACGAACCAATAAAATTTTGCTTGCCCACGAACATTGACCCCCACGAATTTAAATGATTCCACAGTATTTTATTACACATATCCTGTTCATTTTTTTTATTATGGTACAAAGACCCCAAAAATATAATTTTATTTAGTAATATAGGTGACTTCTGATGAGTCAATTCACAAAGTGGCATGACTTAAGGCTTTAAATTGTTTTGCAATCTTACAATATACTGGTGCACGTATAAACAATTTTTTATACTTGTATATATTCCGTGTCCAAGTGGGTCAATAGCTGCCCCTGGTGGGATTGGAGGGAGGTTATTGGGGTCAATAACTAAGGTCAGCTGAGTGTGGAGATAGTTTTTAGAGGTGATCACACCGCCCAGTCTCTGCATCAGCTGACGGTAGTGTTTCTGTGGGGGTTCCTCTCCCCCAAGCTCAGCTAGGAGGGACACGATTTGTCTCTGGGCCTGGACAAGGATTGGAATGACTTGTTCAGCATAACGGTCACTGAAAGTATAAAAAGAGACAGTTTTACAGCATAATAGTCACTGAAAGTATAAAAAGAGACAGTTTTACAGCATAATGGTCACTGAAAGTATAAAAAAAGACAGTTTTACAGCATAACAGTCACTGACAGAGAAGAAAGAGTGTGATAATCAAAAATGGTAATTTAAGGCCGTGGTCCACAGTACATGAACACAATGACAAAACATTAAAACAGTAAACCAATTAATCAGTAAATAAAGATCCATTTCATGAAATCTTTAAAATGGGTTTGACAAGATTGCATAGCATTCATAATTTGATAAAAGAAATCCTGAATTTTTCTTCAAAAGTCATAAAACCACAGCTATACATTTGGTAATGCAGGTCTAAATTATGTACATCATGTATTTTCAAAAGAAAAATGAACAACTCACTTAGTCAGTCCACTGAATCGCATGGCTATATCAACTAACTTCTCCCATTTCTGCTCATAGAACAGCATTTCCAGGACCCTCAGGACAAATCGACTGATGAATCGAATGTCACAAACACTGGCGTCATCTAGTGGAGCCTCAAACTTCAGACTGGCTCCGCCCTTCTCCTTCGTGATGTCACCTGTCCAGGTCTCAAACATATCTCCAAGCTTACGATTCTTGCTCTTTGCCTTCAAAGTGAAATTAAAACAAATAATTTTGAAATATCTTATGGAGAAAATTATTATAAAGCAACAGGTGTCCATTAAATTTACTGAATAAAATTAATGAAAATATAGTCTTCTACAATTTCTTCACTTTAGAAGCCTACATTCTCATTGACAACATCACAAGAAGCAGATAAAGAAGCTGGATTACCTTTTCAGCGTGTTTCTCAAGATCTGTTTGTAGATGTACCAACATGTCTAATGTACAGTCAGCCGCAGTATACACAGGGAACCAGACTATAGATCTCAGATTGTCCACAGTCAGAAGTCCATCCTCTTGTCCAATTGCCCGTAACAGTGCAGTATGGGCACAATTCCACATGGTCCGGCACGAGTTCTGGAGCAATGTCCAGTGCTGCCCCCTATGAGCCAAGATCTAGAAAAAAGGAGAGAGTTAATGAAATTAATTGATTGGCTAGAAAATTTGAACATTCCAAAAGATATGATTTGAGGCAATATACATTTTTGACAAAAATCAGGGAAATGAAATCATAGGTAAACTTGTAGATTTAAAATGAATTTAAAATTTTAAAACGAAATGGCTTCTCCTTAATGTTTTTTTTTTTTATCTTTCCCCAAAGCTCTGTTTTACATAAAGATGCTTATTTTAATGAAAATGCCAAAGTACAAGTAATAAAGCTTGCTTCAAAAGCAAAATGGCCACCAAATTTCAAATACTGAAACTTACCACAGCCTTCTTGAAGTGAGCGAAGGTCTTGGTGAGGGATTCTGTGATTTCCTTGGTAGATATAATGACATTATCTATCTCCTTCTGTGTCTGTCTGGGGACGGCTGGGGCATTGCTAGCATCTGAGCGGTACGTCCTGGGGGTGTCCTCCTGTTCTGGGGGGTAGAAGAACATGGGAGGGGGTGCACTGCCTGTAGAAAATGGAGAACTTGTTATAGAAAAGTACTTTAAGTCGCAAAAGGAAAAAAAAGATACACTATAATTAAATTTATACCAGCTTTTATACATCACTGTAATAAGGCATTTTCAAACATCCTTCCAAAACTGACATTAAATTCATGATGAAGCTTACAATTTTTATCTGTAATGTCTTAAATGATTTTATCCACAAAGTTAAATTTTTACATTTCATTAGTCAAGATTATTTTGAAAACTTTTCAATGTTTATTCACAATTTAGAAAAGCACATTAAAATGTTGTACATTCATAATCTTCTAAGCCCATTGTCTGTTCATCTGTATGAAAATACTAATAACTAAATCAAATTAAACTTAAAAGTTTCACATAGTTACTGTGATAAAAAAAGAAGAATTTGATCTGTGACAGAAAATAAGGTTGTGTAAGGATAAATACTGAAGTGCTGGAAACAAAAACATTACCCTGGAAATTAAAATGCATGCATGATATAATTGTACATGTGCAGGAAAAATATTTCACAAGAAAAAAATATATACAGATTTCTTTGTGATGCAAGGCCCATATAAGCATGCATGCAACAAATCTGGTAAAATATTTTGTGAAACATACACAAAAATAATAAACATAACTTTGTATATCTGCTGAAGCACAATGGGGAAACATATAGACAAGCACAAGATAATTCACTGGTAGATATCACGTGTTACACAATAGGTACAAAATCATGTGCTGCAAAAAGCTTTCTTCAAATAAGAGTGAGTAACTTAACTAGAAAACTGAAAATAAAAGAAAAGGCTCCAGGGTTTGCTTACATCAATAGTCTTATCTTTTGACCTTGACCTTTGAGCTAAAGCCAATCAATTGTTTTGACCATTTGATCTTGACCTTTGATCGTAAGCCACCAATATCAATTCATTTCTTGTTCAAAAGAGACGGTGCCTTAAATGCTTCAAAGTTATTGCATAATGATTTAATAAACAAACTTGACCTTCAACCTTGACCTTTGACAGTATGATTCTGAATTTTGCAGGTGTTTTTCCTAGCATTCTCAACTTATCTAGCTAATATTAAATTTGTAGATCACAAAGTATTCCAGTTATTGCATCACATTGGTCATACAAATAATCTTGACTTCAACCTTTGACCAAGTGACCCAAATACCTATTTGTTTTCCAACTATCTATTAAAAATGAAATTTTTCTTCAAGAAATATCCGAGTTTTTGAATCATATTTTTGTGAAATGGTCATATGCATGGCAATTATCCTAATTTGTGACCTTGACCTTGAATAAAGTAACCCCAAGAGCTATGGGTGTCTTCCCCTAACAGTCCTTTAACTTGCAGTAAATATGAAGTCTTTTTGTTAAAAGTACCAAAGCTATCACACTGCATAGAGTATGCAGATGAACAGACAGACTGTTAGACATATAAGTATTGGGGCATTACATTTTGATGTGGACTCTTCTAAGATATTCTACTCTATACTAAATTTTAGTGCTTAGTGATAATAATAAGAAATCCCTGACTAAGACTCTCTGATTTGAGACACCTCTAAAAAACGAGAAAAAAAATGTAATTCATAGGACCAAAAACCCAATATAATTGGACTACATGTTAAGCTAAAAGGAAAACAAGCCACCAAATGCAGGACAGAAGTATCTATAGGCTGCCTGAGTGTGGCAATAATCGGCCGACCGCCACCAGATATATGTACCCTCTTTATTGGTACCCTCTGTACTGGTACCCTGTGTTGTCTCAGTCTGGGACTGAGAACCAGCCAAATCAGGAGATTCAGTTTCCTTCAGATGTTCAGGGACCTCTCCTAGAAGTGGAGCACATGGAGCATGCAAAGTGAAAGTAGTCATGCACTTAACAAAAACCGTGGTTTAATACAAATGTCGAAGTTTCTGTCAGTGTGGTACTCTTCTTTATGATTTTTGAAAAAATGCTGGACTCTTCATGCAAAAATAATCTGATATTATTGACAAACACAAGAATCACCACAGACTACAACACTCATGATGCAGACATGGACAAGCATGTGATTTCAAATGTTTAAATTAAGTCTACTTTGTACAAATCTACAATTACATTAAAAGTGATTAGAGGCCCCAAACATTACAAGCTTTTATTGTCTCATGTCATTATTTAATTATCATCACAGGTTTGAATAAAAGATCTGATAGACTGCCTCCTCACGACAGATTTAAATGTTCCTGTAACAAAGTATATTTAAAATCTGTGGCTAAACACGATAGTGTAACCCAAACTAATGCTGTATACCAAAGGCCATTACCTGTAGCTAGGGCAGCTGCTATCTCAATACCAGTAGCCGTGGTCCGTGGGCGACTCTCATGCTCTGCCAAGTCAAGTGCATCCAAGCGTGACGCCTGTAAGCGGGCTAGCTCTCCCTCCTCATCCTCTTCCAGCCTCTTTCTGCCTCGCGGCTCAATGGGTTTAGCTGGTCCTCCCTCCCAGCCGACAACAAGGGTACCAGCTGTCTCAAAACCAAACCATTCCTCATCCAAAAAGTTGGTTCTAAAAATGATCACAAAAAAATTATTAAATTACCGGAACACAGTTCACTATAAGTGGGATACTCTTTCAATTATTAATTCTACATTTATATATGAACTATTTTCTGTAGAAGATCGGTACTAAGGCATTATAATTCAGCTTGTAACATGAATTCCTATTTTATGTGTGCAGACATTACCTGTACATGTTGGCAGTTCCCAATACTTTATCTCTTGTCTCCAGTCTTTGTAGAAAAGCTGAGAAATGACTCATTCCTTGCAGCAACACCAACTGAAAATTCAAATAAAAGATCCTCTTCAATGACTCATTTTACAGTGACTGTGACTGTCCTATGTAAGGAATCATTAATAATCAAGATATCAAACTTAAAATTTACTAATGATTGCAGAAGTTTAAATCTATGTTTGTTCATTAGTGAGACAGCTCCACCCCTGTTTATCATTAAATAGCCCCAACTTTTATACTTTAACAGACATATTTTTTGATAACCCCGTCCTCTTTTACCTGACATCTCCATGGCATTTCATCCACTGTCATCTTCCTCAGTTTCCTCTTCCTGTGCCACTGTCTATACATGTCCGGGAAGTAGGTGGTAAAAGTTTCTATAGCCTGCAGGAAGAGTTCAACACAGTGAGAAAAACACAGGAATAATACAAAATAAAAAGTAGCATATTGTTTAAGTAGAGTTTTGCATGTACAGCTTGGCTTTCTGTTGACCCGTTTATGTGTGATTTTTTTTTTCTTTAGTGTCTTACCTTTAATTCTGCCTCTTCCTGGGCATGGCGCTGGGTGTCTGTCATGTTAGGGTTCACCATGACAGGCTGAAAAAGGCAAAAATAGTCTCAGAAAAAGCTTATAGAAAAGACATCACCCTGACAGTAGTTTGATCAATACTGAGGAATATCAACAGATCATTTATTTATTTCTTTTTTTAAACAAATAATTTTTTTTCTTTTCTTTTTGAAAATCTCTCTTGGGTCTCATAAAGAAAGCCTTTACTTTATACTTTAGTGTTCCCCTACTGTTTTTTTTTTAATTTTTGAATCATAGCACAAGATTTAAATCAAAATGTGCCTACAGTTAATGTAAAAACTAGAATCTACATATAAAAGAATTTATATTTGTTTAGAATCTTTTCATTTTTTTTTATCGTTTATAAAATTATGATCATAATAACATGTAAGCTTAATTACCCTATACTGCCGGCGGCGTCTTGGCTTGGTGGTGCTGGATTTAGCAGCTGCGATCTTCGAGCCTGGGATTTTGGGAGTTGTCATTTCCTAAAAGTCAGTGAACAATGCAATGCCATTTGAGTTAAAAAAAATTCCAATCCACAACTCTGCCACTTTTAACCAAAGTTCATAAAAATAACAAACATTAGATTCTGAAATGTTTTAGTGTCCTTCTGGTTTGTTGTTATTGATACAGAATTCCCCCACATACCTTCTCCTTTGTATATTCTACCATGGCGGCAGCAAACCTCTTAGGGTCATCTCCGGACACAGTGACCACACCTGGCTGCTTACCCAGGTATTGGCGCATTCCAATGATTTGCTCATTCCTCCTGAAAGAGGAAAGAGATTTTTATTTTCCCACTTGTTGCAGAAAGTAAAACATTTTAAAGATTTCAATAAATAAAAGCCAGTGGTAGGTAATGTACATTACAGGTAAAAAAAAAAAAAGTTCTCTTTCAGTGCATTTGGAAAATAAAATTTTATTGAAAACTCTGCACTGAATGTTGAATCAGATGTACAGATATAAAGACAGGCTTTTTCATATCTGAATTTAAAGCATAAATTCTCACATAAATTTGAACAGTATATACCTCTCATATGTTTGAATAGTTTTAATTTTTTTTTTCTTAGTTGAACAAATGATTGTACCCAGTTATCACATAGACTTATTTATACATCTATAATTTTCACAAGTTTTCTATACTATGTTTAACCCCCATCTTTACTCCATCAGTGATTAACAAGATAATAATGAAGTACTAACTTGGCCAGCCACGTCGATGTGTCGTCACACCAGTCCATTACTTGGGTGGCCATTCCTTCTGTCAGGGCTTTCTGAGCGACCTGGACAAAGAACTCCAGATAGCGATGGCGACGCTTGAACTTCACCACTGAAACAGAAATATACATAGAGTAGAATGAAATTGAAAGTACATTTTGAAATCATTAACACCTGAAAGTCAAATATCAGGAATATATATGTCAAAGTGTGTCAACTGTCCCAATTAATCATAAAAAATTTTCAATCTCAATATCTTATTTTCTCTTTAGGCCAGCATACTGGGCAAGTAAGCTATGTAGTCAAGGAAATTGTTTACTTATCCTTTCTATAAGCTAGCTTACTGAACAGGTAAGCTATGTAGACATAGAGATTGTTTACCTCCCTTTTCTATAAGTCAGGTTACTGAACAGGTAAGCTATTTAGGCATGGAGATTGTTTACATACCGTACCCCTCTATATAAAGACTGGGCTGATAAGCTATATGACATGGAGATTGTTTATATACCGTACCCCTCTATATAAAGACTGGGCTGATAAGCTATATGACATGGAGATTGTTTACATACCGTACCCCTCTATATAAAGACTGGGCTGATAAGCTATGTATGCATGGAGATTGTTTATATATACCTTCTCTATAAGCATGGACATTGTTTACTTACGTTCTCTATAAGCCAGCTTACTGGGCAGGTAAGCTATGTAGACATGGAGATTGTTTACTTACCCTCTCTATAAGCCAGCTTACTGGGAAGGTAAGCTATGTAGACATGGAGATTGTTTACTTACCCTCTCTATAAGCCAGCTTACTGGGAAGGTAAGCTATGTAGACATGGAGATTGTTTACTTACCCTCTCTATAAGCCAGCTTACTGGGAAGGTAAGCTATGTAGACATGGAGATTGTTTACTTACCCTCTCTATAAGCCAGCTTACTGTGCAGGTAAGCTATGTAGGCATGGAGATTGTTTACTTACCCTCTCTATAAGCCAGCTTACTGGGCAGGTAAGCTATGTAGGCATGGAGATTGTTTACTTACCCTCTCTATAAGCCAGCTTACTGGGCAGGTAAGCTATGTAGGCATGGAGATTGTTTACTTACCCTCTCTATAAGCCAGCTTACTGGGAAGGTAAGCTATGTAGGCATGGAGAATACTAGGGTCCTCAAATCCTGACAGTTCATGCTCATACTGGGCTATAAAAACAGAAAAAACATTTTAAAAGCTATAGTAAGAATGGGAGGTGCCTTACTTGCTATTCAGTCCAATTCTCAACAGGTGAAACTCTTTCCTTTAAATCGAAATTGAAATTTGACAACTTGGTCTGTAATCATTTTTTATAAATGGGGGGAGGGAGAATTTATTTCAAAGTAATGATATTTTAATATTTTTTTTAATTCATGATCAGAACCATTTAAAAAAGAAGTCTGTATTTCCACTGTGTTTGCAATCATATTACAAAATATGAACACAATATAGTGAAAACTATTGTATTGGAACTACAAAAATGAATTTCCAATATATGCAGCATACAAGAATTGATGTCTTATAAGTCAGTCATAAGAAAAGAGGTATACATTGTCAATGTGTTTAAAATCACTGTGTAAGGTTTATAAATACCTAGGGAAAATTACAGTAAAAGGTTACATCAACTCTGAAACCCTGACTTAGTAGTGAACACACCTTGTTTGGAGAGACTAAGCATGTGAGCTTCTAATGCCTTCAGCTCCTCATTGACTGGTCCCTCAGCTTCCTCTTTACCGGCTCCCGGCCCCATTCTTTTGGCCCTCTTCCTCTTCAGTGCATGAAGTGGCATTGAGTCAGACATGTCAGTTTTTTCGTCAGCAGAAGTTTCGCCCCCTGAGAGGGCCCCCTTCTCTGTTATGTCTGTCTGTTCCTTCTCTTTGTGTTTTTTGTCCTTGGGGTCCTCTCCTTCAAGTGCCAGCAGACGGCGACCTGCCTCGTTAATGTTGTTAGCTAGCTGCTTGTGACCCCACGACCTCAAAACCTACAAATACAAAAGCAAAAGTCAAAATATTTCTCCCTTCTTGATAAACTCTAATAAAACATAAGGTCAATCTTTATTTGAACTACACATCACTCTGATCATTCAGTATATGACTGTATCTTATTTCAAAATATGTTCAGAGACTTTAAAAACAGAGAGAGGAAAGACTGTTCACAACGGGAAATACTGTAAATGTATTTTATTTGTCGTGTACGATATTTGGCAGAAATTGATTTTTGAACAAGTTAGCATAGGTTTGATTTAGCGCTTTCTGAATGCCCTTTATAAGAATATGCATAGTACACAACACTTTTAGCGATGTATCGAGACTATCAACACTTGATTTAGCGGAAGCTCCTTTCCGCAAAAAAGGTGCTGAATAGAACACACAGCAAAATATAATATGCATACAGTATTCTTTTCTAGATATAAAAGACAGATTTTTTAAAGTGACAAAACAGCAAAGCATTTTCATCCCAATAAAACCAAAAGGTCAAAGACAAGCCTACCGGAGAAGTAGCCAGACAGATTTAACTGTAGGAGCAGAATGATACCTTAGCCATACTGTAGGTTATACACGCTGTCATGTGATGGAGGCTGTCTGCTATACTCTGTTGTCTCTTTTGTCTGAGGCCAGCAGGAATTTCTTGCAGCACCACATGGCATCTCTGCAATACCTATCAATTAAACAGAGAAATCTTATTCTCCTGTATTTTTTTTCCATAGAAAAGAAAGAATCCAAAGTTTTTGCACCGTTTCCCGAAATATTATTAATATACGGAGTCAATGGTCATGTTGGTACGAGATTGGTGTAAAAATGTAAGAGTTTGTAAGTTTATTTTTACATCCAATAATTGCAAATATTCACCGAAAGAATCTTAATACATGTAGCCTTAGTTATTCTCTTGATTGAGCATTTGTTACATACTATATGCTGGTGACTGTTTTAGTTTTCAGGTAAGATTAACAACCTGACAGTCAATGTAATTCAGATATCCAACATCTCCTATTACTGTTGTTAATTCTGAGTTCTCAACAATGTAAAATTCAACATCAAGTTAGAAGAATCTAAGAAGAGATTGCTTATTCCAACAACATGTCAGCCCTCAATACTTTGCCATTAAATATTGCAGACTAAATTATCTAGAGTTTTTCTTACATGCAGATAATCAGCTATGAAGGAAGATTACTGAAGAAGAGGAACGTTCCTCTCTTAAATTGCACTTAAAGTGGCGTATTTCTCAAAAAGCTCCCTTGAAGAGGCTCAATTACTGACTTTTAGACCATTTTCAACTTCAGATTTGAATAATCAGGTTTAAAAAAAGGAATTTTGATTTTCTCTTTTTGATTTGGATTGTGTATATTATAATAAAACACTTTTGTTAAAGTTACCTGCACCACCGCCAGAGAGGGTATCTTGTAGAAGATGAGTGGTGCCAACAGTCCATAACACTGGACCACCGCCTGTAGGGCCAGATTAGCCTCGTTTAGCCACCCCGCCAACTCCAGCGCCACCAACATCTTCTCACACTCACTCAGACGCTTCATCTGCAGCAATGAATCACGTACATGTATAACTGAATGCTTGTTTAGCATACAGAATATTTGTAATATGATAAACTTCTCGAATGGTTCTGTTTATGTACAAGTACATGTAAGTACATAATTCTGTTGAAAGCTGAGAATGATATTAGTAAGGGGACATAACTCTAGATACTAACCTGTCCTTGAAGAAGTGGTCCTTTATCATTGATGACATCACAGAAGAGTTCTCCTTCCTTAACACTCATGTCTACACTGATAAAGATACTGGTCAGAAACTGTCTCAACAGAACGGGAGACGAAACACAAACTACCTTCTGGTTCAATCTGCAATATATATCAAACATAGGTAATCAGGGATTACAGAGCTCACCTCAACGAATGTTGTCTTTAAGTAAGACAAAGTCCCACACTAAACTAATAATCTAGTAGTGTGCATCCCTAGATGCAACATTTATGCAATTTTGGTCTGATAAGGCTTGCAGTTACTTGGGAATAGACTTATCTAAAAACTTAAAACTAGTCACTCATCCAGAAAATGTAAGTCAAATACAGCATCCGAAGCAAGTTTGAGATTGTTCTTCCCTTGATGCATCATCCATGCAAGTTTGGTCAATATAGGGCTTATAGTTACTTGGAAATGAGATCTACTCCAAAAACTTTAACCTAGTCACTCATCTGGAAAATGTAGGTCAGATCCAGCATCCGAAGCAAGATCAGTAGTGTGCATCCTTAGATGTATCATCCATGCAAGTTTGGTCAATATAGGACTTATAGTTACTTGGAAATGAGATCTACTCCAAAAACTTTAACTTAGTCACTCATCCGGAAAATGTAGGTCAGATCCAGCATCCGAAGCAAGTTCAGTAGTGTGCATCCTTAGATGTATCATCCATGCAAGTTTGCTCAATATAGGACTTATAGTTATTTGGAAATGAGACCTGCTCCAAAAACTTTAACCTGCTCCAAAAACTTTAACCTGCTCCGAAAACATTAACCTGGTCATTCTTAGCTGAAATTGCAGCATCTGAAACCTTGACTGGTACAATGAAACACACTAGAAGCATCCTCCATGCATCTCTGACTAATATAGGCCATAGAAGTACTTGAAAAGAAAACTGCTCCAAAAACCTTAACCTGGGATGCCGACACTGACGCTGAGGGTATTACATAAGCTCCCCCAACTTCGTTGAGGTGAGCTAAAAATAGGTCACAGTGACCTTTAAATGCATTTTCAGAAGCCATTTTAGCTACTCTGTATCTTTGTTTTCTAAAGCAAATTTTGAAATAATCTTCCACAGTTTATCCATAAAATTAATCTTCAGAGCCTGTAAGTTAGTTAGAGTACTCAATAATGTCTGAGCCTGAAAAAAATTGAAAGCTTTTTTTTTATCATATTCACAATGAGCAATGCTTACTTCATCAATGAGACCTTGAAAGGTCCCTCTGACTTAGAGGTGAAGGTCACAGTTTGTGGAGCTGGGGGTTTGGCAATGAAATGACCCCAGAGGACGTCACAGGCCTGTCGTGCAATGTCATAACACCCAACCTGGTAGGCTATCTGCAAGAAACAAAGTAGCCAAACACATCAAGTTAATATCTTTATAATGATATGTCTCATAAACTTTGTTACATTAATTGTATAAATCATTTCTTTTGCATGTGAATCCTACAATTTCAAATGTTTTATTTTTGTTTAATCTCTGAAATTCATTGATTATCTAATGTTTGGTGGTGGTCAGAATAGTACAACATTGGATGTGGTGATGCTGGGGGGGGGGGGGGGGGGAGTGAATGGAAACCTTGCTTTTTCAACCTTATGCCCCAATTTTTTGCAAGTTCTACTGCCAAAAATGAATAGAAAATATTATTACATCGCATTAGTTAATTCCTTTAAAAGAATCAAACCATTTTAATCCTATATGTAGTACTTTAAAAAAAAAAACCTATTAATCTTTTTCCCAATAGAGGATTTACTGGCAGAAATCTTAATTACTAATCTCAATTAGGAGAACTTATAGAATAATACATGACCCTGTACCTGAGTAAGGTCCCAGGTAAACCTAGTAACACACTGAAAGATTAATCCGTGTGCATTAGGTGTTTGGTCTGTCCTTAATCTTAGGTCATTGCTAAGAAGTCCCTCTAAGAGAATCAACACAATGTCAGTCAGAATAGTGCAGGCTAAGAGTCCAACTTTTTCAATAATGCTGGACAGGTAAGAATTTTTCATTGAAGTTTTTAAAAAAATTCCTCATGAATACTTTAAGGATTTTCTTAAATTTCATAAAACATTATTTAATTTTGTGTAATGCTGAGTCTCCAATACATAAAGAGAAATTTCTAAGATTTCTATCTAGTAAGTTTTCTTATTTAAGTTATGAAGTTTAATTATTATAGTTGTTGAAATTTTTGAGTAATTCTGAATTCCTTACTTGAACAGTGACCAGTACTATCCTCCCGAGGAGGGTCAGACTGCCCCCTCTCTACCTAGTATCCCCAATACAGAATTCATTGTAAAAGAAAAAGATCCCAGACAGAAGATTGAAGAAGAGACAGATGAAATTGAACTGTTCATAATCCCAAAGTATGTGGAGGAAGACGAGGAGGTCCATGAATTAATCAAGACAACGATGGAGAATTACGCAGAGTTGGCAAAAGAAAATGACAAAACCAGACGTGACTGGCACAGGGAAGTAGACGAGATTTTTGACAGATATAATGCCGAGATAAATGCAATGAGGGAGGAGCATCTAACAACATTACGCACACATCAATACCTTTTGAGGACTTACATTCGAGGCATGCTGAAGACAATCAAGAAGAATAGAAAAATGCTGTACAAAAACAAACTCTCACACATCGCGAGGTTTCAATCTAAATTAAAGGAGTACAATGACATGCCCACAAAACGCCAGATCAAAATTCCTTCATTGATAACCAAAACCGTCAAAGGGACCGAACTCTCAGCTGAATTTGGAGAACTGAAATCTTCACTAACACAGACTTATGTGGAGAAGAAGAAGGTGGCAAAGGCATCGCTTCTGGATGAACAAGCTGTGATAGTGGCCAGTATTCCAACAGGTCTGAAAAATCTTTGTAAAGTGGCCTGTGTGGGGACACATGAGGCCTGGGTCAATGGGACAGACCAAACCCTGACCTGTATGGATATATTTGGGGCCGTCCAGGGAACTGTCAAAACCACCTGTACACTGCACCCCAATGACATCACAATGACCAGGAGAGGGGAATTAGTTTACACTAATTCTTTTAAAAACATGGTGAGCATTGTCAAACATGGAAAGTCCGAGACTTTTGTGACCACGCCTGAGAACTGGCATCCACAGGGGATCTGTGATACCATGAATGGGGACATTGTTGTCAGTCTAGTCACATCGGATTTCTCCAACTACAAAGTTGTTCGCTATGATGGGAAGACTGCAGAAGTTAAGCAAGAAATTGAGACAGATGACAAAGGCTCCAACATTTTTACTGGAGGGAAATATCAAATCTTCATGTCTGAGAACATCAACGAGGACATTTGTTGTTCGGACCGCAATGCAAAGTCCATCATCGCAGTCAACAAAATCGGTACAGTCCAATTCCGTTACGATGGAAAAGCATCCGGAATAAAGAAAACCTTTACACCCAAACAGATAGCCACTGATTCTAAAGGTCAGGTCATTGTGACAGACTATAAGAATGACTGTCTTCATGTCCTGGATCAGAGTGGACAGTTTGTGAGACTAGTGGACATTAAAGGGTTGGACCGACCCACAGGTCTGGGTCTAGATAAGGAGGGTCGACTGTGGGTCACTCTATACTACACAGGAGAGATTAAAGTCATTCAGTACATGAAATAAATCTGGCAGTTGTTTGGTTCTGCAAGTGTGGTTTTTTGTTACATTTGGAATAAAACTGATGAACTTTTTTCTTTTGTTTTCATTTATTATTTTTCAACATTGTACTTTGGACTGAGGAAAAGTGAATACGGATTGATACTCTTACTATGGAAATTTATACAAGTCTGTCAATTATAGTGATGGGAAATCGGAATTTTTTTCATAAACGATTATCGTAATAATCAGATGCACTATAATCGATTAACAATCGATTGATTTCAAGTATTAAATTTGTTCATTTTTCAATGACGAATAAATTGGTAAAAATTATGGAGTGAATTTCTAAAATACATTTTTGATATATTTTTGCATCATTAAATCCATTTATTACATTATTATTTAGGATTTAGTTCAATTCAAAGAAGAATGAATCATGAATCACAGGAATAATTTGTTTTTAACCAATGTTTTGATTAATCGATTATCAAAATTATCATTGATTATCTATAATCGGGGGCCATTTCGATTAGATAATCGATTTACCGGTAATCAATTAATCGGTACATCACTTGTCAATTACATGAACCTGTACAAGAAATAGATTAGACAAGTTTTTACAGTATTCTGTAAACCTCCTGATATACATGTACCAGTGGTGAGATAGAAATTCTCCCTACCTGACTAAGAAAACCCCATGTCATCAAGACAGGTAGGGGGTGGGAGGCAAGGACAGGTTTAGAACTCTCCCCCACTCCTCCACCGATCAGCTGACCATCAGAGTTATAAGCAGCTACAGCAAAGACATAACGCTCATTGGGCTGAAGTCCGGACACTCGTAATTCACATCTGTAGCTGGGCACCTGGGAATAGAAAGAGATGCACAAGATTTTTACATAATCTTCGAGAATCAAAATTTCTAAATCTACATGTATCTTCATTTGGTTTAGTGCTTGTTTAAAACAAGTGAAACAAGTGTGTTATTAGCCTTCTAATATGCTTTTAATTATTTGACCTCTTGACACTGACTTTATTGATATACTTTCCTCACGTCGAGTCACTTCTTGACTTAGCTTACCTCCCTTTAATTAAAACTTACCTCTTCACCAGTCCCAGGGAAGAAGTGGTCATTTAATCTGACCTTGACATTACTGCCTGTAGATGAACGAGCAAAGATTCTGAACCAGGCTACCTGAAAACCATTTCAAAAAATGAAAATTAGAATTAACCAGAAATTATCAAAATTGCATCCATATTCTTACAAATTAAAGACAAAGAATGAAGAAGAATGACCTCTTGCCCATCCTCTGAGGAGAAGGGGGCAGGTTTGAAGACCATCATGGTGTCAGTGCGACACAGTAGTATGGGGGGAGGGGGCACCTTGCGGGGTTTGTCTGGGACTTCTGGAACATTAGTGTTCTCTGTGTAGATCCTTTTCTCATCTATCTGACTCTTCTGGATCATACTGACAGCATCCTATTATATAACATCATGAATTGAAAAAAAAAGTAATGGTTTTGCTTAACTTATTAATTATATTACATACACATTTTTTTTTCACAAAAGTATTTTTCAAAAAAATTACATGAACTGAAGTTAATTCTTTTTCCATTTTTTCCTAGAATTATTTTGAAAATCTATTTTCAAATTACTTCAAGTTTCAAAAAAATTCCTTAAATTCTTTTAAAGTCAATTAAATCATAACATTTGGAATCTAGATTAACTGTACCTGCAGCAGACTTTTCTGTTCCGTAGTGGTGACCCCAGAATTACTGAGGAGGAGGGATTTCTGCATAAAGAGCAGGGCTTTGGACAGGTAGTTCTTTCTGCAGGCTCCTAGTAATTCTTTATAATCATCAATATAGGCAGGGTTCAGTTCTGTACTGCTCTCCTGTAAAACACTAAACGGTCAGTAACAGTCCTAAACATTGAGACCGTTAGATAATATCGAACCGTACAAATCAACTATGTGTAAATATGTTTTATACAGGCCTTCATTGACCTATCTAAGGTTACTCTGAGGGCCAGAATTAGATCCTATATATTAAATTCTTTTCTTGTAGTCAGAAAAAACAAGAAGTCTGTGAGCCAATGCTCACTAGTAATACCCCGCTTTGATGTGAATGTACACAAGTTCAGTTATGGACAGACACAAGGATGAACAAGAAGTTGACATCAGATTCGTACAAAAATGAATCCCACCATATTGCAGGCCTAAACAGTTTGCTAAAATTTCAAGCATCTGCAATAAGTAGTTGCTGAGAAAACTGTGACCAAAATTTGTTCTGTATGGTATGGACAGACGCAAGGATAAACAGAAAGTAGACATCGGATTCGTACAAAAATGAATCCCACCATATGGCATGCCTTAACAAAGAGTGTGCTAAAATGTCAAGCATCTGCAATCAGTAGTTGATGAGAAAACTGTGACCAAAATTTGTTATGTATGGTACGGACAGACGTACGGATGAACAGGAAATTGATATCAGATTCGTACAAAAAAGAATCTCACCATATGACATGCCTAAACAAAGAGTGTGCTAAAATTTCAAGCATCTGCAATTAGTAGTTGCTGAGAAAACTGCGATCAAAATTTGTTATGTATGGTATGGACAGACGCACAGATAAACAAAGTTGACATCGGATTCGTACAAAAATTAATCCCACCATATGGCATGCCTCAACAAAGTGCGTGTTAAAATTTCAAGCATCTGCGATGAGTAGTTGCTGAGAAAACTGTGACAAAAATTTGTTATGGACAGACAGTCAGCTAGACAGACACACAAACAGACAGCCACACAAGGGTAAAACAGTATACATGTACCCCCCTCTCCTTCGGAGCAGGGGTATAAAAACTAGTAAATGTAGTGCTTAGAAGCCCAGCTAGGTCTTAAAAACCTGACAAGCAAGTGATTGTTTAACAATCCCCGACATTTCCCCATACATACCTGTTTAGAGAGGTCTCTCCTTTTGAATGGTTTGGGGATGTTTTCTGCAGGGTCAGGTCCCATGGAGGCTAGCTTCAGACAGACGCGGTGGTACATTAAAATCAGCTCTAGGTGAAGGTCCTTAATTGTATTCCACACAGCGGTGGCTGAGCCCTTACTACCCTCCTCTGTGGGCGTGGCTTCTTTTTTCCCCTCCCCTTCATCTGCTGACTTTACCCCCTCAGTACGGTTTGTGTCTCTCTGAGAGACAGGCTCTGGACTGAAAACTTCATCCTGTATGTCCTGTTAATTACATAGTTAAGGTAAATAAAAAACAACTCCAAGGGAAGGTGGGCTTTTTCCATGTTGAACTTCTTAAAATAGGAACCAAACAACTCCAGTCTCAAAGTTTTTTTTTTTTTTTTATAAGTCTTGACAGCATACTGGCTGTAACACAACATTCAAATAATTAACATTAAATAAACTCAATTTTTTATTTATAACTATGTTAATTAAAACATACATGTATATCAAACTAGGAATTAATTAGTTACACAACAACTCAGGGGTTAAAAAAAAAATTTGTAATTCTCAAAAACTTTCAACAACAAACTAAAACAATATCATTCTGTGATTTACAAGTATTTGGGGCTACAAGCAAATCTTCTTACAAAATGGGTAACATGCAAATAAAATGCATACAAACAATTTCTGGTTAGGCAACAAAACACAAAACATGCAAACTGAATTCTGATGTCAATGAGAAGTGTGTGAAGCCTTAACTTCGAATTAAAAAAAATGGGGTAATCACATAAAAATGAATGGATTGATGGGGTATTCTTGTAAAGATGATCAATTGAATGTTAAATTTCACAAAGTCATGTGATTAGCTGCATGACCTTCTTCCACCAATGAATTGTCATGGCAACACAGGCAGTTAGAATGTGGCCTTGAGGGGTCATGTGACATTAGGTCAAGGTGACTTACCAGACTTAGTAAATCACTTGCGATACTTTTTGTGTCCAGATCCAAGTTTGTTGGAGCTTTCTTAGGAGACATCATTTGATGTTCCTCCAACTGAATTCATCACCAGTAATGCTTATTACCATATATACCAATCACAGTTTTGTTGAGATTATTAACACTTACTTTTTAATAATTATCAAAAATTGCATTTTGCATTGATTTACTGATATATAATTCAAATTTTAATTCATACGATGTCATACAACATATAAAAGATACACTGTTTTTTGCTGACCATTTCTTATTACATATTTTGCAAATATCTTTAGACTGTCAAGTTTTCCAAACAAAAAGTAGTAAACTAGACCAAGTACATTTTTTTTCTGTATGACAATTTGCCAGACCTACCTTTGCCCAGCTGACATCTGCAATGGATTTCCCATCACTCAGAGCTACAGCCTGCCGAGCGTATGACACATTCTTGAGTCCGAGTTCCAGTATATCTCGAGCTTGCAGCAGCTGTTGTCGTGGGTTGACATTGAGCATTGATGATGACAACATGGAGGTCCGTGACACCAGGTGGTGCTGGCTTCCTTCCTGTCCCACCTCATCCAGCGACATCTTGGAGCCACGCAGTGCAAAAGTCGCCTCTAGAAAAAGGGAGGGAAGAGAGGGTTTTACCGAGAACTTTATATTTTATATGTTTGGATTTATGCTTCCATTGACTGTCATTTAAAAGTTTACGCATAGAGAACAAAGTCAGTTAGGCATAGAAGTTTGTGAAAGGTGCTCTATGAGTTACCATGAATGTCAGCAAATTAACAGTTGCATTCTCTTCATATATACTTTTTTTTATAAAAACTTATAAGTAATTTTTTACTTTCTCTGAAATAGTGTATGAAAATAAACATTATTTATCACAATATTTTAACCAGATCTTTCAAAACATCCTCCCATTGGCAAACAAAAAAAATTACTTAATATCAGATTTACAAACTTAGATAATCAATCTCCCTGTTGAATAATGCAGAAGAACCTCTGACTATATAGCCTTTATCAAAATAAAGATGTACTCTGATATATTTTGTTACAATACACAAGTCTACAGTTTCCTGTTCTACTGAGAAACAGATGCCAGAAACACATTTCCCTTCTGTGCTATATCTTCAGCTAAATTACCCCCCAAATATCAATATTTCACTGAAAAATGTGTGAAGATTTACAAAACATATACTCTGTGTGGAAGTAAGACATTTGTGTACGGAAATGGTGGGGTTTTTTTCTTTTCATATTCAGTAACAGTTGATTAGCTGCATGCCATTTTGGAAATTATAACTGATCTTAAAGAATTTAATGTGTAGTTGTTGATCTGAATAGAAGAGCAAATCAAATCATTTTCACACCAAAATCACAACAAATTCTGGGTTTCAGAAAAACAATAATGTCCTCTAAATGTGCAAATTATATGTCATTTAAAAAAAAACAGGAAAAAATTTCAAATAAAACATTATTACTTTGCAAACAATTAGGTCAGAATCATGCAGACACAATGAAATCTTTGAAATGGTAATATGTTTGTAACAGAAGAAAAATAATTTTTTTTCTTAAATATAAATCACTTTTAATTTAAAGTTCACACAGTCAACCTGAGAAGTTCACACTTTTCTTTTTCTAATTCACAGCTACATCATAACAGAGCTAAAATCAAACAAGCGTGAAAACAGCAGACACTTTATCTGCTGAAGCGTAAAGCCAGGCCTGTCACGCCTGAACGACACTCTGCTCTTACCGCGCGTACTGGATAAACGATAAGATGTGGGGGTGCTGGCCTCATCAGGAGAAATCTTGGAATTCTGGGTAACTAACTTAGATCTTAAAAACCCTGGTGGTCGACAAAGGTACAAGGAAACAGAATACATATTACACACAGGATCAAGATAAAAATGAGGTAATGATAAGCAGTAATGTTAAGTTCAAGCAAATAATGTAATACAGTCAAGCATCGTTATCTCGAACTCGATGGGACCAAGAAAAAACTTCAAGATATCCGAGGATTTGAAATATTGAGGGTAAAATACTAAAAAAAAGGTTTGGACTTCCAAATCACTTCAACATATCCATGGGTATTTGAGATATCAGTGTTTGAGATACCGAATTTCAACTGTACTTAGCTTAATTCAAGTATCTAATGTTACGTGCAATTGTACACAGAGAATGTAAATCAGACAAAAAGTTTGATTAAAAAAATGTAAATATTGGGCTTCAAACTCATAAATCCTGTTTTAAAATTTCCAGAATCCAATTATTAATGTATTTGAAAAATTAAAGTCAATACACAGAACTCGACAGTTTGTTCTCTTGAGGGGAATAAAGACAGATTCAATGATGATGTAAGAGATGTAAATGATAAAAAAAAAATCATCATCTGCATTCAACAATGTTAATATGGAACATAATTTTTCCTTCAAATTTTTATATCATTTACATCAAGAATTCTTCCAGCAATTAAAAGGAAACACATGGATGAAAAAAAAAATCATTAACCATGCAGAACCAATAAGATCCCTACAACCATAAAATAAATGGCAAATTTAAATCAAATATTAACTATATTTTTTAATTTAGTATCTTTATAAATTTTGTCTTACCGTCATCAATGTGAGCGCTGCTCTCAAACACAAGAGCCAGTCTCAGTACGACTTCTGCGGTCAGTGCTGGGTCAACACTGCTGATACCACACCAACAAAGGACCTTGTGGACAACATCAAGAATGTATACCCACTGTAATAGAACAAAATATTTATAAGCTGTAATGCACACAAAAGGATCAGTTCTATACTAAGAAAAGGGAACAGACTTTCTAGAAAGGAAACCAGTAATTCTATATAAATCTTGATGAAGAAAAAGACATTAATTGTTAATATACACATGTTCTTTTATCTTATGTACTTCTGTTTTAAATTTGAGGGCCCTACTTGCCTTAAAGTGTAATAATGTGAACAAATTTCAAATTACTCATATCAGTATGAGAACATTTTTATATCAATTTGTATCCTTACTCTACTCAATATTTTTTTTTACATCACAATATATTTAACTCCCTTTATCCATTAAAATAACTCCATTTATCCTGCTTAAACCAACAAACAAACAACAGAAGGAAACCAAACAAACTTCATGGTATTGAATCAATCTTACCAAAAATTAACATGAAAAAATAGAATTTTAAGTTAAACGCAATGCAAAAATAGAAATTCTGGATGCAAAAACAAATATCGAAATAATTAGGCAGTTAAAAGAAATTAGAGGAAGATTCACCTTATTGGGGTTCTCCATTTTATGGAGGTACTTTGGGTTGTCAGCTGAACCGGACTGATGCTTCTGGAAAACCGACTTGGTTTTGTTCCAAAGAAAGAGAGCAGCATCTACAACCATATCAACCTCGATCTTGGAGGGCTAAAAAAAATAATATCACTGAGTGTCAACAAACTAGATTAATCTGGATTTCTCATGATAACAAAACTTTGAAATTTTTTTTTTTAATTTACTTGCATTCAATTCTCAATAACTAGAGAAAATCTGATGAAATGAGTTTTTAGAAGTCCTCTCTCTCTCTCTGCTATTTAAATTGTCAGGCTGAGAGACATGTGAAGATAATCAATTTTCAAGATGAAACACATTTTTCTTACCACAAATGGCCCATTAACAATAGACATCATGACCTCAGCTACTTGAATCAAATCATCATTCCCACTATAAGATCTACTGGAGGTAGCTGTGAAAACAGAAAAAAAAATGCATGAATGACAAAGAATTATGTAAAGTCTTATAGCACAATAAAACTGGAGATTTAAAATGCAGTTCATAACTGGAGGGATAGTACACAATTTGTGATTAAAAAAAATAAATTCAAAGACTTTGTATCAACCAAAAGAAACAAGCTTTCTATCTGCAAGTCGCATGGACTTATTTGGAATTACAATTTTTTCTCGGATTAGAACACCAAACTGAATCAGTTTTGTATACATGTCAAAAACTATTTCAGAAGCTAACAGCACCACATTGTGTATATAATGTATATTTTATTTAGTGCTCATACCTGGTTGAGAATCCGGTGCTGTCTTCGGTTCTGCAGTTTGCCCTCCATCCTTCTCCACATCATCAACAACAGAAGCCATGTTACGTTTGTGTCGTCTGCTAGGGTTCACTTTCTCCATGGCCAACAGGAGCTCCAAGGCCTTCTCATCCCAGCTATACTTGTTGTTGTTCAGAATCTACAGAAAATTAAATGTCTCTGCGTCAGTGCTTCATTTTGGAAAATGCTACCATATTTGCAACTGGAAAACTTGCGTGTTTTTTTTTCAGTCTTTAATCAGTTTGACAATAACAAGACAAAACCCAAATGATTTTTTGTGACAATTATAACCTTAATTGTCTTTGAGCAACTACCTTCACCTCCCTTCCCAGATTTTTGTTTTAATTATTTCAAAAGTAATATTTGTAGACTTTAAACTTTTTGATAATAACCTACCCTGATATAGGTCAGTACATTCTCAATCAGGGTATCAAACACCTCCCATTGTTCAAAGCTATAGGCGAGCTTTACCAGACGAATGGCTCCCTCAATGGAGCTGCCATCCTCTCCTGAGAGGTCAGAGGGAAAATATACAATTTAATCAACTCTCAATGACAAAATCATCTTTCAATGTCAAGTACATATCAATAAATATAGGATCTCCCATGATTTGTAGTTGGATATGATTTTTATCCAACGAGTTGTGTGTTTTTTATCCCCGAGCCTTGGCGAGGGGATAAAAACACACAACGAGTTGGATAAAAGTCATATCCAACTACAAATCATGGGAGATTCTTTTTATCCCATGTTTAATACTTCACAACCAATGTTTTACACTGTTTTATATAGGACTCCACTTTATTTTACTTCATCGGGCTAACGCAAAAACCATTGTGACGTCACAACTGTGGATTATGAAAAATTTATCCAATGTGTCATATCCACGGGATAAAGGGGTAAACATGGGATAAAAAACAATATTTTTTACTTTCCAACTAACCATTTCATAAATAGTTTTTAAGATTCCAAAAGATAAATGGAATATTAATTTCAATAATAAATTTGCTTAAATGTTGTCTTTCTTTGCATATAGACCTGAAAACCTATCAATGTGGACATTGTTTAGTGATCCAACCTTTTGAGGCCATGTCCATGACGCTAGAGTCCTTGATGATTCCGGCCAGAGCAGGGAGATGGACACTACTGGTTGGCTTGATGGATGACCCCCGATGTCCACCACCACCTGTGACACACAATCAATATTTCAACATCCAAATGCCTTGATTTCATAAGTGATTTTTACACTGGGCTTACATGTATTTTTTTTTTCAAAAACACAATATCAATGAGGTCAATACTTCAAATGAAGAAAAAGATAAACATATTGTAATGGTAAACTTAAGATTTTAGAGAAATCTTTACCTGCTAGAATTTCTTGCCCTGCCATGAAGAGCTCTGCGTACACATCTAGTATTTCTACCTCAGAGTCAGAAGCTGGAGGGGATGTCAGAAGAATCCGGCGATTTGTGTCAGTCAGACTCTCTAGAATGCACAGGAACTGTGCTGCACTGCCTTCAAACATGTCTGCCAACAGCTTCTCAGAAGGAGTCCTGGGCCAAGTCAGCTATAAAACATGTCACATCCTTTACTCTCTGATCTGATCACAAGTTAAATATAAAACTATACAATCACACTGCAGGCAAAAACTCAAACTTTCAATCAATTCTCCCAAAGTAGACCTTAATTATCATACAACTCTAGTTTCAATTAAGTGTATACTTTATTCTACAATTGAATTGAAACTTGTTTAAGAATTCTGTCTAGAAATTCAAAACTAATCTGATTAATAACTTTCCCCCCTTTTTTTATTACAGAATTTGAGGTGGTCACTTGCATGAGAGGCCTCCTTGAGACTGGCTCTTTTTGGGGATCTCAGTAGTGGATACTTCCATGAGAGGCCTATTTAAGATTAGCAATTGTTTTGGGTCTCAATAGAGATACTTATATGGAAGGCCTCCTTGAGATTAGCAATTGTTTTGGGTCTCAATAGAGATACTTATATGGAAGGCCTCCTTGAGATTAGCTCTTGTTTTGGGTCTCAATAGAGATACTTACATGCGAGGCCTCCTTCAGATTAGCTCTTGTTTTGGGTCTCAATAGAGATACTTACATGCGAGGCCTCCTTCAGATTAGCTCTTGTTTTGGGTCTCAATAGAGATACTTACATGCGAGGCCTCCTTCAGATTAGCTCTTGTTTTGGGTCTCAATAGAGATACTTACATGTGAGGCCTCCTTCAGATTAGCTCTTGTTTTGGGTCTCAGTGGAGATACTTACATGGGAGGCCTCCTTCAGATTAGCTCTTGTTTTGGGTCTCAGTGGAGATACTTACATGGGAGGCCTCCTTCAGATTAGCTCTTGTTTTGGGTCTCAATAGAGATACTTACATGGGAGGCCTCCTTCAGATTAGCTCTTGTTTTGGGTCTCAATAGAGATACTTACATGGGAGGCCTCCTTCAGATTAGCTCTTGTTTTGGGTCTCAATAGAGATACTTACATTCGAGGCCTCCTTCAGATTAGCTCTTGTTTTGGGTCTCAATAGAGATACTTACATGCGAGGCCTCCTTCAGATTAGCTCTTGTTTTGGGTCTCAGTGGAGATACTTACATGGGAGGCCTCCTTCAGATTAGCTCTTGTTTTGGGTCTCAGTGGAGATACTTACATGGGAGGCCTCCTTCAGATTAGCTCTTGTTTTGGGTCTCAATAGAGATACTTACATGGGAGGCCTCCTTCAGATTAGCTCTTGTTTTGGGTCTCAATAGAGATACTTACATGGGAGGCCTCCTTCAGATTAGCTCTTGTTTTGGGTCTCAGTAGAGATACTTACATGGGAGGCCTCCTTCAGATTAGCTCTTGTTTTGGGTCTCAGTAAAGCCTTTGGTTTCCTCCTTGTCTCATACACTGATCTCTTAAACACCATAATGGCCATCTGTAATGAAACATCAAAACATAATTAAATTAATTTATTTTTGAAAAAAAAAAATTAAATTCTAAAGCAATGACAATGCATAATAATGTCAACTTCAGACATGTATTGAATATATATTGAATAAATTTTACACTGTATTTCAATGTGGTTAATTATAAAAGAATTGATTGTACAACATTTTAGACCGTGACCTTGACCTCTGCATACCTTGACAGTGGCGGTCCTGAAGGTGATTTCAGATAGGGGAGTCTCTATAGAACTACTCAGGTTCTCCAAGTTACTCAGCTCATTAATCTTGGCCAACCCTCTCCTTGCAAAGGCCTTACATAGCAAATTATATAAAATTATAAAGCATGCTGGAAATACATTCCATAAAATTCTGAAATTAGTTTGATAAGTAATTGATCAGATCTTTTAACTTTATATAAAAGAATTCTGCATTATGTGATAACAGATTTATTTTAAATATGTGTAGATGAAATTAGTTCCTTAATTTTATTTTCAAATTTTAATTCTTTAATATATATATTTTTGAAATGCTTTAAACTTTATCCCCTTGGAGCCTCACTTACCTCTGCATGCTGTGATTGTTTACAGTCAAAGTAGCACTGACAGACAGCAGTATAGAGGGTGGCCCTCCAGGGGAGGTACTTCACGGCCAGGAGGGGGACAGATGTCTCCATACACATACTGGCCCAGAGGAGGTACTCGAGGGCCTACAATGTTAGCAACAAGTCACTCAAATAGGTCAATGATTAATCACTCTTTTACTGCTCAGTCACTACTGATATCTAAATACAAATGAGTATAACTCAATCATAACCTACCCTTGAGGAGTGCCCCAGAGACATGAGATGACGTGAAATGCTGTAGATGTGAACTGTACCTGTAATAGATTTATTTATATTATAGTGACTTAACTGCTGCCCAAGTGTAGATCAGCACAAATACTGTACATCTTACTTCATTAATTATTTACTAAGCTCAGTGAAGCAAATAAAGATTGCCAATATTTCAAGAATCAACTAAGAAAAAAATGGTCAATTTTGAATTTACAAATGAAGTAATGTTTCAGGAATTCTAATTTATGAAATAGAACAATTTCACCAATTGTTTGAACTCTTGGTGTGACTGACAAACAAAACATCTAACCTATTGATCTTAAAAATGTTAAACTTTGTGAAATTCACACTTTTTCCATGCAGTACTGACACTTGTTCTTAGACATCTAATGCACAATGATTTTTTAGAGCATTACAGTTGAACCTTAATTTGGTACACGTATCTCAAACGTCTTGAATACCAGGGAAATGTCCAAATGAGTTGGAAGTCTCAATATCAATTTTCTTTTAAGTATTTCAAATCCTAGGATATCTCAAAGTTTTCTCCCTAGCACCAATGAATTTGAGATAACAATTTAGTTTCAGTAAGTCATTGCTTGACACTGGGGGAATATGAATATAAGCATGTCACCACCTACTTAAGTCCAAACTACCAAAAATGTTCTACTTTTGAGCCTACCATTGTACACCAGCCAGCACAGTGTTTCTTTTGGAAGCACGACTTGCATGACAAGTCTGAGGAAATTCAGGATGAGGACACACCTCTCCACAGACTGTTTGTTCTGGAGTTTGGGGTCACTAGCCTTCACCATCTGGTACATACTGATGCTTTTACCCATCAGAGCTCGGAACTATAAATATAAACAAACCCCTACTGAAGCTTAAACCTATAAAGAAAATCCTCTCAACTGATCCTAAGATATGTTCAGAGAGCTAATATTTCAATCCAAATGTGATAATTTAAACGCATAAAAGTAAATCATGTTTCGTGTTCAGAAGGAAATATAAATGCAGTGCAGTTAAAACTGTAAAAACAAGTTTAATGTATGACGTAATTTACATCAAGCGTTAAGCTAAAAAAAAAACTTTATTGTTAACATTCTGTAATAAACAATCTTTCACTGCCCAAACAGTATTAATTTAAATGAGTAGCAAATACGTACAGTAAGACCGGCATTGTCTGATTCAAATCCCCCTGGGAAGAACATTTTCTTGAAGGCATCTACATCAGTTATTTCCTCTACATTGAGATTCCCAAAGTGCATCAGATATCTATCATAGCACTGCCATAGCGCAATACTGTACTCCTGGAAAGATGTGAGTAAATCTCAGTGAAATAGACAGTATTATGAATACATGTATTTCATGTAAATGCAGTCAATATTCATTTTTAAATTTTAACTGAATAATATTCTGGTATTGCGCTGTTCATAATAATAGAATTTTTTAATTTGAATATTAATTACATTCTGCTGATCTGGGCTAATTGTTTCAAATTGTAGATTTCTAGCCTATCAGCTAGGTGTTTGTTGTTCCTATGTAGTGACTAGGCTAGCATATTGTTAAAGATCATAGCTGCTAAGCCATAGCCATGGAATCATTCCTCAATATTTACATTTGCTGACATGTTTTTTTTTTTACCAAAGCCAACTATGAAATTGATTTGAATGCCATTTTTGTGTATAGTCACGCCACCTTGCTTCATGAAATATACCTATTTGACAAGTCTGTGTGATTTACACATCAATAACACTCACAAAACTAAAATTCATTCCTTAATTATTGACAGTTATTACAAGTATATATACTAATCCTATTGCTGACCAGTACACTGGTGTGAACTGTCAGAGCTGTACTTACCTTAACCAACACTAGGAAGTCTCCCACCTCCAATAACTTGCTCTGGTAGTACTCTTTAGGAAGCTTGGGTTCATACTTGTTCCACAACTCAAATAGTGTGTCAGAACTGTAAAAGAAATTGATTTACATTAATCATGATCATAATTTAAAATAAATCAGTTCAAGCTTTGTAACAATTGTGCTTCTTGGAATGAAAACTACTTAAGTTCTTTAGATGCACAGAGCAATACTGTTTCCTCTTCAATGTACAATCCCTATGCTGTACATTGTCTATATGTTTTTCTATAATGTACATATTTTGCCAGCTTTGTTTACATATTGTTGATGTACATAAGTCTTTGTTTGTGGATGTCAAAATTATGGTACTGGGTAATACCAAGTCAGCATTCAGTTTATAATCAGTGTTCAGTCAGATCGTGTGTGTTTCATTCTGTCACATCCCCTGATTATTTTATTGTAACTCATACGGCCATAGCGATACCTCATGGCTATAGTGGGTATTGGGTCACCACATTCAAGTATATGTATCTGCTTTCTATTAAAAATTAGTCATAAATACCTGTCAGTGACATTTTTCAGGTGTTTTTCAAGATTTTGATATTTGACGTACCAGGAAATGTCCAGTGCCATTATGAAAAGTGGAAATTGGCCGTCTCCAACAAGAGGCGGCATTCTGAGGTTGATTTTCCATACATACAGAATTAAATGTCTAACTCACATCTTATCAACAGTACAATGCTTCTATAGTATTTACCAATATTGCTTTTATTGTTCCTTTGTAATATAAAGTGTCTGGTGAAAGCATTTCATCAACCTGTCAAAGTTTGTTTTGAGTTCTTGCCTTCTGAAATCTCATGAGACCTGTCGGAAATGTGGAGTGATATTTTCTTTTAAGTCATATTGGTGAGAACTAGAAGCATTGTGCTATTGATAAATTGTGAGTTTGACATTTAATTCGATTTGCAAGTATCGAAAATCGAGTTCAGTTGGGGGCGGCAAAATTTCCACTTTTCATAATGGTGCTGGTTCTGACATTTTCCTGGTACATCAAATATCAAAACAGTGAAAAACGCCTTGAAAACATCAGATATTTCAGACTATTAAAAATAGGAAATTAAGCTAACAATTACAGTTATTTGAATGACAAATATCTACTTGACACGAAGAAAAATACTTTTCTTTGTCACATATACATTCCTTGCAGATTCTTTGCTGTCTTCTACATCTTTCCACAAAATGCTGATTAAATAGTATATAAGACTGGCTGATTAAAACTGTAATCTCTTGAGAGTTTTTTAAGGTGTAATTATTCTCTATTGAGAAGATGACGGCTCTTTATTGCTCCCTTACTGAGGGAGTTGTCAACTTCTCAATAGAGAATAGGGTGTAATTGAATGTATCAAACATACGGCCTAGAAGACGGTTCCTCGTCTGGCTTTTTATATCCGGGTGCACTTCTTTTTCTCATATACCCCATAAACTTCTTGATTTCTTGGTCAAGAGATTGGAAAACGGGATTGTTCTTGTCCTTGTTGTAAAAGGAACTTGGCTGACCACGATTAGCAACATTTGCCGCGGCACTTCGCAAAATTGCCGCCATCTTCTCCAACTGTCCACTACTCCTGGGTAAATTTTTTACTTAGCCTTAGGAATGTATTCTACAGTTCCAAACAGCCATCTTCGACGCGCACCGCGTTTCTAGGGAAGAACGATAACTCGTGCGAGCACTTTTTTTTAGATTTTTCTCGGGGACGGGTGAGATTCACTCCGGAAATCGCAAAGCGCATGCGCCGAATTTTCACTCTAAAATAATATATTCCGGAGTTACTCAACTATTTCCGAAATATAAAACTTTTTTTCGTAACAATTATGCTGAAATAACTCAAAAAAGTATTTTATTATTTAAAATAATGCATACTCCTAACTGAGTCAACTCTACATTCTAAGAGGACGATAGTTTAATTCGGGGGGGGGGGGGAGGGGGGTAGCGTAGCGGGGTGTATAGATTATTTATTTATTTTCAAACTAGAAGATTGTTTATTTCCAAGATATTTAGGGACGAATTATTTATGTTTAACAGTTAAAGAAGCAAATAATAAGAAGAAGAAAAGGAAAAAAAACAGCCTTACTCCACAACTCTATTTGGGGGAGGGGTACCAACAGGCAATAAAAAAAAAATAATTATATATATGAAAAAAATATTAGATAGATAATTAAAAAAAACAGACTTACTCCACAATTCTCTTTTGTGGGGTGTGTGTAGTTTGGTAGTGGTGGTTGTCGGGGGGGGGGGGGGGGTTACCAACAGGCAATGAAAAAAAATTCTTGCCAGCTGGGGAAAAATTATTTATTTCCAACATTACCATATGTTTCAAAAAACTAGCAGCCCCCCCCCCCCTTCAAATATATGGTCGTCCTCTAAACAATCTGAATTTGCAAATACATTTTATTTAGTACCTCTCAAATAAATATTGTAGGTTGCCATCTTTTCATTTTGAACAAACAAATTTATACTTTGCAAGCATCATGGTAAATGTATTTTATTTTTGCCATGGGTAGGTGTATTTGTTTGCATGTGTTTATGCATGTTTGTTTTGTAAAAATGAAAAGTACTGTAAATAAATGTACAAGAATACAGATAAAAACTGTGTAACACTATTTTAATACTAACTTTTATATTACGTGTACTACAGAATTATAATAAAAACTCATGTTTGAAAAATTTACAAGAAGAAGTCCCAGGCTTTCACATATTTTAATCTTTATGTGAATTGTTCAAATATTAAACAGCAAACATTGAGCCAAACATTTGTATAAGCAGTACATCAATTTACCTTGATAAAAATAACTCAGAATAATCATAATTTAATTTCATAATATTTTTATTATGACAACATACATGTACATGCTGAATAAAAAGACATATGAAATCAAACTTTAAAATGTTTTATTCTTAAAATAAAGGTGACAATTGTACTAGTGATATTCTTTACACTCATACAAATATGCACATGTATTTAGTTTATCCTGCATTTGTTTATAAAAGTGTCTGCCTATTATATCATTTTATTCAATAAGATTTTCAAATTATAGACAATAAATGTTAACTAAACAAAGTTTTTTGAATGATCTATGTACAGGCATGGGCATGTCATAACACATGAGATATAAATATTTGACTTACCCAGATATAATCAGCTTACATTCTTATTTGCTTTAATAGGAAAAATGGGTAAAAAATGTTCTCAGATATTGGATGAGGTAAAAAAAAAATGAATCAGAATCTTTTGAAAGATATTGATAATAATTATGTAAATTAATAATTAAATAATTAAATAATTTTGTAAATTTATGTACATATTGATAATAATTATGTAAATTAATAATTAAATAATTTTGTAAATTTATGTATATGTTGTTTTTTAATTTACATTTTATGAAGCAGGTTAAACTACATTATAAGGTAACTTTCAAGAGTACTAGCTGTCTGGGCTTCATCATTTAAAATAGTTAAAAAACATTTTTTCTTTCTTTTTTTTCCAATAAAGAACCTTTATACATGCACCAAAAGTGCTAAAATAACAAACCAAAATAAAAAGGGAAAAAGGGACGCCCATGAGCCATAACTCTCACAAAGTCATATTAGCCCTGTTCTTCTGAAGAACTTTTTTAAAAAAAAAAATTCCTCGTTATTCCCATAAAAAAATTTTGACCCAATATGGTGACCCTACCTTGGCCCCGAGGGATTATAATTAAACTAAATTTAAATTCACTCAAAATGGAAGGACTTAATTATCAAACTACATTGTACATACTGGATATGTACATTATCAATATACATGTAACTAAATTGACCTTATTGTAGAAAAGAATGCTTTAAAAATGTTATTTCATTTCATACACTATTTTAGCCTCAACCTTATCCAAGGATCCATAATTTGACAAAAAACAAAAAGCCAAAGGACCTTAGTGGTCACCCAATTTTTTCATTATCGTTGTTGAATAATCAAAGGGGACTAACTTCTCTCAAAGTTGAGTGAAAATACCCTACATAATCAATTGTGCATTTCCAAGGCAGCAGAAACCCTGACCCTGTGGTTATGAATTTTACATATGTGGTAACAACACCCTTGCTCTTTACAACTTTTCAATTGATTTGCCTGGCAAATGCCTACAGAAGAGAGAATAAGATTTGCAAAAATTTAATGCATTTTCAATATACAATGAGGACAGCCATGCCTGAAGACCACCCCTCTCCCCGAATTTTTGCTTTTTCTTGATTATCACTGCTTCCAAGAAGGTATAGTCCTCTAATTGAAGAAACTGAATTTCCTTTACTCAAGGATGCCTTGTGCCAAGTTTGGTTGAAAATTGATGTTCTGGAAAACAGTTCAAATATGTGAAAAGATATATAGAAATACATTGACAACAAAGGACAGATTTCAATCAGAAAGGCTGACACTTCACCCTTTGGTTCAGGTGAGCTAAAACAAATGAATGCTAAAAATTACTGGTACTTCAAACATGCTTTTAAAATGTAAACATTAACTAATTAAGTTCTCTCTGGATTGTAAATGTCAGGATAAGGAAATCTGATAAAGATTGGCAATATTCTGAGGGTATGAAAGGAACTCCTCATCACCCAACAAAACATATGATCCTGAGATGAATTCCTGCACTGCCAGCTTAACCAAATGAGCGATGGCCTAAGGCAAAAGTCTGTCTACCATTGCCAACCTGCTATTGGACTTAATGCACAAGTTATAGGTCCATTTCTGAGTGCTTCTAGGATTGCACACATGAAAAGAAAAAGAAAAGATATTAACTACAAGAAATGCTAATCACAAATTATGCATTCAATATATTCTAACTTTGTAAGTTGTATATTTTGCTTTCCTAATCAACAAGATGTTCAATAAATTAAGATTTCTTCTGCTTGAAGCCTTTTCTTACTTTATAACCTAATTTAAGATTAAATTCAAAGATTAAAATAATAATTTCACAAAGCACTTCATTTATTCGAATTAGAGTCTCGGTGAAGATTGTTATTTGAATTTATATAAGTGACTCCTTTAGCATGTGTAGTGAATATCAAGACTGAAGTTTTACCATCTTTTGTCTTCAATTTGATCCTCCTCCCAAATCATTGATAGTGGCACTCTCACCCTCTGCTGGAATCCAAGCTGACCATTTACCCTGCAAATTAATTAAAACACACACAATTCTGAGCTTACTTTGACCTCAATATCAAAAAGAATCTTTTGTAAGTCATAGGTAATTATTTAAATTTCACATTAAAGCTGGTTTAAGAAGGCTCTTAGGGATATCATTTAGAAATTCAGGTATTATATATGTATATATAGTTATATACATATATATATTTACAATTGCAAATGTTTTCCTTTATATAATACTATTTGAAGAAGACGTACTGTAAAACTATTATATTTAGCATGTATGATATTTAGCGGAAATTGATTTTTGAACAATTTAGCACAGATTTGAATTAGCACAGTTTTTATGTTCTTATTTATGTGTAATATGTTTACAGTACTTAATTCTGTATACAAATAGGTTTGTCAATTATGACCATAAATTCATTGTCATAAAGGATTGACATAATTTTACAGTGATGTCATAAGCAGTCAACTTGTTCACACATTCAATTTATACCATTGAAGTTTGAAAAAATAAATCATTTCATGGATTTAAAACTTAAGTGTGCAAACAATTGTTATAAATCGGTCCAGCATGTAAAAATAAGTAATAAGGTATCATTTTAAAATTTATATCATGATGTAAATTTGGGTTGGTATATGATCAAATCTACCATGAGGGATTTGATCCATATTTTACATTATGATAAAAAATTCAAAACAATACCTTATTTCTAAAGTGTAACAGATAGACTGACAGACAGATGGATAAACCCAAATTAATATCCAATGCTTTCAATAAAATCATGGGCCAATTAGCTGATTTTAATGGCCTTTTCAAAGGTATTGCTGGCAAAAAAGAACCATATATTATACCTTATTGAATCTCATTACAAATTATGTTCATAAAAAAGACTTATAATATCATGATGATACTTTTTTTTCAAACATGATCATCAAATTACCTCCAAGTGCAATAATTTCATTCAATAGTATACAGTTATGGAATGGGTATGAGGGAAATAGCAAATTTATGGTTCCCCGAGGGAGGAAACTATTTCCCGAGGCGGCGAAGCCTCAAATACTTAATAAATTTATAATCCAGCCTTGTATTTTCCCCAATTTTGAGATAATGGGTTGAAATATTTTTTTCTTTAAATATACTTTCTTTCTTTATTAATAACTTTAAGCCATACGACCCATCTGCATAAGCAAAATAAACATATGTAATTGTGAACGCATGGCGAGTGTCTGCATGGGGTGGAACCCCTAGTGTTCATCTGTCCAATCTAGGATGAACTGAATTAAAATATTAGTTTGCTTTGAATTATGAGAGTAAGCTATACTTTATAAGTTGTGATTTTGATATCTCATATCAAAGGAGAGGTTTTTAGGTTGACATAGTCATTCCCTCCATTATAACTTTTGCAGAGTATGCAAAACTCCAGCTCAGTATGAGGACCTGGAGAAAAATGCATATTTCAATGACAATTTTTAGTGAACTAGTCTTGGAGCAATAGGTCATCATTCACAGAAAACTGCATGGATTGAAGACATTCCTGTGTTTTGATTAAAATGTTTGTCAATTGCTATGATTATTTTACCAAAAAGGGATGAAATAAGTTCATTTTTTTATTAGTGGAAATTTGAAAGGTGAAAAATTTATATTGTACTTTGTACTTGCCTACTTATCTTAACATGAACTTGCCAACATTGAACCTAGTAAAGGGGTCCACATCTATGGTAACATACATGTATGTTACGTTTTCCAAAAAAGAAAAAAGAAATAAAATTAAGAAAAAAATAAAATAAAATTTATCCCTCAGATTGATAACTAATATAACATGTGATATTACTTTAATAGTTCAACAGCTAGTCTCAACATTGAATTATTTTAGGAATGACTCTAATTCTTCAAATCTTGGCCAAATTATTCGAGTATAACCTGGTTTGGGTCAGTTTACGCTTTATAATCCGCAAAGCGGATTATAAAACAGCGTAAACTGACCCAAACCAGGTTATACTCGAATAATTTGGCCAAGAATTAGAGTCATTCCTTATAATTTAATTTTAAAATCATTAAATAACTATGGATGTAAAATTTCGTTGCTTTTTATTAGTTCAAATTTGCCGCTCAAAAATACAACCATAGTAACGGAAGTAACGGAAGTGATGGGAAGCGAGGGGAGGTAAAAACTGATGCATAGGCCTAGCAGCCTTGTTGTTCATTTACATGTGGTAAGATCGAATTATTGTTTGAAGTTAAAGGTACATTTATTAAATCTGGAATTTTCCATGAATCCCGAGGACTGGAAATGAGAGGATTGTATGGATACAGATGATTCAGCTGGTTGTCAGGGGGGTGTGTCCCCATACCAAACCAGGTTATACAGAAATAATTTGTGTTCCTTTTTGGATATTAACCAATCAGAGGCTAGAATACAAACAAAATTAAATTATTTATAAATAAAATAAAAAAAGGAGAGATAAAAAAAAATTATTCATTGCATTATAAATGTAAAATATTCTTTTGCCAGATTTTTCACCAAGGATTCTTTCCTAACCTTTTCTTCTTCCCCTTCACACCATCCTAGCTTTTTACAAGCCCATAGGTTGGGGTTGTGTGTGTGTAGGCCTGGGAGGGGGGGTCATCCTTCACTCTTCTTTCACTCTTTTGGAGAAAGTTATATATAGTTTACTATGTAAATTTTCATTAAAGATAATTCCCCCCCCCACGCTATACATATGTACCCCCCCCCCCCCGGCCACACACACACAATAATTTAATACCTATACTGTTTCCAATAACATATATATATAGTATAACGTAAATTAGAAACGCTTTTACTGAATAAGAAGTAGGAATTGTTCACTTACGATCAGTTTAAGAAGAGCGCACATTGATTGATTGAGCTTTCTTCTATTCATGGACGCCGCCATGTTGACTTGGGTAATTATGATCGGGTTTGATGTTTTTGCGCATGCGCACTTTTAGTTCCGGAGTGAATCTCACCCGTCCCTGAGACACCTTCCTTTTTTTTACAGAAACTTTCAGATAGGAGAACATTTTCCCGATTTTACACAGTAAACGGTAAAGCGTTGTATATTTAAAATTCATATTAATTCTCGGGAAATTCAAAGACAAAAATGGGCAATTAATATTTTTGACACAATATAAAATTAATCATCATGTGCTATTTTATATATGAACTTATAATCCGGGAAAATATCGGAATCGAGATAAATTTTACTTCGTCTTGTCTTTCCCACATGCTTCCGGTGTTACTGATCTGAGAAAACCGGTAATTTGTTTGACATATTTTACCCTTAGTTAATCTTCTTTTCATTTGAAATTTGTAAAATTCTTTTTGATTTTATAGGGATTTAATAGCACTATTGAGAAATTGCCATATTTTCATATAGAAATGAAATTTTACAACCAAATTGTTCACTTACTAACTGAGTGTAGCTGTAGATAAAAGTACATTTCATAAACATTACGCAATTCACATTTTTTAAGGAGAAGAAACTAAATCAGAGAAAATATGCCGAAGAAAGGTAAAGGAAAAGCAAAAGAAGAAGAACTCTGGAACGGCGATGAGGAGGAAAAAGCCCTCGATGAAAAGATGAAGAAATTGGCGACCGAAGATGGCGCAGCTGGAAAAGAAAAGAAGAAAAAGAAGAAATCAAAGCTCGCACAGCTAGCTGAAATAATGGCGGCAGAGGATAATGAAGAGGAAGGTGAGAGAACGTTAAAAGATGACTTATTATATTATGCTTAACTGTAGATTAAAGCAGTATTTTGTTATATTAACATCATACATGTAGGGACTTGAGACAATCTTAGCAAAATCAGGTATATAGTAATAATAGGGGAGAAGGGACCTAATGAGCCACCATTAATTCCTCGGTGCCCCGCTTCAAACTCTAAAAACTTCGATTTTTATTCAAAAAACACTGGAAAAAGTTTTGCCAGTCGAAAGGCAGAATGTTGTCCTTTATTGTCATAAATTAATCATTTACCTTACTTCATTAAAACTTACAAAAAAAATATTCGAACTTCTGCGAATTGGGTCGCTGTCGTTAACCCTACACCATTTTTTCCATGCAATTTTCGTGCATTACCTTAATTTTTCCGCACTTGTCTTCTGTTGCACACTATATTAGAGCAACGTTAAAAAATATAACTGCTTTTGGTCTAGCTGCAGAATTGTAGCTCTCCAAAAAAAATTGACAGACTGGAGAGCTACAGTGCCACCCATAGAAAAAACTGTATATTTATTGCGCACAAAAAAGTGTGCTGTTTCTCGATTTATTTTTCCGTATTTTTAAACTGCAATCTCAAACTATTACTGACCGTGTGTTCCTAACACATTTTTGCACTATTCCCACATCAAAACATTTCCTATAACCGTTGTTAATAGCCCTCCTTGGCCTGAAATTAAGACCATCCAAAATTTCGCCTGTTAATACTGCCATTTTGGGTGGCTAGACAATTCGGCCAAACACACTTCATAAAGATGTCAACTACAGAGTAGTTGATAGAGGTCTAAGGATTTTTTTGAAATTGAGCTTTTGTGCTGTTGAGGTAAGAATATGGAGAAATAAATCCAGAACCGAGCGCAACTTTTTGTGTTACACAGTTTTTTCTATGGTTGGCACTGTAGCTCTCCAGGCTGTCAATTTTTTTTTTTCAGAGAGCTACAGTTCTGCATCTACTTTTGGTCATCCTCACAATATTTGAGGGGCCCTTGATCATCCTTCTCGAGAGATCAGCTCCATTTTCACCTTCGATTTCATTCAATATGGTTGACCTGATTAAACTCGGAGGCTAATGGAATGTGAAAATGGAGCTGATCTCTTGAGACGGACGATCAAGGGACCTTAGGGTCCCTCAAATATTGTGAGGATGACCAAAAGCAGTTATATTTTTAAACGTTGCTCCAAGATAGAGTGCAACAGATGACAAGTGGGGAAAAATTAAGGTAATGCACGAAAATGGCATGGAAAAAATGGTGTAGGGTTAACGACGGCGAGCTAATTCTCAGAAGTTTGAATATTTTTTTTCTAAGTTTTAATTAAGTAAGGTAAATGATTAATTTATGACAATAAAGGACAACATTCTGCCTTTCGACTGGCAAAACTTTTTCATGTTTTTTTAAATAAAAATCGAAGTTTTTAGAGTTTGAAGCGAGGCACCGAGGAATTAATGGTGGCTCATTAGGTCCCTTCTCCCCTATTATACTATATACCCGATTTTGCTAAGATTTTCTCAAGTCCCTGTGATTAACATGCACTTATATGATGCCATGTCAAAATATTAAAAAACTCAACACAGAACATTATTTCAGTCAGGTTACATGTACAGATTGACACATCTGATCTGAGGCACTGTAAAAGCGTAAAGTATGGACAGGAGTAGTTTTTGAGTTTGGAAATTATTGTCTTTATTTTAGAAAAAGAGGAAGAAATTGTTCAACCAAAAGGAAAAGAAAAGAGCAAACCCAAGATTGAGGAGGAGGAGGAAGTGAAGTTTGACTATTACGAATCTGAGGAGGAAACACAGAAAGATGAAGAGGAGGAAAAGGCGGAAGAACAGGCGGAGGAAAACAAACCAAAACTCAGCAAAAAGGAAATGAAGAAACTTAAAAAGCAAGCAGAGTACCAGAAACAGCTGGATAGCATGGAGGCGGGAGGGGTGGAAAACTTTACCGTGTCACAGGCGGAGAAATCCGCCAAAGCAACTGTACTGGATAGTCAAGATATTAAAGTGGAGAATTTTTCCATCGCTGCTAAAGGTAAAGATCTCTTTGTTAACGCCAGCTTGTACATCACTGCGGGGAGGAGGTACGGTCTAGTGGGCCCTAATGGACACGGAAAGACAACCCTGCTGAATCATATGGCCAAAAAAATTCTAAACATTCCAGCAGGTATTGATATTCTGCTGTGTGAACAGGAGATTGTGGCGGATGACACCAAGTCCATTGATTCTGTTCTGAAGGCTGACAAGGTCCGCACAGCTCTTCTGGAGGAGGAAAAGAAACTCCTTGTTGAAGTGGAAAAAGGGAACACAAAAATTAATGAAAGACTCAAGGAGGTTTGTTTTATATGAAAAATTTACAAATTCACATCAAATTATAAATTTTGCTTAGAAAATTGTTAAAGAAGGTCTTTATCTCTATGGGACAATTAAAAAATTGTTTTATTAAACATTTTTTCCCTTCCCTGATGTAAACATCATCATCTTTCCAGTCAGGCCTTAATTTATACACAATTAAACAAATTTTCACCTATGGATCATTGTAGGTTTATGATGAGCTTCGAGCCATTGGTGCTGACGCAGCAGAACCAAAAGCCAGGAGGATCCTCGCAGGTCTGGGATTCACGAAAGAGATGATGGAGCGCCCCACAAAGAATCTGTCTGGAGGATGGAGAATGAGGGTGTCCCTGGCCAGAGCCTTATTTCTGGAGCCCACCCTCCTCCTACTGGACGAGCCAACCAACCACCTGGATCTTAATGCTGTTATTTGGCTGGATAACTATCTACAGACCTGGAAGAAGACACTGCTTGTGGTCTCTCACGACCAGAGCTTTTTGGACAATGTCTGCACGGACATTATTCACCTAGATCAGCATAAGTTGTTCTATTACAGAGGTAACTATGCCACATTTAAGAAGATGTTGAAGCAGAAGAGGAAAGAACAAGCAAAAGCGTATGAGAAGCAGGAAAAAATGTTGAAGGAAATGAAAGCCTCAGGTAAATCAACTAAAGTTGCTGAAGCCAAACAGAAAGAGGCCCTGACACGGAAGCAGGAGAAGAATAGAAACAAGAAAATGCAGGCTGCCATTGAAGAAGAGAACAAACCCACAGAATTATTACAGAAACCAAAGGAGTATATTGTCAAGTTCAATTTTCCTAATCCTAGCCCACTGAATCCTCCCATCTTGGGTCTGAATAATGTGACATTTGCTTATGGAAACAACCCGGCATTGTTTGTGAATCTAGACTTTGGTATTGACATGAGTTCAAGAGTTGCTATAGTCGGACCCAATGGTGTTGGGAAGTCTACGTTTTTAAAACTTCTTGTGGGAGATTTAGAACCTCAGAAAGGAGAAATGATTAAAAATCACAGACTTAGAATTGGGAAATATGACCAACATTCTGCAGATCAGCTAAATATGGATGAAACGCCGTGTGAGTATCTACAAAGACTGTTTAACATCCCATATCAGGATTCCAGAAAAATGCTTGGAAAGTTTGGACTGGCCAGTCATGCCCACACAATTAAAATTCGAGATCTTTCTGGAGGACAAAAAGCCCGGGTTGCTCTGGCAGACCTCTCGTGTCGTGCTGCAGACGTGTTAATTCTTGACGAACCTACCAACAATCTGGATATTGAATCCATTGATGCTCTTGGTGATGCAATAAACGATTATGAAGGAGGAGTTATTATTGTGTCTCACGATGAGAGACTGATCCGAGATACAGACTGCACTTTGTGGGTGGTGGAGGATCGTACTATTAATGAGGTGGATGGTGGCTTTGATGATTATCGGCGAGAACTTCTGGAATCTCTGGGAGAAGAAGTAGTGATAGCTCAGCCAACAGATATAAACTGATGAAATGTCTAGAATGTCAATTATTTAAACAAAACTTGTTTTTGGTGCAATGTTTCAGATGAATGTAAAATGTTAAGTTCTTAACATTTATTTTCTTCCAGAATTATGCTTGTAAAAATTGTGGTGAAATTGTGAATATGTTCTTTATGTCTCTACCAGGCTTAATTGTTAGATTTAAATTTCATTTTGAAAGGTATAATTTTCATTTTCATTTTGGGTACCAGTATTCATGTACATGTATATTTGAATGTGTTGAAAAATAATTCTCTGTGAAAATTTTACTACTTTTTACACATACATGTATTGATGAAAAAAAAGTTAAAAATGTATTTATTAAAAGTTAAAAGCAGTACAATAAAACAAAAAAACTTATTTTTTTCTCTACAGCAACGCCTCTCAAGTTTAACTGATTTATGAAGAAAATGTAGGTTTTTCATGGCATTCAATTTTAAATCATGAGAAAAGAAATAGTAATCCGAATACCCAATTAAATATTATTTTAAAGAAGAGGTTAAGAACTTTTAAATGTCCATTTCCTGAGAGACTGTAGGCAATATGGATTCATTTCACTTGTCTGATTTGATCCACATAAGTATATACCTCTGGTGTCACTCCCCAACCTTAGTGGTAAATATATGCCATATTCTAGACACTGCTTTATTCAAGTATTATATTCTTCTTGCATGTTCACTTTCTGATTACTATATACCTCAATTGCCCTGTTCATATCTCAATACTCCAGGTCCTAAAATATTCAATGTTAATCGATCATTGTCAGATGTAGTGCAACAAGAAACATGAGAGAGGCCTTTCTAGTATTGAGTAATGCCAGTTTTCTTACTCTGACACATTGCCTATTAATCTTGGCAGTTCTAATGAGTATGACAGAATCTTGTAGTGTTTCTCAATTTCTAAATCAATGTTGGTTCTACATTTAGCTGCTCATTTCTTGATCAGTAGTAATCCAGAGCTATTTAAATGAATAAACTGCCAGCTCAAATTTGTTTGATAAAATTGAAGTTATTGACCTTTTCCATTCACTGATATGCCTGCAAATTTGTAATTTTAGTCGCAGGAAAAAGGGAAATATTTTAACTATTGTATGACATCATATATTTATTAACAAATAAAAAATCAAATATTTAGAATACATCGAGATTCTTGAATTTTTTTTTTACAAGAATTGTTTAAAATAATGATAATATTGTCTAAATGCACATTCCTGTACAAAACAATTTAAACGAATGATCAGTTCTTTTTCTCATGATTAGATAAAATGATTTCTTTAGATTCTGAATGTTGTTAAAGTTGAGTGCAACAAAACAAAGGTTTTCAATAACTACAACTTCACATATATTATTAATCTTTTTTTTATAGTGACTTGAAACCTTGTGGAAAATTGATTTAAAACACATTAGGTAATATAATAATATGAATAGAAATTCTGCAGTCTGTAGAATCCATCAATATGTTTTGTAAAACTGCTTTCACTGTCAAGTGTTTAAATTTCAGCCAATGTTTGATTTGTTTTTCAATGTGACACAACAGACTTGAAGAAGTGTAAATATACAGAATCGACCATCATACTCGGCTCTGGTCCAAGGCAGTGTTGAGGGAGTGGTTTTTGTACATTCCACATGTTCCTAGGTGCTGAAGAAATAAAAAGTAAAAATATAAATTCTAAATATTTATAAATAAGTTTTAAACATGAAAATATCATTTAATTTCTCAAATTGTAATCACCTGACAAGAAAATGAGTTGTATACCTTGGATTAAATATTCCATAAATATTAGTGCAACTTGCAATATATATTTTTTTTAAATTTTAATCGCTATCAAATTGACTGTAGGATGACCTTGTGTACATTTAGGTTTTAACGGTAACCAGTAGTCCCAAAAGGTGACTCCTATTTTATCTTGTGCCCAGCATGAAAGTGCAAAATTTGAAATTGCTCAAGTTTAAACATGGATTTCTTACCATTGAGAATTTTTGTGACCTGGCATGGAAAGTCGTGGGCATAGTGTGAACGGAGGGGGCCTTAGCTCCATAATCTGAAGAGCTGGTTCTGTACATAGGATGCTGGGTCTTGCCTCCATAGCCCTGAAACCACTCTGCAATGAAACAAAAAACTGGTTTGTTACATTTTTTCCTTATGTGGAATCTAATATGAAATCAAAACATTCAGTTTGGAAATTATGATATTTTCTGGTAAGACCTGTTGGGTATCACAATGTTGGTTTTATTCTGACCTGGGTGTTCAAATCTGTTAGGGATATTGTCTGTTCTGTAAAATTCTGAGGTTTTTGAACCAGCTGGGACACTGCCAGGTGCAGCCTGTTGCTGAAAATAAAAGTGTGATTGTTCAAAATTTGTTAGTGAGTTTAGCATGCCTTTTTATACAGTTCAAGTCATTGTTTCTTGTGCCACAATCTCTACAAGGATGGAATGCCTCGACTTGTACATATGTAAGTTTATCTATTGTTATGGAACTAATAAATTAACTTCATCTGAGATCAGACAAAATTCCTTGATTAACCTTTTAACTTGATTTAGCTAGCTTAACAATTTTCCAAAGTTATTAAAAATAGCTTGATTAAGCATTTAAATGCAGTTTTTTCATAAATTTGTCTTCTATTCGAGATCTGACAAAATTAATTTCTTGATTAAAGCTTTTAACTTGAATTAGCTAGCTTAATAGTTTTTCAAAGCTTTTCAGAATAGCTTGATTAAGCATTCAAATGCAGTTTTTTCACAACTTTGTCTTTTGTATAAACTATACAAAAATTGTACTAAAACATTTACCAATTATAATTTGCTGCTTTTGAACAATATTGATTTTTCTTTTCCGTGATAAAAATTAATGTGACACTTGACATGCCGATGGCAAAGATAAAATGCAAATAACAATAACATTTCGCCAAGAATCTTACCTGAGCTTGATCTGCCATCTTAAAATGTGTTAACTGCTGTATGTAAAAGCTGTAATCGTGGTTGCTAAGACGTTACGTCACTTCCAACAACACAAATAACGAATCTCGAGCCCGATAAAAAAATATATATACATGTAGGCACACCATTAGACAGTGATACCTCGAAGAGATAATCAAAATATCTAAATTCAAAATATTTTCAGTATATCTACAGGTTTTCTAATCAAGAAAAATAATAGTGGGGTTACATGTATGTGTATATATTTTTACTTTGAAATATGGCATATAATTACAGATGGCGATTTTCAGTTTATATTATAGTTTCGAGCTGGGCCCGATTGGTTCACATTTTTGCTTCCTTTTTTTTTTTTTAAATTAATCATGCATGTTTGTAGCTCATTACTATTTTTGTGTCTGCTCTTAGATGGGCGTTTATAAATATGTACGTCGTTCATGCATTGAACTACTTATGACACGTGACGAGACTCTGGTTTCTACAGAAAAGTTTACCCCATACTGGCCATAGTATAATGGGGGGGGGGGGGTTTAAAATTTTACGACAGAGACAAGTGCCTGTGTTCACCTTCTAAGTTACATTTATTTTATTTTATGTCATATATTTGAGTAATTCCTTTGACCCATTTCTCCTCCTGAATAAAAGTATTTTATTAATTTTATATACCTTTAGAATACTGTCCTTTACAAAAATTTTGATATTTCAAATTTTGCATAAGAAATATCAAAATTTTTGTAAAGGACAATACCAGTGTTTTTTTTTTCTTTTTGGTTGTTGTTCCTGTTGTTAAATATTGATATTTGAAAAAATTATAAGACCATGGCCGTGCCCCCCCCCCCCCCCAATTATTTTGCCGATATATACATTACTGTAGAAAACATTGCTACTATATGCTTGTGCCCCCTCAATAAAAACGTCTGATGACCTTTTTTTTTTTTTTGCTTGTCAAGGAAGTTTCGGTTGATAGTGCCCCCTCAACTGAAAATATATGGCTGTGCCCCCCCCCCCCCAACTGAAATTGCTTCCTACGGGCCTGAAGACGGTGTTCTTAATGCAGTAAAACAGTGAAAACATAATTGAAAAAGAACGAAACCCTTGAGTTACTACTGTTTTGAATTGTATATTCTTACTAAGGAACTTTTTTGGAAAACCTCTCGATTTGAATGTCTCATTTTTCCAATTTAATGCCTAATAATTATAAGTAAATAATTACTGAAAATTACTAATTAGTTTTTTTGCATTTAAAACTATATCAAGTTACTAAAATTTAAGCGCACACGCATTTTATGATAATTAGCCATGCGGGAAATAATGTGGGAAAAAAATTCCATAGTTGCGATCGTATTTGATCAACTAAATCATATTCGTCATTGACATGCAATGCAAACGATATTTCGGTTTTATATAAACAAATCCTATATTAAATGTTTTATAAATTGAAAGCATTCAAACTGTATTCAGTGATCAATTTAAAAAGCAGAAAAAATAATCCCCGCATATTCTAAAAATATCAGAGTTTAATGTATTATTACATTATACATGGGACATATTCTAAAATACATGTACGTATATTATCGAAATGTATGCACGAATCTATAGGGATCCGGATCCTCTGGGATTTTCAGAGTTATATGTGTGTGTGTGTGTGTGTATATATATATATATATATATATATATATATATATATATATATATATATATATATATATATATATATATATATATATATATATATGTGTGTGTGTGTGTGGGGGTGTGTGTGTGTGTGTGTGTGTTGGTTTCACCGATCTCCCGAGGACTATGGTGTGAAAAAACACCTTTACTCCGAGGACGTAAATTTCTTCCGAGGACTTTTTCCACGTCCTCGGAAAAAAATTGCTTGTATCGTCACAAAATATCGAACTACATCACGTGGTGAAATTTGGTGAAAGTCCTCAGAAGAATAGTAAGATGTGAAATTGTGTTACACCATCACACACTTTTATCGTCTGCCATAACACACATTTGATATTTTAGACGCGCGCTCATGCGCGCGCATCCAAACAGGATATTTCCGATGCGCACTGATGCATGCGCATAGGAATGGCGGAAATGATGAAAGGTCTTGACTTTTACTTCTCAATATGTAAGTATTCACAGTATATTTACTAAACGTTGTTTTCATTAATGAAAAATAAATAATCTTAGATAAAAACAGACATTTAACAATGAATTTTAATACTAGTATCTGTACTTACATGTAGATGTAAACAGATAGGACATATATGAACATTAATAGGAAAAGACATAAACAGATAAATGATAGATCTCATTTGACTACTTAAAATCGTGTAATTGAGGAAAACTGTCAATGAAGAAGGGGAAATGATAAGTACGGAAAACATATGTTTATACCATGTTCATTTCTATGAGCCTTTCAGGTTTTTAGGTGACATTAACTTGTTGACAAAACGCTTGCTTATATTTAAACCCCCCCCCCCCCAAGATTTTTTTTAATGACAAAACACTTGTACAAGCAATGATACGTGGCACTGGTTTAATTAATTCACACGAATTAAGGTAGGATTATTAAAAATGGCTGTTTGCAAATTTAGAATTTACAGAGGGAAGAGCCAAAATTACTGAAAAGGGAAACTAAAATTTCGATCATTTATCTTCACATGACAATCTTAGATTCCTCACTTTTTCATTGTAGAGACTTTTTATTTGGAATCGAAAACAATGTATAGTTCCTTTGACATAGATTTCAGAAATTGAGCAGTAGATTAACTTGTTAAAAAAGTAGCATGCATGCAAATCTTTAATTTATGGAAAAGCAAAATTTAAAAAAAAAAAATATTCTATTCTTTTGGAAAATCATGGTTAGGTTTTATGGGTCTGAAAAGCAGTGGTGATCAAGAAAACAAGACCAACCGTACTCAGTATTTATAACTTAACAAACTTTCAGAAACTTATAAATGGAATATTAAGGTAATGGATTTTGTTTATGTTTGTTGTTGTAAAACTCGAGATTAGTATAAATACTTTTGCACACTTCAATTCATTTAATGTTCCTTACCTTTCATCTTCAAAACACAAAACTGATCTCCATGTTTTTTCACTCATATTAAAAAGCCACCACTTGCCGGTGGAGAGCTGCAAATTTAAAACTGTACTCAGTACTTATGGCTTTTGAGCACTGAGGGATCTTTTTCATGCCAGCACTTACTGCGACACAGGACCTCAGTTTATAAGGTCTCCTCCAAAGACCGAAATCCATGTTCTGCTATTTGAATCCACAATGTAAGGATCATCTTACTCCTTGACTCTAAAGCAAATGCTCTAACCATTGCACCATGCAGGTGACTTTGATCTCCATGCCTCAGAGGAAATGACTTGATAGCCTCTTATAGGAGTAATTGTCACTGACTATATGCACTACTTATGTAGTCACATAAACCAAATACTGCTGCTCTTTGAGACATAGTTTATAAGTCTTCTATAATGCACTTAAAATAAGTCAAGATTCCAAAGAATTTCAAACATCCCATTCATTCAAAGAGTTAAAAATAATCAATAATCAGGAAGTTTCGACAATTCTTAGATTTGAAAAATATTGCTCAAATTGAATTAGATTTCATATTTTATTCTGTTTATGTCAAACATGATATTCTATTTATTACAATTGATTTCTCTCCTTGGTAAAATGATTTTTTACTGTTTATTTAACATCCCTTCGAGAATTTTTTACTCATGTTAAGAAGCCACCACTTCCCTGTGGAGGGCTGCAAAATTAGACCTGAACTCAGCACTTATGGCCATTTATATTAGCAGTAAGGGATATTTTGTGCAAACACCTACTGCAACAAAGAACCTGCTTTATACGGTTTCATCCAAAGGACCGGTTTTCAGGTCCCACAATGGGATTAAAACCCATGAAGTAAGGATCAACTCCTTACTTTGCAACTCTGGAGCAAAAGCTCTATACTCTATGCCACGTGGCGACTGGTAAATTGATAAACATGCACTAAATATGTTGACTCTACCACAGGCCTCTATGTGACCTCTAAAATTTAGGCACCAACTGGCTCCTTATGAAAAAAAAAATTTAGTCACAAATGCAAATTTTCAGCCACCAGGTAAATTTTTCTTAGGCACCAATCTAAAAACTGATATTAGTCAATATTAGAGACATGTCTATTGCTTCTTTTCGGCTCTTTATAAAAAAAAATTAAAATGTTTATAATTCAGTAATTTGATGATCACCAAGCCAATTTTAAATGGTCGCCAATTTGGCGAATTCTAGAAAATTTTTAGGCATCAATCATAATTTTTAGGTGCTATGGCGACTTAATTAGTCGCCAATTAGACCTATACCATATATCGCATACCCTGTATTTGTTTTCACTATCTGCACATTTTTGATTTTTTTGCCTTTACAAATCAACTTGGTTATAAAGATACATGACTGTATAATTTTTGTAAAACAGCTGGATTTTTAAGTTAAATTTCTTTTGATTTAAAGCTAAGAAAACTTAGATATTATAGCCAAAGGACTGGTTATTAAGGGACAAGCTTAAGTATTTCTGACACATTTATTCTATCCCCTTTAAAATTACCATGGGGCTATAGACACAGGTTGGTCATGTGATCAAATCCCATGGAATCCAAAGGGCTTTATGGTAGGTAACAACATATGACTATAATCCCATAGATGATAAAATATTATACTTTTTCATGTTACATTTTGCCCATATATGAAGCATTAGAGTATTATAAATTGTGTATAAAACATTAATGTTTTTACTTTGAATTTCAAATGTCAAGCGTCACCTGTGTGGAGCAGTGGTTAGAGCATTTGCTCTAGAGTCGCGGAGTAAGGAGTTGATCCTTATGTCGTGGGTTCGAATCCCACTGTAGGACATGGAGACCGGTCCTTCGGATGAGACCATATATATCGAGGTCCAGTGTCGCAGTAGGTGCTGGCACGAAAAAGATCCCTCACTGCTCAATGGCCCTGAGTGCCGAGTACAAGTCAAAATTTGCAACTCTCCACCGGCAAGTGGTAGCATTTCCACATGAGTGAAAAATTCTCGAGAGGGATGTTAAACAACAACAACAACAAAAATCAAATGTCAAGCTAGAATAAGGAACTACAGCATTGAACTATTGACCCTTTTTAGTCATTCATAGTTATGAGTCTCCTTGAATCCTAATATTTCTCAGGAGAAAGCACTGCAATTTTAAATAAGTGTTTATTTTCTAGAAACTTTTGTTTGTGCAGGTGTATCAGATGCATACCAAAAGTGTTCAGTCACTGAAAAATTAAATACAGTTGAACTTTGGTATCTCAAGCACTGATAACTTGAATGCCATGGATATGTCAAAGTTAACTGGAAGTCCGAACCACTTATTTTTTAAGAAATTAACACTCGATATCTTGAATACTCCTATATCTCTAAGTTTTTTCAGTTCCATCTATTTTAAGATAATGAGATTTGACTGTACATGTTTCTTATTTAGCATTTGATGAATTTCATATGAATCACCAACAAGTTTTCACATTTTGATGCAAACTTTTATAGTTCTAAACAACCAACCACTCATTAATCAATTACTACATATAATTTAAATAAAATAAATTAACAATTAGTTAAAAGTTCATAATTATATACATTTTACCAACTCTTTTTATGTATTTAACTACAAGATATTATATACATAATTTAAATAAATTTAAATTGATCAGAAATGTCAAAATGGAAAGTTTGAGAAACCTGGCTTCATTTACTGGACAGTACTGAAATTGTAGAAAAGAAGTTAATTCATTCATTTATAATTTTTTTGATTTGTTCTAGGAACAGATCAGAAAATATGTTTCAAAAATATGTAGTATCTATTAAAATAATTAAAAAATCAAAGTGAAGGAACACTTTAGCATATGTGCCTGCCTGTTCCTCTATTTGCAATCATACTAATAAATATACAAAGCTGATGTATCAAGATAACAAATGCTACTATATAAGTGAAGCATTTCAAGTAAATCTTTTGGTTGTAACCATTATAGCATTTTGTCGTGTTAAACAGAAAAAGTAATCTAACTGTGAAGTAGCTCCCAAGTAGTCCATGTGCAAGTTCTTCCGAGTTTCTTTGTAACAACCAGTTTTGTACCCATTTTTGCAGATGAGTAGGGCAGTATACATGGACCATATTCAAAAGCTTTAGAGATATTTATGAAATAATGAAAAAGTTTGGTAAAATAATTATAATTTCATTGCCTCAATTGATATAATTCATGTTTCTTTGGATTGAAAAAATCTTTATATATCCTTCAATAAAAGTCCTTAATTATTTCCTATGTATCTTAAAACACGAGATCTGATTGGTTAGCAAGCGGGGTGTAAATTTCCTTACACCCAGCTAAAGCTGGGATGGGGTTAAATAATGTGACATCACAAAGAATAGTTTCTATATCAAATAAACACCATACAACATGATGTCACGATGTATTGAAGCATGTAGTAAATCAATAGTTTAAAATATTAGTGGAATTGGGTTTACAGAGAAATTATTAGGTTATATAGGAAATAAAGATTTGTTATCCAGGTTTAATCAAGGGTGTACAAAGATTTACCTGTTAGCAAATATAACCTATCACTGGGTTGTATTTTGGCTGACTTGCTTCATACCAATTGTTAGGCCTTTGTTTATATGCTAAATTTGACTATCGAATGTTCCATCTACTTGATCAATATATAGGGCTCACAGTGGGTGTGGCCGGTCAACAGGGGATGCTTAATCCTCCTTGGCACGTGATCCCACCTCTGGAATTTCAGGGGGTCTGTGTTTATGCAGTGTTCAAAGATTTGTATTGTTTATAATTTTTATGAAATAGATCACTGTTCATTATCTTCTCTTTTTCATTCCATATCCATACCCCGCAATCATAACTTTGACCTTTTGACTCCAGAATCAAGAGGAATCATCCTCTCCACTGGAGTAGAAACTGATCTAAAAGCCAATTTGAAAGCAACTAAATCAATAGACACAAATTGAATTTCTGATGTACATGTACCCTAAATTAAATTAGTGACTATTGTCTGCCCCAAAATAAATACAGGGACCCAAGACTTTATCTTTAAAATAATTAAAAATTCTTTTAAACAATGTATAAGTACTGCACAACAAATGTAAATCACATAACACATAAATATGCATTAACATTTAACACATACAACAGGGTGATTGGGCTATGTGTATGATTAAGGTGTGCAATAGAACAACTCCTATGACACGATACAATATTTTACTAGATGGTGCGTATATATCGAATAAATTATGTAATATTTTGTTAGTATATTACTATATATAAGGTCTCTGGGTATTGCTAAGAGACCCCTAATATAGAATGAAATGCAAGTTGGGACCCATGCACATAGTTTTCTCGTTTATTTAATTAGACGCATGCAATTCCTTCACTTTAAGAGTATATTTTATGATTAAACAAATGTCATTTCAAACTCTACCAGATATACTGTAATACAGTGCCCTACACTCAGTCTGTGTCAGTATGTGTACTGGGTGATAAAAAATACATTATCAATATTGCCATTTATCATGTTTATTTACCAATAATTTCAAAACTTTTTAATTCTGCATTGCATATTTATGAAAAAATCATGACGATACTATCATAAATTACTTGCAATAGGATTAATCAATAAAATAAATGAATTGTGCATTTCTGTCCTCATCACCATCTTTCTTCAGCATCGACTAATACGAGGTTCGACATGGCAACTATAAATAAATATTTATCTTTTTATTCTGTCCTCAAATGCTGTACAGCTGGTCTGAAAAAATGTGATGGATTACCAGAGGAAATAAGATCTGATTTATTAGAATTCAATGTTCTGTATTTAAAAAAAAAAAAAAACGGGTTGGCAATTTACGAAACAATAGTGGGTCGGGTTATTTAGCCAACCAAAATGGCAGTACAGGCTCCGACCGAGGACTGAGGAAGCTTAGGATGACTAATAAGAATGGTTGCGGCGAGTGTTTTGTTGTGGAAGTATTAGAAGAATGTGTAAGAAACATACGGTTAGTCGCCTAAGTTCAAATCTATCAAATTCAAAGTTTTAGTAAAAAGATATCTACAATTCTACACTTGGACGATACACTGATACACAGTCATTTAGCTGGTACAATCACTAGTTTTAGCTACGTAGCTTGAATTACCTACATAGCTTTATTTACCTACCTGAAGTAGTTTTATTTAACTACTAAATCAAACTTATTTCTTTAATTAGCTTTTTTCTCAAGATGTGCAGAAAATCGCACTTTCGTGCAGTGATAATTTTCAACTTTTAGCTCATCTGAAAACAATTCATCATGTTCATGAAAAAATTTCTCTTGAAAATGTGTCTTTCTCTGCGCAATTGCACTCAAAGTTATAAAAGTTTTAGGGCTGTATACAACGCTCAGTTAATTTGTGACCAAACAGTTACTTCTTGAATGGATTAACAAAGAAGATCAGTTCAGGTGAACTTGATAATTGATTGGTAATTATTCAGCACAATGTGAAGTAATCGTACTTATCCATGCCTAACCGCACACAAAGTGGTGTATGGTTACTCAAACAGCAGAAATACATCTGTATTCCGAATGTCACAAACCCGCGCTTCACGATTCATGGTATTTTACCTTGCACAGTTACGTCTGTTCCTCGCGTGACATATCCACACATTTGACAACCAACAAGTCATGAACATGCATGGTACACATGTATGTATAAAATAAAAAATTTAATTCATAGTTTAACTTGCTGTAATCCTTGTAACAACAGTAAAGCAGTGGAGATACCAAACACCAAAACCAAAAAATATAAAAACTCATTTTTTGTTTGCACTGCAATAGACTGGAGTCATCTGGAAGAGGAAGTAGTTGTAGATAGAATTTTCTAATCATTAAAATAATAATGTGCTTCAGACCCGGTTTAAGAGAGGTGTGGTGAGGGCTCGTCTGGAGATGCAGTTAGATTATTTAACTAATTTAAAAGTAGTTCATGCCCCAAAGCTATTAAAGAGTTTTAAGACCGTGTTACAACATCCTGGTGACTAAATGCACCCTCCTCCATCACATTAAAACCCAAGAAGATTCTTATAAATTTATACTGGTACATAAACAAATTGATTGAAGAAATGCCCATGTAGAAAACGCATGGTTTTTTCTCGTCAATGTCGTAGCATTATATTGGTAGATGAAACTTGACATATTAGTATTGATAGAATACTTCCAATTACAATTACTTGTTTTTGATTTTAACCCAAAATCATTAAAGTCATGACTGTATTTGTAGACCCCTACAGTTTGGGGTATTTCAAATCCTGTGTGTACATGAGAGCAGATGAATAAAACACACATGCTGCACACTTGTTATATTTACATGTCAGATGTACACTCAATTTTAAGACAGGACCAAACTTTTACTAGTCAGTGTCGATCAGACATGCCTTATAAATGTTAAACCCTGTGTCCGAATGCATAAATATTTTTTACTTGTCTGATTCTGAACAGATTTAAAGAAATTTGTTGAACTTAATGAAGGCTAAATTAGCTATAAAATTAACTGACTTATTTAGATTTGTGTTATCATGAAGATAGAAATATTAATTGCACTCCTCCTCTCATTAGCAATATTTATCGAGGTATAACTGAGCGTTAAAGATGGAAAATTTATGCTATGCTTCAAGTACATATTTTAACTTCAGTATCTTGAATTGTAGGATATCACAAAGTTTTTTTCTAGGACCCATTAGGTTCGATGTTTATAATCTACACTGAAATGCTTAAAAATGATTTTTTATACTACTAGTATCATTTACATTTTTGAAATACATTTTTTAATAATTTTTTTTATCATGTTTTTATCACATAGTTTCACTATATATACCATGAAGAATTCACATCACATCAGAAACAGTTAATAACAAATGCCAGAAACAAATACAACAAAACAGAAACAGTTGTAACACCCTCTTGATTATCCTCGTGTGCTTTTATGCTACATATTATAATAGCTCGGGTTCGAGATTTAATGCTGTTGGTTGCTATGCAAATGTAAACAAAAAATGGGGCAAAGTTCCAGGGTTAGACATTGTACGCTCATCCACTTGTCCAGTACATGTACCAGTAAAATTTTTCATGAACAAGTGATAATTGCTGACCACTTGTCCGATTTGACAAGGGATATTTTTCTAGGAAGAATTTTTTATAGCTGAGCATGAAAACTTAAAGAATTAAAATTTGTTGTCAACTTTTTATCGGAGGTTCAAAATGAAAACATGCCATGCATGCGGTTTGTAAATAGTTAAATGTTGATCCTGCTCGTAATAATGATGGCCCTGGTTGTCAAACTTGATCAGGAACAATGTTACTATGAAACTTGTCTGAAATATCTGATGTTTTTCAGGCATTTGTCACAATTTTAATTTTAATATTTAAAGTACCATGAAGTTGACTACTTAGAACTACAGTAACTTTGAAATGCACTCAAAATCTCAAAAACAGACTCCATGAATGTATTATAGACTATTGTAATGTACAATATTTTTTCAAATTGTTAAATACAATGTAGGTCTTTTATGAAATATTTTCATACAAGTAAAAGTTATGTTCAGACAAGTAAATTTCACAATCACTTACTTTGAGGGTAACATGCCAGAATATTTTCCCCAATTGTGTCACCCAATGTCGAATGCATATCTTGTCATTTAATTATTCAGTTTTATTTATTTTAATATATTTATATCCAAAAACCTTATTGCTTATGTAATTGCTAGTCATGAGGACCCCCTGGAGATAAGCCTATTATGGCAATAGATGGGACTGAAAAAAAAAACCCTTTGAGAAACAGATAATTGAGGTTTCAAGAATAGAGGGTAAAGTTCATAAACTCACTGAACTTGAGCACTTAGACATATCCATGGTATTTGAGAAAGAGTTTTAAAATACATAAGTAAAACTGTCATTAACAATAAATTTTATTTCTCCATCTTTTATTTTAGCGCACCTGAGCCAAAGGCTTAAGAGAGGTTTTCTGATCAAAATTTGTCTGTTGTCTGTCACTGTTGTTGTTGGAGGCAGCGACATAAACTTTTCACATTTTCATCTTTTTCTCCAGAACCACTTTGCCAATTTAAACCAAACTTGCCACAGAGCATCCTTGGGTAAAGGAAATTCAAGTTTGTTCATATGAAGGGCTACACCCTCTTTCAAGGGGAAATAATTAAGAATTGTTGTAAATTTAATGGCATCTTTAAAAAAAATTTCTTCTCAAGAATCAGTGGACCAGAAAATGAAATTTCTGTGAATTTTAAAGCTTCATTACTGTGGGCCAGAAAATGAAAATTCTCTGAAAGCTTCATTACTTAGTGTACATTCAGGTTTGTTTAAATCATGACCCCCCAGGGTAGGGTGGGGCCACAATGGACAATCAAATTTTTACATATGAATAAATATACATCATCATGTGTAGTAAAAAGAAAAGTAGAACAGCAAGGCCATAGTGACTCGGGTGAGCATTGTTGCCAATGGCCACTTGTTCTTTTTACAGGCATTTTTTACTTTGACAAATTGCACTTTAATAATATAATTATAAGCATAAATTGGATAATATTTTATTAACCATAACATTGTTAATCAAACTTTGGTGAAACTGTGAAATTAACTTGTCAAATGACTAGAAATTTCTTACTGAATCTAGATATGGATATACATGTACAGTTCTACAACATTTAAAATTTTACTGTGGCTCAGCACACATAAACAGAAATTTTTGGAGATCAATAACATTTTGTCGAAATCAAAGACAAAACCAAATGCTTGGGTATTTATTTACAAAGTTTGATTTGTTAATTTTTTACCATATGAATAATTTACCCTTTCTTTCCAGTAGACCCTTGTTATGCCATGCTTAGCTTAGAGCCAGGAATAGCAAATCAAAATGAACTTAGTCAGTTGTTGTTCTTTGTAGAAAGAGACAATTTCTTTTCAGGTTTTCTTTTTCGGTTTCTCATTTTAGGCCTACAGTATTTATTTTTGACTCAAATATTAGGAATATTATACTTGTGGGCAATCAATGAATTTAAGGAATACTCTTTTTTTAGGTGTTGATGATGCAATTTCCTGGATGGTGTGTAAACTGTTTATCAGCATGTGAAATCCACATGATTGAAGGTATCTTACCTATCAATAATATCATTTTTCTCTATTAAAAGCTGCATAAGGAATATATTTTATTTCTGATCTCAAATTTTTGTCCAAGCATCATTCATTTTTTCTTCATCTTTTATCTAATGAGGGTCATATTAATTGATTAATTTAATCAAGGCTTTATAGTAAAATGTAGTGAAATTATTTCCTTGTGTATGACCTTTAAAGGGGCATAGACTCAGATTTGAAGTTAATATTTTCTCAAATTAGATCATGACATATGTGTGGCTATAGTATTTCACAGGGAAATATCATAAAAAAACTTTACCTGGAAATTATTGAAACTACGAATTTAGGGACGCATTTGATTGACACATCCTTGCACTTTCACAAAGTAAACTTCATCCTTAATACTTAAAAAAAGTAGAAATTTTGTTGTGTTTTAATGAAAAAAACTAAAGATAAAATCCAGAAAATTCACAGTTGAAATGTGAGAAAGCAAAACCAACGCATCAGTATTGTCAGTCCGTGCTCAGTGATGTGTGCAGAGTTTAACAAATTGAACACACCCGAAGGAACGTAAACTGTTTTGTCTTCAATTTGTTAAACTCTTCACACATCACTGAGCACGGACTGACAATACTGGTTCGTTGGTTTTGCTTTCTTTCATTTCTACTCTTAATTTTCTGGATTATATTTTTTTATATTTTTTCATTAATATGTATCAAAAAACCTACTTTTCTTAAGTATTAAGGATGAAGTTTACTTGTGAAAGTGCAAGGATGTGTCAATCAAACGCATCCCGAAATTCATAGTTTCAATAATTCACAGATAAAATAAGTTTTTTATTATATTTCCATTTGAAATGTTATAGCCACATATATGTCATGATATAATACAGACAATTTGAGAAAATATTTCAAAATGTCGAATCTGTGTCTATGTCCCTTTAAGAGTAACAGGTAATTTCACTTTTGAATTTTTCTTATTTCAGGAGAAGTCTCCCTTGTTAAAGATCAGCAACGGCAGATAAACAATGCATGATGCAATCTACTCACTAAAAAGATTACACCAATACATCCAATGCATGTATTTCTACCTATCACCTATGTAACCTTTGTCATGCTCTTCAGAGAGGTAAGAAAACAAAATTATGAAAAAAAAATTTTGGTAAAAGCGACACTTAGAGATCACTTTACATGGTGTCTGTCTGTCTGTCATACCCTAGATCCTGAGAACTGTAAGAGGAATGGATTTGATACTTTGCACTTGCACTGCTTGGCACTTTGGCTTTTGTAAAATACCATATACAGTTAAACTCGTTTACATTGAAATTTAAGGGACCTTGAGATTTATTTCAAATTAACCGAATTTCATTATATCTGTGTGCTATGAATTACATAAAAAATGTAGATACAGTTGAACTTCGTTATCTGGAACACTGATATCTTGAATACCATGGATATGTCGAAGTGATTTGCTGTCCCAACCACTTATTCTTTAAATATTTTACCCTCGATATCTCGAATCCTCAGATATCTCGAAGTTTTTTCTCGGTCCCTTCAAGTTCGAGGTAACGAGGCTTGACTGTACAGTAAAAAAAACATATACATGTGAGAATTCATATTTTTTACATAACATTACATGCAGTGTTTCAGAAATGTACTTATCTCTATTTTTCAAAAAAGTCCTAAATTTTTTTTACTGTTTTATTTATTTTTTTTTTTTGATTTGTGTTAGAAAACTATCAAGACTATTTATACACGAAAAAAGTATTGCTTTATAAAATATCTTATCGAAATATTTTGGTCAATATACAGCCCTATTCTCCACACACCAATTTACACATGACACCTCTGCATATTTTATCCATGTCAGTCTTAAATGCTGTAGTTAGAAAATAAAAGTGGCGACTAATATGTTCCGGTGAGAAATGCTTAATGATTATTGTTTTATCTATACAACACATAATTAAATTTGTACAGGTCCACCAACATCAAATCACCTTTGAAAAATTAACACGTGCTAGCCTTCGTATATAGTCAGTCACCTGAGTCCACTCGTCGCAATTGGCAACTTCAATGTACCCGTTATCAAAACTGCTATAAGCTTTGTGTTCAGCGGACCCCAAAATCACTTCAAATTAACAGAGTTTTTCAAGTTAACCGATTTCAATCTAAACGAGTATTTATTGCAAAGAAACTGCACCAGCATTTTAGGAGAAACCAAATTCATTTCAAACAAACTGATTTTTCAAACAAAGAGAGTTCAATGCAATGTGTTCGTTACATTACAATTCAGTTGACCTTGACCTTTGGCTTTATAAAATCACTCTGGTGGTTGATTGAATTATTATTATTATTATTTTTTTTTTTTTGATTTTGAGAGGCAGGATTTTGATAATTAGCATTTATATCACATGTTACTGTATATGAGCTCATGACACTGTACTTTGAAACTGTATGCAATATAATCACACAAACTGAAATTTAAATACAATGAAAAGACATCAGGATGGGTATACCAAAAGTATCGATACAGACTGAAGAGAGACTGAAATCTCTTTTGGAAGATATCTTGGATAAAGATATATTTATTAAAAATAATTATTTTAATTATACCCCCACTCCGAAGGAGAGGGGGGTATACTGTTTTACCCTTGTGTGTCTGTCTGTCTGTGTGTCTGCCTGTCTGTCCGTAACAAATATTTCGTCACAGTTTTCTCAGCAACTACTCATTGCAGATGCTTGAAATTTTTGCACACACTTTGTTGAGGTATGCCATATGGTGGGATTCATTTTTGTACGAATCTGATTTTAACTTCCTGTTTATCCGTGCGTCTGTCTGTACCATACATAACAAATTTTGGTTGCAGTTTTCTCAGCAACTACTAATTGCAGATGTTTGAAATTTTAGCACATTCTTTGTTTAGGCATGCCATATGGTAGGATTTATATTTGTACGAATCCGATGTCAACTTCTTGTTTATCCGTGCATCTGTCCGTACCATACATAACAAATTTTGGTCGCAGTTTTCTCAGCAACTACTGATTGCAGATGCTTGAAGTTTTAGCACACTCTTTGTTTAGGCATGTCATGTTGGGATTCATTTTTGTACGAATCCGATGTCAACTTCCTGTTTATCCGTGTGTCTGTCCGTACCATACATAACAAATTTTGGTCCCAATTTTCTCAGCAACTACTGATTGCAGATGCTTGAAATTTTAGCACATTCTTTGTTTAGGCATGTCATATGGTGGGATTCATTTTTGTACGAATCCGATGTCAACTTCTTGTTCACCCTTGTGTCTGTCCATAACTGAACTTGTGTATATTCACATCAGAATGTATATTCACATCAAAGCGGGGGTATTACTAGTGAACATTGGCTCACAGACTTCTTGTTAATTTCAATTTTATAATTCACTTTAGCTTTGAAGGGTGGGGAATCATATATCTATTGTCAGATTTTATATGATAAATGCTATTCTGTATTGGTCTTACTATTTGTGGATTTTTTTTCTTTACTATATAAGGGCTATTTTGAAATTAATGAGACATTTACTTTTACTCCATAAAAGAAAGACATAAATTCATGAAAATTTGTCAACATTTTAACAAGAACAAATAAAACAGCTATGCAAAATTTCTAATTGATAGGATGATTAGACATATCCCATTAGAATTATAAACTTGCATATGTCTATTGACCTAAAGCAGCATTGCTTCTTCATTTTCATCTCATGCCAGCCATAGATCTTTACCATGTTGAGACAGTCTGGAAGCTTTAATGCTTCTTTCTCTGTCATCACAGAAACTAATCAACTGATTGAGATGAAACCTTTTTAGGGTTAACAGGCATGTTGTGTAGATGTGCAGAAGGAAGGTCATTTTACCCACACTTACATGCACATGCGTGAGCGTGCAAGGAGTGAAATGACTGAAGCAATTGAAACACCATTAACCTTCCTGTTTTTTATGATATGCTTTGAACTTCATTGTATAGACTTGTATTAGTGGTGTAGACAAGAAGAGGTGGTTGAATTAGCAAGAAATCAGTTGATGTGCATGCATGTGTGCTTTGCTCTGTTTGACTGACACAAAAAATCTCAATAACCTTTGTGTTTTTTGATGAAATGCTTTGAAATTTAAAACATAGTCATACACAACAAGGCTCTACATTTTGATATAATATATGAGATATTGTGAAAACACGCTCATGCAAGTGTGCTGCAATTTGATTGGCTTAAACTTTAAATGCCTGTTACAGTAGTAACTTTCTTAGTTTTTAACAAAACTGGATGGAATTCAGAATATAAATAGGTGTAATGGGTGCCTACATTGTGCTACTATGAAAATTGAATGCAAGAACGTGGGATTCTGATTTGCTAATACTAGTACTTATATGGCTGTATCTCTCATAGTTTTCAATGAAAATCTTTAGATTTCTTACATAGCTATTTATTGTGAGTCTCTTCACGAGGAAGGAATATGAAATATTTAGAAAATATGGGCATGTGCATGCGCTAGAGGTGTAACGATACAGCAATACATCAATCGTATTGATCACAAGGGCTCACAATACGCGTATCGCCATGTATGTATTGTGATACAGTAGAAGATAATTTTCATTGTTTTGTTTGTAACTACATTCAACCTAACAAATATTAATGTTTTAAAATGGCTAAAAAAAGGTAGCAAAGAAAAAATACAATATCAAGACTATAAATCCACCTTTTATTAACTTTGATAAGGGTTATCAAGATATTCTTTGTATATTTTCTATAACTGTGGAGTTAGCAAAGAATTATATGTTTAGATAAAGCTTAATTCAATTGGTGACAGCTGTATCATGGTACATGTTGTATATCACATGACCGTATCATGATATGTATCATATTGTTAGGTAGTTTGCGATACTCAGGCCTAGCATGCGCTGAAATCCAGTTGGTTAATACTCGAAGAACTATACCAGTGTTGTTTTTCGAATAAATACTACTGAAAATAAAGCATAGATTTATTAAACAAAAGAATTGCATAATGAAATGAAGCCTGTAATGAATGGGGCCCATAAGAGAATGGGGAAGTTTTTGAGGAACATCTGAAACAGTTCCTGTTACAGTTAGCACTAGTTGTTATTGTTTTAGAAGATCTTTTAGTCTGGAAAAGAGTTCTCCACAGAGCTACGTAAAATTCTAGGTATGCTTGCTGTGTCGTGTTGACATCAAAATCTATTTTATTGATGTAATCAGATATCTATACCAAGCTTAGATTTTTTTATGATCTCCGTATTTCTGATTGAAATTCTAAGAAGCTTGCACAAAATGAATTGAAATGAAATTGAAAAAATAAATACCGATATATAATTTGAATTATTTTCGCTCTTGCTGTATATGGGTCCACTGGGAGTTGGAACATAGGTATAACATATTTCAATATATGATTTCGTGACGGCACCGGGTACCCCTTCTATTTACCCATTAATATACCATTGAAAAGAAGAAATAAAATATTTGTAAAATATTTGTTGCTTTTATTAATTCTTAGTGTTTGTCAAACGTATATGCCATTTTTCACCAAAAGGCATTACTTGGAAAGAAAAATAAACACTGTGTACTAATAATCTCTTAACAACCCTCATAATGCTTGTATCAAATAATATTTGACCACCCTTAGATTTTCTTTTAATCTTAAATAATGATGATGTTCATCAGGCGACACACATGTTCCTTGGAACAGTCTTTTAATTTTAGCTAGCAAGATTATTTGGACTTAAAAGTCAAGTCAATAATCTTCTAACAAACATTTTCTTCTGTCATGTTTAATTCATAGTCACTAGGCAACACTGAAATTTCCACTCATTGCTTTTCAGTCATCGACAGGAAAAGGAATTACCGGTAAGTTGACAGGACTTTCCACACTGTTTCTGGTAGCAGCTTATGATTGAATTGATGGTAGAAGACATGGCCCACTTAATCAAAGGTAAATCTCATGGAATAGTGCTAATAGTACTGATATTTTTTTTAAACTCTGTTTTGCATTGAAGCTTTAGGTCAAAGGCAAATTTTCTTTGTGTGGATTCTTTTATTCTTCTCAGAAATGTGTGGCTGCTAATTAAGCCATAGCTGTCTGTTTTCTTTGAGAATCAAAGAATTGCAGCAAGTCTTTTAGGTTTTCAATGAAATTTCCTTGTTTTTCAGATAATTTGTATAGAGTGGCACCTTAACCATCACTGGTGAAATAGAAGATGACTAGTGGATGGTCATCACTTTGCAGCTCACTTTCACTTTCTGCAGCCCATCTCTTCTCACCCACAATCATTGTCTTTGGAGGAATGGTGACAGTGCAGTCCTCATGACTGGGCAGGTAACTTCCTTTCCTTTATTTCTCAGCTTTCACCTTTCTTACAAAATTTATTTTCATAGAACACTGCTACAATATTCTTCCTCTAAGAACACAGTATATGTCACTTGGGTAGCACCTTAGAATTGGGTTTTCCCAATGGCACTGAAGGTGGCATTTTTGTATTGAGCATCTCCTTCCACTCTGATACGTGTATCAGGAGTCCCCATTTTTCATTTAGATCCTGAATGTTCTGTCTTATATTCATCATGCTGGTCTTCTACCCCCACAATAAAGGTTGGGGGAATATATAAGAATCACCTTGTCAGTCTATCGGTGCCAACTTGTTGGTCATTGGAAGCTCAAACTTGGTACAAAGAATGTTTATGACCTGTTGGTGTGTCAAGATCTTGACCCAAGGTCATTCCGGCTAGTTCAACAGGGTTTGACACTAAGGCATGTTTGACCCAGTCTAGTAAATGAGTGGTCCAGTTGTGTAAAAGACCAATTGGTCGTATTGATAAAATAACTGTTGAACCCCCATTTCAGTCCTTCAAATAAATAATCTAAAAACTTTCAAAGAAAGGACAAGGTATAGTAACGGCTGGATCTGGCCCCTTATTTGATGTAAAAATCAGAACACAGTTGTTTTAAAACCAGCACTAATTTTGATTCAAAGCTAACACGGAGGCCACAAGAGGGTGTAGAAGTAGGTTATTTTCCAGAATTTCCTCAATTCTGGTCGCATTTCGTCAAATTTGAGATACTTTTCACTTTGGGAAATATAGAGCACAAGGCTGCCTATCTGAGATTTTTATACATAAGATGCATCTGATACTAGTGTATGAAATATATAAATTTGGTAGATAGGCAAGCTTGTGCTCTATGTTTTCGGAACCAAAATGTGCTGTAAAATCAATGAAAATTTGCATAAAATGAGAAAACTGACATATTTCCTAACCTTCCTGTGGCCTCTGTGTATCCCATAACTTAGAAACAATACTCAATTTATGGCAGGGGTGACATCAGGTTTTTAACTGAAAAACTGTTGCAACATTCTAAAAGACACCCCAAACCAGGGGCCAAAAAGGGATCTTAGCCTATCTTATCCTTTCTTATATGTTAGATTGTAAACAGTCATTGCTGTGTAAAGAAAAAATCCCCACATGACCCAATCACTATTTTTAGCCACAGCTGTTATTAACAAGTCGAGGTCTAAACTACTTTTGTTCAGTACAATGTTTCAATATGATGTAAATAATTATGTTTAGTATAGTTTTAAACTAATTTATTAGTATTAACGATAATTATTTTATGAAAGTTTGTTGAATCTTTAGGGCTCATATTGCTCAAATGTCCTGATGAACCCGACTTGATTGGCAGGATCCCATCAAACAGTCTGTCAAAATTCAAGGTCACTGACAGAAAAGATATAAACTTCTTGTCCAGGATATCAGTTTGCAATGGAGAATCACTGAGGCTCATTCTTGGTACAAAGATTATTGAAGACCTGAGAGTATGTCATGACCTTGGCCCATGGCAATTCTGGCAAGTTCAAGGTCACTGGCTTAGAAAGGTATAAAACACTTGTTTATGCTGTAACTTTGTAATGGAGAATCATTGGAAGCTCTTACTTGCTACAAAGATTGTTTATGACCTGGAAGTTTGTCTTGACTTTGACCAAGGTCATTCTGGCAAGTTCAAAGTCACTGGCAGATAAGAGATTACATTCTTGTCCAGTCAATAACTTTGTTACTGAGCTTTAATTTGCTACAAAATTTTTTTTTGACCTGAGGGTCATTGTGACAAGTTCAAGATCTCTGGCAGAAAAAAAATGCAAGTCTATTATTTTGTATTAATGGAGAAAAATTGGATGTCCATATTTCACTCTTAGATTACTCATGTCCAAAGATCTGTCATTTTTTAACCAAAGTCATTTTAGTAAGTTCAAGGTCACATTTACACATTCTAAATAAAAGAATTGCAGCAGGGTTATAACCTTATTATTTTTTGAGATCGCTCACAGCACCTTTAGCTGACATAAGTGATGTAATAATTTTTCTCACTTTGTTTCAGGTCTACTGCATGTTGACAGCTGATACTTGTTCTCTATTTGCTCCGAGAGGCCTACTACACATTACCTCAGTTATGACTGTACTCATGCTGGCTTCTATGATGTTAATTTCCTTTACCTGCACTGCGTTAAACTTGGTCAATACTGTTACTGTCGCTCACCAACAGATGAAAATAAGATTTAGCTGATCCTGCCAACATTGTGACATAAGCGGTCCAATGTCCAATATCTCACTCTGCAGTCAAACATCATTTTTTTTATGAACGCTCAGTAAAACATTGGAAATGTTAGACATTTTTAGTATTGATTTATATAGTTATATATTTTTAAAGTAATAACAATTCTTTTTATTGATGTATGTTTAAGTATGCAAAAATGAACATTGATGATATTTATCTTCTGAATAAAATTTTATATCGATAATTTATGCTCTTGTTTATACAAACTGCAAATGAGGCTTTCTATTCATTAGGAACTGGACCCATAATTACTTTCTTAAGGAGGAATGCCACACCAAAATTTTATTCCATTGGTCTTAAGACATCCATGTTAAGGAAGCTCTAAACAACTAATGAAAAATGCTTTTTGGGCTTTGAGAAAAATATATCATATAAAGGTGCACATATTCAGTGTATCAAGTTCATTTTCAACATAGGGTACCTGCCTTATTTCTGCAGAAAAAAATGTTCAAAGACAATGAACTATTTGTGAACAGAAATCACTGTTGTTTACTAGCATCAGGAAAATTAATGAAAATAATGTATTCAATTACTTAATCTTGGTCTAACATAACATTAAGAATAATTCATAAGAAATTGTGTCATTAACTGTAGATTCCCATTTATACTATTTTTCTTCTAAGGGCAAATCACTCAATAAAAAAACCCTACGAATAGAACTCTTTAGTGTGCAGTGTTTAGAGCTTCCTTAAGTCATGGTTTCAGCATTGAAAGGCCTAGCTCTTAATTATTTTATAAGAATTTTCTCCAATTTTTCATAGAAAATGAAAAAAAAATGTTTTATTTGCAAATAAGATGCTTTATAGTTAAAAATTTGTTGTGAATGAATGCATAATGTAAATATCTCATAAAATATGTGAAGAAAAGCCAGATAGACATTTTAATTCTTTTACTAAAATTTTTTTTTTTTCGAAAAAGTACATTATTTGTGAATTTCTTCAAAACATATGGATAATATATTCAAAAAACAAGTCACAGCTACAAAGGATATGTTAGACAATCATATTTGAAAAAGAAATTGAAACGAAATTGCGAAATTTTAGAGAAATTATTTTTTACAAATTTTAGCCGATCCCGATCGAAATTAAACTGATCCCAACCAGAATTTTATAATAATTGATAATAGATAATATTTTCACAAGGAATACAAGTTTGTTTAGGTGTAATACGCGTTAAAAAGTAATTGAACTTGATAAATAAATAAATTTCTTAGTGGTAAATACTTAAAGAAGGCAATAATTTCATCTTATTTATTTTGTGTTAATTTTGATCGGGATTGGTCTAAATATTGGAAAAAAAAATAGTTTCCCTAAAATTTTGCAATTTCAATTTCTTTTTAAAATATGTCTGACTAACATGTTCTCCATAGTTCTGACTAGTTTTATGAAGATTTTATCCATAGGCTTAAAAAAATATTCACAAATAATGTGTTTTATTTTCATAAATAAATTTTTTACTTAAAATATTTAAATGTCTATCTAGGTTTTCTTTAGATATTTTATTACACATTCATATTATATATACATTAACAGCAAATGCTTAAATTTGTTGTTTATATCAAAAATATTTGTAAAAAAAAAAAAAAAAGCTTTCCAAGAACTACATGTGTAAAAGTTTTTGGTCAGCAAAGATGCATTTCATGCGAGAGGCGCACCAGTCATTGTCGGATTATTTTTTTTAATATTCACTGGTATTAAGCCGATATCTGTACCAGTAGGTACGCATATCCCAAGATGACGTCGAGCTTGACAGGTTCATGAGTTTACACCGCTTGATTTTGTTATTTTTGTCATATTTCATTAAATGAATCAAAGTGCATTGTAGATTTATTGAGTCTTAACAATTAGCTAGCGACAAGCAGAGTTGAATAAAACCTCCAAATAAATCATATATCTCGTATGAAGGTGATAAGCGTACCTTGATGTTTTGGACATAAAAACCATGTGTAAATGATATCGGTACCTGCTAGTTTTATTTTTTCTAATTCTTTGCATTTTAATAATTTGCGCATAAATGTATCTGTCAAATATTTCAAAAGAACGTAGCATCGTTTTTGAAAAAAAAAGGGGGGGGGGCAGCAAGAGAAAAAAAAATCAACATACTCGAAAATCCTATTTCGTGGGAGGTGTAAGTGGGGGAGGGTAGGTGTTCCATCTTTCAGTACCAAATTTTATTAATACATTACCCTGAATTGACTATACTGCAACAAAAAAGGGGGAGCTGCCCTTTCAATGAATGAAATATATGTAGATAACGAACGGTATTCAAGCTCAAATGTCCATTAAACAATACAAATCGGGAGCAGAGCAAACACGGACCTCTAAAATGTCAGAGGTGGGATCAGATGCCATGGAGGAGCAAGCATCCCCTGCCGACCGGTCATACCCGCCGTGTGCTCCTTGTCATGATCGTGAAATACGGAAAAATCCGTCGACAATGAACCTTTTCAATCGTGAAAAGTAAAGTTTGTAGTTTCAAGTCTGTAACAATGTATTTTTTAAGGTGGAGAGGGGTTGAGCCACAGGGAAACATTCAGGATTTTTTTTAAATGTTAAAAAAGCAAAATGTTTACAAGCAATAAAGGGAAATAGGCTGTTGACTATTTTACAAAACTTAAATTCTTAAAACTGAGAAAGGAGGGGGAGGGGGTGTTGTAATACTCTCATTTTCTTTCCTGCACGAAATATATTCTGTACAATACGGTGCAAGCGGTTCAACGCTACCACAGAAAAGTGTGGAAAGTGTGTGTTTGGGGGGGGGGGGGGGGGTTCTCAGTTTAAATAATACCATGCATACAGGTGTATCTGCAAAAGACGGATGGGTCCAAATCCAAATCTTACGTGGAGAAAGAATACATATACTTTTACATGTACCGGTAAATACAATGTATAAAAATGTTTGTTTGTTTGTTTGCTTAGTTGTTTAACGTCCCTTCGAGAATGTTTCAATCATATTGAGACGCCAACACTTGTTGGTGGTGGGGGGGGGGGGGGCTGCAAATTTAGACCTGTACTCGACACTTGCGGCTTTTGAGCAGAGAGAGACCTTTTTCGTGCCAGCATCTACTGCGACAAGGGACTTCGGTTTATACGGTCTTATCCTAAGGACCGGTCTCCACCCTATACAGTACGGAAATAATCCATACATTGTAAAAACAGTTTAGAAATGAGGCAAAAATAATAATTATATACATTTTTGTATGCTACGAAGAGATGCAAAAACAGATATATTCGAGGAGCCGTAACATATTTGGAGATTCGACCGTACATTATTTCGCCTACCACAATATCGAAGTGTATGCTTAAATCTTTGATAAAGTCCCAATATTTAATTACATTGTGACCCATATTCTTTTTCTTGAAATTTCGGGTTTTCTTTGGTGATTATTCAGATTTTCAGCGCTATAATCATTTCCTTTGATTTAATGTATCGTATAAAGGTATATGTTGCAAATTTCTCTCTGCTTTATAGAAAAAAAATGTTTCCTCATCAAATCGGATAACAATTATTTCTATTTTCTGGAGAAAGAGAGAGAGAGAGATTATATTTCATGTAACGCATATCCAGTAACTCGATCACAAAATGACATGGTACATATATATCTTTTTTTTCATCAGGGTTTCCATTTACGCGTTAAATATCTATTCTGCATTTCTGGATTAATCTGCATAAAGCTATGTTTAAAGACTATATGTATATATATTCAAATCATTTTAATTCACCAACAGATTGAAGGGATATATAAGTATATCTTTAGATGTAAACTCTCGAAGCTGTGGAGCTTTTCGACATCTGAGGATACATGTATGCGTACCTACTGGTACGGATATCGGCTTAATACCACTGATTTCGGTCACTGGAGGAGATATTTTTTATACATGTATTTTCAAGAACAGATTCTTTATTTCCAAAATCTGCCAGCGTCCCCCTCTTAATCCCCCCCCTTGAATGAAAATTGTCGTGCCCTAAAAGATATTGATGATTTCTTTAAAAGAATAGATTGGATAGAAGTTTCTAATCTGAATTAAATTCAAACTATTCGGAAATTGAAATTATTATTTGTCTTCTGCATCAAGCGTATGAGAAAAGCAAATTTGGATTGAAAATTAACTTCAAGCTAGAATTTCAATCAATTTTTCTCAGACGTCCGACACGAATTCGTTTTCTATCACCAAATCATATGCGGCTTTTCCCCAACCAACTCAGAATCAGCAGCATACTTTGTACATATCTTAGGACTATCTTAAGATACGTCTTTGGATGTAAAACAAAAGCATCTTAGGAATATCTTTAGTTAAGATGTCGTAATTGGGGAGGGGGGGGGGGCGTGGTCATGGGATCAGTTCCCCTTGGGATTTTTAGAGTTGTTGAAATGATATTAATAGTAAACCCAATCTCTCTAGAAAACACGGACCCCTGTTACAATGGCATAGAAAGTCACATACATTTATACATCGTCTGTATATCTATAAAGGCAAAGCGATTTAACACTCCCTCCCCCTCCAAAACGAAATAGCTATATAAGGTATGGATAAGTTTATGGTTTTTTATCCTTGCTTGACAATAATTTCTGAGTCCTCTTTTTTTGAGTGCGCGGCTGTGTACCCTCCTTCCCCCTCCGGAAAATGCCTGTATCCGCGCTTGATATGTATTGGTAATAATAAAATGTTTCAGAAATTTTATAAATAATCGCTATTCCTCTTTTTTTTTCAAATTTTTTATCAGGTTTGTCCATTCTTATCCCGTTTTCATGTATTGAGCTGTAACAGATATAATAGAGAAATAAAATTAAAAAACAGAAAAGAAAATATATATGCATTTTTTTTAAAACATTTATATTAATAGATAAGTCAATTTGAAAAAAAAAATTGAAGCATTCCCTTTTTGATAAACAATAAAAATTAACATTATGATATATTTATAATTCACATATAAAGAACAATTGAGATTAGTAATAAGATTTATTTTCAAAATATCACTTCTTGTGGTTGTTCGTCCCCAGATGTAACAGACCCCCCCCCCCCCCCCCTCTCTGTAGAAAGGTTGGAGGTAGTGCCCGTCTGCATCCGTGCCGTAGTCACGCTTGTGAACGTTTTAACCTGCTACATGTTTCATTCATCAATTAATAAATGTATTTTCATTTATCACTTTCTCTTTTTCTATTTGTACGGTTAAATGCATACA